GTAGAGGGACAAAACTTAACCTCTGAAGATTTTCACTGCACTGAATGTGATCTTTTTGCAGTTATTAGTACAATTGCCAGGAGAACAAGTTAAAGTTTGATATAGTTTTTTTATACATATATATTTTATAGATTACAGTTTATACACCACTGTTGTTCGGCTGATGAAAAAACTCATGAGAGCTATATCTGAGAATTAGTTGGGTTGATGGTGCTCGTGTTATTGGGCAAAGATAAATAGGCAATTATGATTAGATAGACAACGTAAAGCAATGCTTAAATATGTTTTTATGGAATAGGAGGTAAACTAGTAAACTGGTTACGTGATGGAGGGTGACTAACGATGCCTGTGGACACCTGCAACTCGAGGCACAAGTGCCGCTCGAGAAATAGGGATCGGAACCTCACTTTTTACATAAAAAGTAACGAAGAAATTGCGTAACAGCGGTTTTTTGTTCGTCCGTGATATCGTGGGTGGTTTGGAGTATGGCGAAAAAGAGTTCGCATGACGGCGTTGTGTGTTATGAATAAAACTGTTCATTTGCAATAATGTCCGTGTGGTGATGGATTAAGAATACAGAGTGTCACCACCCCTATTCATCCCAGGGGTGTCGTAAGAGCCTACTAAGGGAACAAACTACACAGAATAACAGAGCAAAGAGAAGGAAAACTTGAAAGAAACCCTATACCAACCCCTGGTCAGAGTAGTATAATAGGCCATAGCCTCCTTTATAAGGAGAGGCTTATTAAAGGTTGTTGATGATGATGATTGATGGTTATAAGTGATTGTCTTGTTTAAATTCGTAAATAAAGCTCTTTTGAGGCTCGTGGATAGATTAATAATAAAATAATCAGGGGACACGGACAACGAACTATTTCATCGTTACTTGTTCAATTTCATGTAAATATTTCTGCCCTAATCTGAGCGTCTAACTGAAGAAGTACCTTTTTAGAGGATACGCATAAGCATATTAGATTAACATGCCTATTGTAACTGTCTTTCATGGCCTGGTTTATAAATGATCCATAACAAACCACACTAGGATCAAATTTTTAAGTGAACGATGACGATGTAGAGTTATGTGACATTGCTCATGCATGATATTCCTTAATAAACGAAAAAACGGCGTGAGGAAGACTCCTCACGCCGTCTATGGCCCCCTCACGGAACGAGGTTCCTTTCGCTTTTTGGTAGCAATTGCTATATATATGAAATATGAAAAAAATGTGAACGTCGACGCGCCGACTGAGGTGTCGGCAAAAAGTCTTGTTACATATTTTTCGGTCTTGCTCCCATCCGCTCAGAGCGTGTATCGCGCGATATGGAACTTAGTTCTAATAATTCTATCTAATTACCTCGTATATCCTGCGATTTAACTTTAACCAGAAGTGGACTATTAAAGGCTGTTGATGATAGTTTTCCAAAAAGAAAAAATATTTACGAGGTCGATAACACGTGACACTTGTTGTATTGCGAATACTGGCAGGTCTTTAAAAATGCTTTAATCAACCAGAATAGAATGTAGTTATTTTACTTCGAAATTATATCCTTTATTTCATAGACGTAATTATAACGATACGAACATGCTGTATCGGTAGGTAGTTAATTGTTTATTGTAGGTGTTGTCTAGCAACTTGCATCCGGTTGACGATAACTTTATCTTCCATTGCCCTTCGCGGCAATAATTTAGAGCATTTATATATAGAACCCTGTTAATATGACATAATATGACAGGACCTGAAAAACTTATATTTAAGCTGTTTAATAGTAGAAACAGAAGATGATTCTGTAATACTGTAACTGGGTACCATTTCATCATCGACTTACGGACTATGTCCATAGGAATCTGCAGATGTCACAGACTTAGAAATTGCCATTTGCCATGACAAATTGTAAGAGCGGTTACGCACTACGTAAGCAGTCAAAATAAGGATCTAGAAATCTCGGACTGAACTCAGATATTGCTTTTTGCACTACGTCTGATCGGAATCATATCCGAATCCGTGAAAATATGGATCTAGAAATAAAATGTTCTCCAATGAATAATTTTCACCTGTTTTATGCAGGGTGTAAGGGACGTCGTAACGAATACTGAAACAGTGTTTTCAGACCATCATTTAAATCGAAAATCATTGCAATTTTCGATTTAAATGATCTGATTGCATAAGAAGCTTAATTTTCCGGTAAAAAATTAAAATGATTTTTGACTTGAATGTTCTGAATACACTATTTCAGTATTCGTTGCGACGTCAGTTAGACCCTTTATAATTTGTTCAACCTTTTATCCAATATTTTAAACGAAATAGAAACCCGAGATACTGCTATATGGGTAAAATATAGTTAAATAATAATAATAAGGCAAGTACTATTTTTACCTTTTTTTGACGGGGTGGAAAAACCCTTCGGATCTCCGGCTCTTCGGGAACATAGGAGTTAGGAGTATGTGGTGTTTCCACTAAAAACCACCCCGACAGCCTTTCTCAGGCGCCCTGCTATGGAGAAGACCCGGACCATGGCTTTTCAGGTCCCCCCCCCCCGGATCAACGGCTTCCCCCGTTTATTGGCCCAATCAATGTATTAGGCCCGATCACATTTTACGACCAGACCGACATCCTATCGCCTACAGACAGACAGTCTAGTATGTATTTAGCGGTCTATCAAAAGAGTTGAGTTGTTATTACACATATGGTATGACTATTTCGGTCGTTTAATAATCTTATCTTAAAAATTAAAAATCTCTTCTTATGAAACTTCTTCTAAATCTCATTCTGATCAAACCAAAACAGTTAACCCAATAAGAAATGACGAAAGGACTCTTCAACTTGGTCAACATTTATGCAGACTTCTCTGATTCAATGAACGTGTAGAGTTATGTTGTTAAATCTTTTTCCGTACAGACGTACGTCTATCTACGAGTAACGTCTTTATTTTTCTGTTACATCCGATTTTAAGAATTGGCTATTGTATGTCATGAGAAGTTTTCATAGTTATCTAGTTTTATCTGTATCAGAATCAGCAATCATGATCTCTTAAGCGAATGCACAAAACAACATGTTTAAAACTTTAAACCATATTTTTATAACATTTTTTAGCTTATTTATTTAACAACTTTATGCGCAAAATATACAATGGCAGACCAATGCCAATGCCATAGGCATTCTCTACCAGTCTATGAATGAGAAGGTACACTATACTTGGTTGAGAATTTTAACGTGAACATAAAAAGCACTACCTAAATGTTAAGAAATACTGTCTCTCACAGAAGAAGAAATGAGAAAAAGCAATGAAATAATTTAAATATTACAACGTATACATACAAAAATACATACATTCATATTAATATTATGTATATACAAGTACACATACATATATAACATAAGATATAAAGTATCATATTTGTGATGATTCTGCTATATTCTGGGTAAGGAGAGCTCGTACCTTCACCCTGAACGAATTACGATTGGTTGCCATTTTGATTTCCTGGAGTAGAGCTTTTCAGAGAAGTACAGATTGAGTGAGGAAGGAAAAATGGACAAACGCAGAAGTGTGGGAAGGGTATAACAGAAGACGAATATTTGTAGAGAGAAGGGTTCTGTTATGATTGGAACACAGGAACTTAAGCTACCTTTTAAAGTTAATCGTTGCATGAAAAAGCAAATCACACATACGCGATACTTTCTTATTCGTTGGTGAAGCATGAAAGTTAACACATTAAGAAAATCTAACCGTAATAAACGCTAAACATATTTTCATACATCCTCAAAAGTAACTGGTATCCTAGTAGAAAAATATCTTGATTAAAACTGCAGGTTCTTTTAGCTTTCAAGACTAACAGTAGCCACTGATTAAGTCACAGTTTTTGGTTTCTAGTTTATTGATTCGTATAGTTATTTAAGTATAACGTTACTTAATTATTTCCGTATATCGTATAGTCTTCAGGTTACACAGTATTGCACTAATTACAATTAAATTTCCGACAAATGGGGCCTTTTCCTTTTATTTGTTTGAGTTTTCTTTCACAAAGCCTAAGAATAAATTATTTAAAAAACATCGTCTTCGCAGCCAAGCAAACGATTAAATGCATGAGGATCATACTAATTTACCCTACGAAAGAAATCAAAGACCCCTTTGTTTTTCATTTTGTGACCCTTTTTTAAGAACATAAATCTTACTTGCTCTACATTGTATGGTGAAAATAATATAATCAGTCTTAAGCCTTTTTAATGCGGAGGCTACAAAATACTTTAAAAATAATGTTACCATCGTATACTCGTATTGTACCTTGCCTGATATTTATCAGGAAAGGTACTATACGTAATATATTTATATGATAATGCTTTTCCCTTCTCTTTAAAATAACCGATGATGAAGGCAGATAAAAGAAATGCATTCAAAAACCTTTGCATCCTTACTAAGCCTACTGAATTTGGTGCAACACTTAAACTAAGGATACAGATTACCTATAGACACAGATAACAATATCCAGTAAATCCTATCTAGTTTGAACAAAAACAACGAGTCCAATATGTAAGGTTCCTCATTCATTACAAACACAAAGTTTTTGTAAAGAGTTTAAACACAGTACCACTGAAAATTATGCCTTCAAATTAAATAACACGAATACCACACACTAAAGGGTTATACATAAAACAATGCATCCAGTAGGTACTATATCACTGACAACATCATAAGCAGCCGAATCCACCGGCGATTGCCATTGAAATGTGTGTGATATTCGCCTATTATCAATGGCATGTCCCAATACTTTCACGCGCAGCGCGGCTTGGCCTGCGGTGCGCGCGCCACCCCCTCTGCGCACGCGCCGAACTATAAAAGCCTGCTCCCGCCCTCATTTCGTACAGACGCAAGTTGCACTTCTACATAGCGATTCCTGGAAGGCTTAGTCTTCCATCAGCGCTATATATCAATCTTGATAACTTTAACATAACATCTATCTCTATTTCTTTCTCTTTTACTTCTGTGCCAACTACAAAACAAAAATGAATCCCATGGTAAGTAATCTCTTTATTTCCACATCATTTCCATTAACTGACTATCAATCATTACAATGATCGTAAGACGACAGTGACAAGTTCATTGCGATTGGTTTGGGGTTTGATAACATCATCAAAGTGAGCCTGATGTGGCCACTTATACTCCATAGATCATTTATGTAAATGATACAGTTCTATTCTGTTGATTAACTGGCTTACAATAACTTTATTTTAGTAACTACATCTGATATCGAGACTAGTTTCTACACATTGCTGTTTCTATGTAATACTTACTCTCTGTAAATAGTTTCAGTAACTTATACGCCCAACTTAAAAAACAAAGGAATTTACAAAGAAAAAAAAAAGTTTAATAGGTACCTATTGTTACAATAAAGGATTAGTGAAAATTCTTCAATACAAAATCTGTTGTTAAACCAAGCTAATAGCGAAATTTTGAGTTTGGAATTAATTTAGTAATATGCGTTAAATGGCTAATAACAAAGTTAATAAGCATGACGTGCACAACTAGGCCCCTGTGTCGAAAATAATGCAAGCGCACGCACGCCACCGCAGGTCATTGTCACTTATCGTTATTTTTATTAATAAATTTACGCTCTATTTGTTACACACCTCGTGATTTTTTAATTGTCTTTTTATATAAAAAACAGTAATACCTATCTAAATATCTCTTTTTCTATGCTAGCTGTTTCTTATTTTATCTTGATCCACGATCGCTAAATATGTAGAAATTTATTCAAATTACGCGAAGTATATAATAAACTTTTTATAATGGAATACATCACTAAGTCCATTATTTTATTTTGTGAAGTTTGATCACCGGTTATGTTTTAAAGTATTCAAAAATGGCTCATATTTATAACATTTCGGCAAATGCGATAAGTCGCGTTTCATTTTGTTTCATTTGCTTGAACAAAGTAATTTATTAATATATATTTATTTCTATTAGTATACATTGTAGACTAGATTAGCATCGTGTGAGTGAATCAGAGCAAAACTGGCTGAGTACTCCCTCTGCGTGTCAATGTCATGCCACTTGACCAATTGTAGATATCAATCTTTAATAATAGTCCTTAGCCTAGATAATTCTAAGTGTTAACTCTTTAGCTACTTAGAATAAATAACTTTAACTAAATATATTAAAGTTTACTATCACCATTCACAACTTCAAAGTAGTAATTTTATGTACAAGGCGATTGGACTAAAATAAAACACAAAAGTAGTGCGTAAATAGACATTTGACGTTTCCACTATGTATAACTTATAATTTAGTGCGTTATTTCTGTCTAAATACGGAATAAATTATTTAATACAATTTTTAAATTGATATCTGGGCACCTATTGTAAAAAGCGACAAGTCAATTATTGAAAAAAACGTACTTAAAATAACAAACAATATGTTTTATATTTTTTTAGCATTTCTCGTTCAAAATTACATTTAATAAAACGTCAAAATGCATCAAGGCGTTTAAGTATGATAGAAAGTGCCTTTTTTTTTTTTTTTTTTTTTTTTTTTTTTTTTTTTTTTTTTTTTCCGTGCGGAAATCCCCTCGGATACCACCTGTCGGTGGCATGTCGGACTCGAACCGACTAAAACCGCACGCCTTCGCCGGGTATTAATAGCCGGGGAACCAGGTATACCCTAGAAAGGAAGGCCCTGGTGCCCCGACATACCTCGGGTCATCTACAGACGAGTAGACGACCCCCGCCCCGTGTGGGAACCCCATGTTCCCTGTGCTCCCTGGAAGCGAGCGCGCTTCGCAACGCGCTCGCCACCACCCCGGCCTGCTTCTGCTAGGGTGACAGATGGCCTCACCTGTCACCCCCAGGCCTGCGCTTATGGAGGACGGAGGTCGTTCTGCGACCTCCGGCGCCTGAGTCGCCTGCGCTGCCTGGCCCGTGCCCGGGCCTGGCGGGCCGGGAGAGTTCTAAACCTCTCTCGGTCCCGCTCCGCCGTCTCCTTCGCGAGCATAACTTGCTCGCAGAAGGAGACGGCAGAGTTCCACGCACTCTCGCTCCGCACGATAGCCGCAATCAGGCTATCGAGCGAGAGAACTCCCACTCCGATGGCCGCCACGAGGTCTCGCCTCTGCTCAACCCACGCCGGGCACTCTGCCAGCGTGTGGAGAGCCGTGTCCACGGTCTGGCCATCGCAGTGGTGGCACTCAGGCGTTGGCTCCTTGCGGATCAGACACAGGTGATCTCCGAAACATCCCTTCCCAGTGATCACCTGCGTCAATCGGTATGAGAGGGTCCCGTGACGCCTCTCGAGCCAATCCTCCATAACGGGTCTTACCGCCGCAATGACGGCGTGCCCAGCGCTCGGTTGCCCGGATAGAAAGTGCCTATGACTAGACCTGTGTACACAGTGTACCTACGTGCAACAAAAGGTCTTGATTCAGTTCCCAATTAATATATTTGTGTAACAATACCATGTCCAAGGTACACCCCCACATTCGCTATATGTGGCGCTTTATATCCTTACTTTCAGTAGTAATTGTCCATGACCCTACCCACGCATTGTACTTGTATTTTTTTAGTTGTAGAGGTTTATTTATTTTATATTTTAATATTATATCCATGTTCCAGTAAATAATTTAAACACTTTAATTTAATAAAAAATGATTCACGATAAAGCGAAATTTGGCAATGATTTAATATAATAACTTTTTAATTGTTATATAAAACCCATGTTTTGGCAACAGAGGAATTTTCCTCTGATAAGATTAAAACGGGACTGAATTCCACAGGTTTAATAAAAAAGATAAAACTATTCGGAAAACTATTTCGGAAATAAACACAAATTGTTGTTCTGTGTCTGGGTGTTCTTTGTGTCCGTTCCACCGCGACACAGGATTTTTTCCTAATGCGGGCGTTGTCTTTTATAAAAAAATAAAGAAGTGCAGTGCAAGCACGCTTAGCTGAGATCACCCTCTGCCTAGACAAACCTCATTACTGTCGTTTCTACGTCAGGCATAGACAAACACATGTCATCAAACTGGTATAGTTCTAATTACCGGAAGGCGCGCCGTCGGCATAACACTAGTGTTAACCTCGCCGCTCACCAATGCTTTTTGTCTGCATTCCACTGCGATAAATTTAGAAGGGCATGCCCACGCACCGCCCCGCGACATTATCAATATTTTAATTACATTATTTAGAACGCCCACCGCACACCGGTGGCGCACAGGACCACTGATATTAAAAAAGTCGTCCGGAAATAATTGCATTCCCTTTTTGAAAACTGACCTCAACTCGTTTCTTTTGGTATTTTTTTTTGATTTTTATTTTTAATTCTTAGTCTTAATACAAATTTTATTAGTTTCCAAAGCAAATTATTTATTGTACACTTTAATGTTTTTAAAAACAAGAATATGAACTGGCGTTAAGTTCTTTAAAAGTAAAGTTTTTCTTTGAGATTAATGTACATTCCAATTTTCTTTATATCCTATAACCCTCTTAAAATACACTTTTAATTGCTAAACATTACATTCATTTTGGAGACGTTAGATTATTACTTTGTTTTGCTTGAAATAGAAAACGATGGGTATTAAATAAAAAAAGTTTTGGGGAAATAACAAGCGAAAGAGTTGTGTGTATTGTTTTCAGATCTGTTTGGTTGCCTTCATTATTTGTCATTTTAGTACGATAAACTATCTCAAAATTAATATGGTCACCTTATTAATTGCCTGCAACAAGGTAGTGGGTAAAAAAATATGATTTAAAGTTTTCTCATTATTAACCGTTTATAATTTTGTCTGTATAAGATCCATAACATCCATCCATTGCAAATGTCATAGTTTTAAAGAAAAACGCCATGTTTGTAAATAGTTAACAAAATTTGACCAAGTATGAAATAAAATTGCCAGAACACGCAGTTAACTCACGATTTAAACCGTCTCAACACGCCGCGTCGTGGAAGAGGAAGCACAAAACTAGAGCAGAAATATTGTTAAGTGGTATATAAAGTTTAAAACTTATGGTTTTAAACTTTAATAGGGTAAATAATAAAAATATAAATTGGAAAAAATGCATAAGTCGCTCGACAACCGAGGGTAACTAGTATGAATGTGACGGCTTGGGCAGGTCCGGAAGGCTTACTTCCTGCTTCGCGACCTTCGGCTAGCCTTCGGACCTTGGCGCCGTTCACTTACTGCTTAGAAACTGAGTTTAATTTGTGATTTAACAACGAAAGCGTTGTCAATATGAGTGTAAGACAATTCGCGTGATCCATATCAATTATCCAATATACAACACTTCGTAAATTATGCAATTTATTCATAGAAGAAAGTAATACTATTAAGAAATCGTCATATAAGATTTACATATTCTCTGTCTGAATGGCAACTCTCCCCAATTTCGGCTTTCGTTCAACAAACTCCGATACCTATGAATGAGTGGAAGTTTTTTTTTTATTTGTATTGCTAAATTTACAACGAAAAATAATGCCTCTAAAAAAGAGAAGAAACGAAGGAATTTGAAAGCAAACGAATCACCTTTCATATTAAGTATTTTACTTATGCTAATTTCATTTTAATTATGAAAGTATTTTATTACTATACCAGCTGTACCACGCTTCGTTGTGGCACATTGTGGTTGGATTGATGAAAAATGAGATAATTTCTCATTTCTAATCAATGCAACGGGCCAAACGTGCAAAATAGATAAGTACAACCATAGAAGCAGAAGCAGTCGTAGGTACATCGGGTCAAAATTTGAGCTCAATTGGAGCAGAAATCATTGACTTTTTGAAGCGTACACAAACCAACTTAACATTTTTATGTATAGATTTTTTTCTCTATGAAAGATATCTATCAAGATAGAAAATCAACTGTCTCGGATGCTTTAACAATATTCAAATAATGGATTCATAATATAAATTTAGATTGTTATTTGAAAATATATACCCTGAGTTATTAAAAATTAACGTGAAAAATAAATAAAAATTATAAAGACATTTTGCAGGATATTTTAATACACTCCTAAATCCTAAATCTTTATTCAAATAAATTTACGCTTGTATCAGGAAATATTGAGAGCCCATAGAAATTTAATAAATTCCAATAAATAGCACAGATACAGAGTATTCAAATAATCTAAACCGAAGTTGTAGGGCCTTTTGTGGGTTATTTATAAACATTAAGCCAACAGCAAGAAACTGAGGTAAGCCGTTGACACGTTACAACGATTCTTTTTTGCGTAATACGCAAACCTTCTAAATCGCGTTCACAGTTTGGCGTTACAAAATTTAACTGATAAGTATGGTTTTCGCTACACTCCGTATGTTATCAAGGTCGGGTTAAGTTTCTCCTAGTTCTCGAAACGTTTATCTGATTACAGGGTTAAATATATCTAGCACAATAATGCAAGATACGCTCCGTCGTGACATGAATAAAATGTGGTAAAACCATTTGATATGAGTTAAATATCATAATGACATCTTAAACAAAGTATTCTTACAAGAAGACTGTTGCAAATTATTTTTATTGTGTACATTAAAAGTGATTACCAGATCAAATGTCTGTGTAACGAACAAAGTATTGCGGTTTCTACAGAAAACAATGATAAATTAGTTTAATAAAATATCTTTAGTAGATTCTCGTCACATGCACTAAATCCTTATGTTTATACATGTAGAAGAATAAATGCGATCATTATCATATTGCACTGCATTACCTCAGTGACTTGACACTGGACAAACCACGGAGCCGCTGGACTGCAGTACAGCCCACGACTTGACCGCAGGCCCTGACCAACTTACGAATTACGTGCATGAACTTATACCATGCATTCCTTGTTACACCTCGTCTTATCCAAGTTTTCGTATGCCCTAGATGTTAATTATACTAAACTAATGACTCAGACGCGGCTATTTCAATGTAAACCACCGTAATTTATACAAATATTAATGAAAGCATACAGTTCTTGCATTGTAACTTTATTTTAAATATTTTCAGTCATATTAAATTTGTCAAAGTAAGATATAGGTTCTCAAAATTAACAAATACTTACTTTAAAAAAGACAGGATTATAAATACAAGTATTTAACGTAACACTAATTAACGATTTTAAATTGATTTAATGCTTTCAAAAATATTAAAATTTCACAATAAACGTACTATGTAATTACTAAATTAATAGAAATTGAAGACTGAAAAACGCTTGCATTATTGCGTTTTCTTAAATTATTTAAAAACATTAACGCAATTTAGTTTTTGTAAAATTTAGTACTTATTATTTATGTGTTTAAAAATCGATACAAGTGTAGTACTAGTTATTGATCATAACTTTAGGTGCGTAGTTCAACACTCAGGTTTAACAAAGGCTCGCCAGATTGAATTAGTGCAAATGTCTTTGAAATGTCAACAAGAACTTGAAATAGGCTTTCGTATTAAACCTTTACAGCCGTTTAATATTCAATGCAAATATGTAGAACTATAATACATTTATCAATAAAATATTCGAATACAATTTACTATAATCATTTTGCGAAAGATTCATATTCTAAGCTATCGAGAGAGAGTATAGTAACACCTTGATCTCTTTTGTACAAAAATATAACACTTCTGTAAAATCTATGAAACCCTTCCTATTTCCCTTTACTATACAAATTAAGAAGATAAAGGGAGTAAAACAGAAAGCCTGTATGTTATTTACACAATATGTGTGTTATGCTAGACCACACACTCCTTTAAAAACTCACACTCAATGTGTTAAAAACATTTTGCAGCCTTCTAGATTTATACACATTTATTATTTACTTAAATACTTTACTAAGCTGTTTTTTTTTATAATATTTTATGTTTAAATAAAATTATCCAATTTCCTCAAAATATAACTCTAAATTCAAAAATAAAACTTAAGCAATAACTTAATCTGCAATTAACGCGAAGGTTATACGACTATAACCTCCATCAGTCGGTTTTAATTGAAAATATTGTTACAATAAACGAATAATCAAATCACTGTTACCAATTAGTAAAGCAACATCTAAAGGCAGAAATGACATCAATGATAATAGAGAGTAATAAAAATTGTCAAACCCAGATTTAACGCAAAATATATTTACTAAATGGCATTCTCATAGTACCAGTTGGCGGTCTCATGATGGCAATGAAATTGATAACTTCGCGACACCTTTAAAAACCCGTCCTGGCCACAGTCCTTCCATATTCGGTTCTGTATCAACTGTTAAGGTCTCAGTAATCGGTGGCAATGAATAATACTTGTACGTAATCACATTCTTCGTTTGTGGTGTCATTTCACATTAAACTTGCTCCATATAAGAATAAAAATAAAACCACGTCAATACACACATGTGTACACATATGTATATACACATGTATGTTTCCACTACACTATAGATGTCAATGTAATGTTGGTGTGAAAGAAATTTATTCATTTTATTTATTTATTTATACATCTTTATTGTACACCGTTACAGTATATATTGTACAGATATGGATGGACATCTACATTTTGCTATTAGATTAGGCGGTCTTATCGGTCACGGCGATCTCTTACAGACAACCTTTACACGGATATTGTTTAACTGATTTAGGGTAGTCTATGGTACTTTATAACACTTTAGATAATTAATATATATAAAACTTAAAGTATAAAAGAATAAGCGCCATGATTGCCTTGATACCGTATGACCCCAGCTGTGGGGGAAGTAATTTTTAATTGCAAAATTCACATACTTGGTCCATACGTTACAGTCATCAAACCTACGTCAAATTGTAGAGTTTAAAGTGTTATTCAAGAAAAAACTGATTGCAATGACCCAAATTGAGGCAATCGCGAGTTTTTTATCGCCAAATTCACAATTACTTGGTCCATATGTTATAGTGATCAAATCTATATCAAATTGTAGAGTTTAAAGTGTTATTCAAGAAAAAAAATGATTCCCTGAATAAAAAATGACCTAAGTTGAGGCAATCACTAGTTATCCCTAAAATAGCCTGAAAAGGAGTATTCGATTTAAACGAAGATTTACATTAAAATAACGCAAGTATTTATTTAGCTTCACGTTTCTTCAAATCACAACCCACTGTTATGATTAAGATAACATTGATTTAAACACATTTTCTCAACATAACTCATCAAAACTTTAACTTTAAGTTAAAATGTACGATATTCACGTGTCCACGACGACCTCACTACCAACGTATTTTTGAAAGGAATTTTTTTAGCTGGCTTAAACGCTCAGTGTGGCCAGGAGAAAAACAATATAAGCTCGTTTAGAAATAAAACAGCTTTGACCATTCTCTTAAATAGAATTTCACTATCAGATTTTTATTCCTATTTACCCCGCCACTCCTATTTACCCCATTTTACGGTACATGATACATAACCGTCTTGTTTTTTTATGTAAATCCTCAATATTATGTCATCTAAATCTAATTTATTATGAACTTGTATTTAAATCCCACAACAGACTTGTAAATCTCAGTTAGTCTTTGTATAAATATCGGTCATTGCTTTACAGGTAGTACTTGTGATTGTTACAGTTATAAAGATAACTAACTTTAGTATTGCATTGTGCAACCGACACCTGATCGAAACGAGGGCGAATTAACACCAACAACTAAAATTAAATAACTGTTGTATTGTATAAACTTGTCGAATGTATAATGACAGGGCAGCAACCAGCAACACGAATAGCAATTAGACTTGGTCTGTCACGCCAGTAACTTTGAATCATATCGCTTTAATAAAAGTTATAGGAGGCAAAGTAATCCCTAGTAATCCTTAATAAACTGTGCAAAACTATCGCATTTAGAGTATGTTTTCAGAGATGAACACTGGATAGGAGAAGTGATAGACTTGTCCTTATTGTTTGCGAAAGAAGTCAACGTTATTAGGCTTGAAAGATATTTAGTTTCCTTTTAAAATTTGTAGTAATATCTTTTATGTTTAAAAGATGATATCACCTTTCATCGTACTAGAACTTCCGGCAAACACGATAAGGTTTTAAAGTTGACAATATTAATGGTATGATTACGATTGTTCACAGATCATTGTTGCTTGTTTGGCTTTGGCTTGCGGTGCTCAAGCATCGCAAGGGTGGGCCGGTCCCCCCGCCAACATCGCTCTATCCCAGGACGGACGCAACATCCTCGACACACCCGAGGTAGCACAGGCGCGTGCCGCTCACCTGTCTGCGTTGAACCAGGCTGCCCAAAACAACCCCAACCCCCAAGATGACGGCTCTTACAACCCTCAATGGGACAATGAGGAGTACTGGCAGAAGGCTGACCAGAACAAGTGGAACGCTGCTCCTGCTCACAACCAATGGAACGCTGCCCCCGCCCAAAACCAATGGAACGCCGCTCCTGCTCACAACCAGTGGAACTCTGGCGCACCTGCTCCCGTTGCTGAGTCTGCACAAGGCGCTCAACAGTGGAACGCTGCTCCCGCTCAAAACCAGTGGAACGCTGCTCCCGCTCACAACCAGTGGAACGCTGCTCCCGCTCACAACCAGTGGGACTCCTCCTCTCAATGGAATGGTGCTCCTTCCTGGCAGGGCGGTAACCCCGCTCAGCAGCCCGCTAACATCAGATTAGCCAACGATGGTTCTGGAATCCTTGACACCCCTGAGGTTGCCGCCGCTCGTGCCGCCCACTTACAAGCTCACGCGCAAGTCGCGCACGCGGCCCCCGCACACGCTCCTCAGCAACGCTGGTGAACATCTTAAATCTTCTCTTCTTCGGGCCCTCTGGACGGATAGCTCGCTTCGCGCGCTTACGGTTGCGCGACAGTTATCCGTCGAGAAGGCCAGTTCTTCCTCCGATCTCCTCTTCATTTTCCTCTTTATTTTATTTCACTATTTCAAAGTGCAAGTGCGTCTAGCCTATTCTGTCTTGTGCCTTTTTTGTTACTTTTATAAGAAATTTCTATTGAAAGAACTTTTTGTACATAATAACTAAATGTATGTATGCGTTATTAACGAATTATATAGAACGTAAACATTTTATATGTTGTTTAAATAATCACGTCTACAAACCTCTTGTAAGGATTATCGTTTGTCGTACAAGGTTTACAAGTAAAGTATAATACCGATCTATATTAAATAACCGTCTATGTTGGTCGGATGATGTCGGAAAAGCAAGAAAGCAATGGGACGTCGTATCGCCTTTTTCCTTTGTGAACTGTTATGCTACTGAAAAACCAATCTATTTAAATCGAATTAAATCTTAAAAGTAAATCATATGCACTTCTAGTGTGCCAGTTACACAAAGATTTTAGGAGTTGCGAAGGCAAGAATGTATATGTATAAATGCCACACAAGATTATACCACAGCATAAGACACAGCACAGCATGAAGGGAATAATACTATCGATGATTAAATCTTAATCTCATGTCTACTGTGAAAAATGGAAATCAGACAAGTTAAAATGTTCTTTATTTTAAAAATAAATAAACTGTTTTTAATATCTTTAATAAAATGTTTGAAACAGACACAGAAAACGAGATAAACTTCTTCTACAATACGGCAATACTTTAAAAATAAGTAAGCATGGGCCGAATTGCAAATAAGTGTGGTCAACATAGAGGCAAGTAGTTTAATTTTTTTTAGATATTGATCTGATACAAAAGTTACGAGCCAAGGTAGGTGGTCTCGTAACCACACATGTCATAGCGTGACACCCATATGACGAAAGTGCATAGATTTCGAAAAAGATAGCAAAACTTTAGAACAATTATCTGTGTTTAAATGATAAAAACGTAGTGTCAATTAACAATGTATAAACAAACAGTACGTAGTCTACCAGACACGTGAACAAGTCATGGTTTATATTAAACGAGAGCCACAACGATTACAGGCAATATCTAAATTATTTAATAAATATAATGTTACCCAAAGTAGAAAATTAAAGGCTTGCTAGCTAATTTACGATAGAGTTGAAACTCATAATTATCGGGCTAAGGTAGAACGACAGAAACTAGGAAATGTATAATTTTGCCATCGAAAGCTTTCGATGGAGGCGGTGCGAGGTCGATATTTCAAACGATAGAACGCAATCAAACGATTAGTTTGTAAATATTAGCTTTGGAAAATAGGGTTACAAGTGAAAATTGGATGTCCTTTATTACGTAGCACGGACTAGGCTGAACATTTTCTCACTAGTGATTCATCGGTATCACACGTGCCGCCAGAATTCCTAATAATGTTAGAATATCCTAACAAAGAATTTGGTATACGACCTCGAAATGCACCTAAGGACATACTTAGAAAGGTAAGCGAACTATACGTAGCTTTCTGTTGATGATGAGCGTGATAACTTCACAGAAAGCGGAAACCATTTATTATTTAAGAATATACTACAAAAAATTCACAATGGCGGCATAGGCATTCTCTACCGGTCTACCGTAAGGTAATGTGGTAATGACTAATAAGATGCATTATACATACTTTAGTTAGGAATTTTAAATTAAATAAAAAAGAACTAAATATTAGGCTAAATATTTTTAAACGAGACGATATTCGTCTCGTTCAAAAGCAGCAGCGAGGAATTTAATGTAATATAAAATAATTGCTTTCTTTATTTAACAGCAACGCTATTGGAATCATGGACACGAAGAACGGCCGCCGTGGTATGTTTGGGATACTACAGAACACAGAAGTAAAAGTGAAGTAGGTATTTATTAGTTAAATGTGCGAATTCTTCTTTCCTACATTACTTTAAGAAATCTAAAAATAACTAGATGTTTGTGTTGATATCGACTGTTACCTTCTAGATACTACTAGGTACTAGTTGCATTGATGCACGAAATACGAATGATATTACTAATACTTACCAGATATATATATAAGTTTTTTACCCTTTACCTTATCCCCGTCAAATCTATTTACAGTATTTAAATTAATAAAACTATCACAGTAGTATCCTAAAATGATTTAGATGAAATTTATATGCTGAACATAATATGCAATTATTATTTGAGTGTACAAATGCTTCAATTACCGGTCCACGTACCCGACGCCTAAATGAGTCGACGAGGTTATTCTAAAAACCGAATACATTATATTTATTTACTGTCATAGTTTAACTAACGTCTTAATTTTCGCAGAAAGAATTTAAGTAATAGTAGAATTTATTTAGCACGAGTACACTGCCGTTAGTGCCAAATTTTAAAAATTGGCATAAATAGCATAGCATAGTTAGCATAGTTTTATTTCAACATATCATATCGACTGGCAATAAGCTCAACAAGCATATCATTTTGTTCAATAAATAAATTATTTTTCTTATATTTTTATAATAATAAATTACATTGTCTTTTACTTAAAGATGGTTGATACATGATTTTAAATCTTATCTTTTTCATTTTACAAGATTTTTAGAGTTATTTCGCTGATATTGCTCTCAAATGATGGTCACTACGATGATCATTGGCAAAACGCAAGACGTTTTTGTCAAGTTTTCTTTCTCTCTTTCAGTTAGTATAAAAAAAACGTTTTTCATCTTAAATTACACATTAAATTTAATGTCGAATGCAGGCATAATGAAGAAAAAGTTGAAAAAAAGATTAACTAGCAACATTCAATGTAAAGCGAAAATGAAAATCGAAAACAATTTTATCATTTAGGTATAACTGCGTGAATTGGGAACTGAGGGAAATGATGTTCTGAGGAGTATAAAAGTGCTAAGACCACCAATTATAATACAGTGACATAACATAGCTTTAATACTTAGGCAATAATCTCCTATATATATATAAATGTCAAGTTGGTTTGTGTACGCCTCAAAAACACAAAAATATCTGCACCGATTAAGTTTAAATTTTGACACGGTGTACAAACCACTTCAGAGATGGTTTTACATATTTTTCGAGTGCCTTCTGTACCATTTCTCATCAATGCAATGACAATGTGCCACAACGTCGAGTGACAGGGTATAGCTAGTTGAAAAAATAATAAATTCAAAAGTAATGTAGGTCTATTATCTATAATAGGAAAGATCAACTGTCGCACAATACCAAGCGAGACTTCCAAGATCAGAAAGGCAACACACCAAATTTTTTAGTAAAGAATTGCGGAATTATCTACAAACGTCTACTCTGCATGGGCTTCGATACATCGGGCAGCGAGAACTTACTTGGTGTGAAAGGTAACTGTGAAACATATTCACATCACACTTTTCATCATCCCTTTCTCTATCCTTTTCATAGTCCAATGCTGGACATAGGCTAGCAGAAACATATTAGTATATAAGAAATCATAGAAACAACGATGCAACGAAACACTTCATAAATAAAATTTTACATTAACTATGTGTACATTTACGTAAGTAAATAAGCATTGAAGAATCCTAGTTTTGGCTGGAAAGAATAAAGAAATTCTTAATCTAGATCTTTCGCTCTTATTTGTGGGGTATTTCTTTGGCCCTACTACACAAAACACGAGGTGAATTTGGCGGATGGTAAAGTAAGTCAAAAAGTGAGTGACAAAGCCATTTTCACTCTCGTATACCTACGCTAATGCATCCTCATACAGTGATTTTCAACACAAACAAATTTTGAGTTCATTGATTTGTAAAGAAAATATCATAATTTATATATACAAGCCAATTTATCTCAATGCAGTCTTATTGCTTTTCCTTTTGCAGTTAGGTACACTTCTTTACAGTCATTATAATTATTTATAGTTAAAAACAATAGACCTGTGTCTTTATCATTAAAATTCTGCAGAGTAAAAGGAAAAGCCAATTTAAATCAGACTAAAATCACTTTTTTAAATTGTTTATTTATAAATTGCGATAGCGCAATGATAAATCATTAAGACTTGCACAGAGTACAAATACTATACTAAATTCTAGGGAAAGGCCATCACTGGCAGTTATGCATCCTGTCAAACAGTAATACAATACATTGTTATGGCATTTGCTTGCGTCTTAATCTTTATATGCTCTCGAGCTGTATGAAGTTTTTAATCTGTACTTAATAGAGAACAAAATGCTGTGTTAGGCATAAATTACATCAACGCTTTTCAGATTATTTTGGTTGATCGCTGTCATGTGCTCACTGCTGTGTACAGGATTCTTTATACAAAACGTTTACGCGAAATGGCGTATGTCACCAATGATAGTAAGTATCAACCCAAAGAACATAGAGCTCGAAGAACTACCCTTTCCGGCAATTACAATTTGCAATATGAACCAAGCCAAGAAATCGGTGGCTTTGCGATATTTAGAAGAAGGGTAAGTAGAAATTGAGCTCCTCGTATTTTTATTTTTAATTATCCTTCAACGACGTTCCGTAGGCATGTTTTCATTCCAATTCTTAACTTCGTAACTTCTAAAACTTATTTAATTTTCCTTTAGTAGAATATAATAATGAAAAAAAAATGATTTATTAATTTATTTAACACTTCCTTCAAAAAGATTACGTAGGCAGACTTGATGCAGTAGCAGTAGGCAGTGAGCAATACTGGCTCTGACTTGGAAAGGAGGCAGTGGGTTTCCGATTAATCAGGCGGAAGAGATAAAGATGTAGGTACTGTTTCAGAAACCACGTCGATAAGAAGTTACTCAGACATTTATGCAGCTCAAGAGAAGACTCGTCGAGATTTGAGGACGACATCGCTGGCAGCGCCGACTGGGACCACACCAGACAATTCCTCATTAATGTTAGTGGATGTTCATCCATCATCATTAAAATAAATAAGCAAATGTTTATTATTTATTTTAACACATGAAAGCATAATCTGAAGTCTGAAACCGTGAAGTCGCTTAGTTTTTTAGATTTGGCCATTTATAATAAAAAACTAGCCGTTCCCCACAAATTTACCTGCGTCTATGGCTCCTAGATTCACTGCTCATCTTCCAAGCTTCCTGCTTCCAGCTTCATCTTCAAAATTTTTCAATTATTAAAAAATGTTTTATTTTTTATTTTAGCTAATCAAAGTACTGATCGAAATATTTATACATTTTACCATTTTGATGGCAGTTTGTTTATCGCTTTACTGTAGACTGTTGGACGGGAAGCGATGAACTCAGCGAGAACGTATTGTACTGCCTCTAGGGTGTTGAATTTTTTCCCACTTAAAAAATTAGAAATCTATTCGACAAAGTCCGATGAGTGACGGGGAGCTTCCAGCTGTAACTCATGTAGCATTGCGATGGTCTGTCGTGAAGTGTGAGCTCGCGCGTTGTCGTGGAGTAGCAATGGAGAAGAGCGATTGAGAACTCTTGTTTGTTGAATTGCGAGCTTCTTCATCATTGTTTACAATTCTTGCTAATAGACATCTGTCGTCACTGTTGTGCCATGCGGTAAGAAGCTGTGATGTACAAGTCCGGCACTAGTCCACCAGACAGTCACCATCATCTTCTTATGGGTAAACTTTTTTAGCGCTCTGATTAGGTGCTGTACCCGGGTTTTTACCTTCTGAGAAGCACGCTTATGGTTGTCGTACAGGATCCACTTTTCATCGTAGGTAACAATTCAATTCAAAATTCAGTCGTTTTTATATCGATTCAGTAGTGCTATGCATGCATCGACACGTAAGTCTCGCTAATGGTCACTTAGTTCGTGTGGCACCCACTGATCTAGCTTTTTTATCTTTCTGATTTGACGCAAGTGCTTCAATATTTTTTTGACACTAACTCCAAAGCCCGCAGCATCTCAGCCGTAGATTGAGTTGAAACCGTTTCCACTATCGCCTTCAATTCGTCGTTATCGACTATAGTTACCGGCCGTCCGCGAAACTCGTTCTTTAACAAAAAAATTCCAGATCTAAAACGATTGAACCAATAATGGACTGTGTTTATGCAAGCAGAGTTAGGCCCGTGCACGTCGTTAATGTTTCGTGTTGTTTGCGCAGCGGTATTTCCACGTAGGAACTCATATTCGAATATTGTACGAATTTTCAGTTTATCCATTTCAATAAGTGTCATTGTCGAACATCAAACTCACAATAGGATAGATTTGCCTTGGATATCATTTTTTTTTAGTTCAAAAATGAATGGTTTTCAGATCACCCAGCCATGTAACGAAATGATCGCGCAGTGCATTTGGGCCTCCAGTACGGTGAATTGTGAGGATCTTTTTAACGCTCAACTTACAGACGAGGGACTCTGCTGCACCTTCAATGCCGTACACCGAAACAACATGTTCAGAAACCCGTAAGCCATATACTTGAAGCTACTACTTGAAGGGTTTTCTTAGGAATTGGGAAGTGCACGATACACCTAAGCTCGTTCGTTGTGTCGGTAATATTCTATTTCTAAGTCACCTTATCGTGGCAGGTTGCAAGGGAACCCTCGAAATAAAATTAAACTGTAGGAATTTCTACTACGTATACTTTTTACAATAGAACAGAAAATGACTAGTCTTTTCAACTTACGACGACCGAGAAGTCAACCAACCAACTGATACGGACGGAAAGTTTCATTGCATATCACATTTTAAGGTGAATTATGCAATTATAAAATGTATAAAAATAATTGTATTAAAAACAAAAACACTTTCATTTTAACATTTTCATTCGTAACAAAACTGTTACTATTTTGTTTTGTCATACATTTTATCTTTTTAAGCAGAAATAATAACACACATTTACATATATATTTAGATATATATAAAACAAGCGTAAATCATAGAGCACTGAACATTACATTCTATACATAGCTCTGTGATTACTAAAAATGTTATGCATCCGATTCTAATGCATAAAGTACGTACTATATACAGTAAAATTCGAATCAGATGTGTACTCAATCAGATCATTTACGGCATTTAAGACGAAATTAAACTTAAAGACAGTAACAAAACCTTCGTGAATATGATGTTTTAATATGAGTGAAACTTTTTAATGAATTGCTAAATATATAATTACAAATCAAAGTAAAAAAGCTATAATAAGTACCCTCAATACAACAGGTAACATTATAATAGCAATAGTCTCTTTTAGTCAGTTTGAAGTCGGTGCCAAGCCAAAAAGGTGCTTGAAAGGCTTGGTAGAATGTAGCGTGGCAGTTGAAACAGTCTTCATGCTGTGCAACACATGCTGAACAAGCTAAAGTGGGTTACGTACATTTCTAATGTTATTATTATTTTGAACTAGCGACCCGTCCCGGCTTCGCACGGGTGCGATGCTGATACTAAATATACTACAGAATGTCTTTATATACTACGTTCACAGCTTTTTTGTCATTAGACAGTACAAACATTCTTTAGAGGTTAGTCTTGAAAGAGCGACAACTTAAATACCTTACCTTAAACTACGATTTACGATAATTAAAAATACTTACAAAATAATTGCCCAATACTAAATAGCCTTAACTCTAAATTGCAACAAAGATCTTAATAGAAGAAATACAATTGATAAATTATTTAATCTAATTCAATCTAACCTAATGTACTTACTATAAGTACGGTTTAAAAATTAACGACTACAGTACGAACACAAAATTTCGAAAAAATTGTCGGGCTGAAAAGCACGTCTTGTCTTGAAAAAATATTCACTTTAGTATTTAAATACTATCATACAATTTCGAATATGTATTTTTTTAATTTATCGTAACGTACCTACTTATAAGTACGGATTATATTGTCGCGCTGAAAAGTACGTTTTTATTAAGTATTGTTATTCAATATTTTCCTCTCTAGAGAGCTCCGATAAAAGCGTGCGATCGCTGCTAATAATAAAGTGCTGTAGGGCGAAACGCGGCCTTCGACGCGCTATTAATAGGCACGCGCCGCCGTCGCAATCGCTTTGTCCCTGCATTTTAAATCTGTCATATCTTCGTAAATATTCATTTAAAGTACATGCTGTAAACGGCCATACTGATCTATATTAAATGCACAATGTATATATACTTAATTAGAAAAGGATTAATGCTGTATTTCTTAAAATCGCTTCTTAAATAAGCCATTATTTCTCGTAAAAAGTAAAGGAATCCAAAGCGTTATTGTGGGTTATCCCTAAGAGATAGACATGTATTATCGCAAACTTTTTTGTAGACCTTTTAACATTTTACATTACAACAACTTTTACATTATTTTGATCTATCTCGTACGGTTCAGACAGCGTTTGCAATGTAAGCGCAAAAACATATGTTTATTTACGAGATCACATTGGAAACCTCTAAAATTATCAGTGTTTCTCTACTATATTATGCATGTCTCATACATATAAACCTTCCTCTTGATTCACTCTATCTATTAAAAAGATCGCATTAAAGTCTGTTGCGTAGTTTTAAAGATCTAAGCATACATAGGGACAGACAAACAGCGGGCAGCGACTTTGTTTTATACTAAGTAGTGATGCTTTATTAAGTAGGCAATAAGTCTGCGGAATCTGGTTGGTCTTTATTAATTAACAAAATCAGCGATGTTTTATTAGAATTATATTGAATTTTTTTTTTGTGCTAATATAAAACTGACATAGATCAGTATTACTTCGGGCTTAGCACCGAGCTTTTTTTAAAAGGATTTATTTTACTATTTTTAGTTTAAGATATATTTGTAATGAGTAGATAATTACGATATTTAAAATACTACGTACCGTGAATTATAGTTCCAAACTATAGTATGTTAGATTATATTAAATATAGTTTAATAAGTCCGTTACTTTATTTGGATAAGGTAGTAAGATGTTACATTTGAACCCGAAAATATATTGCTTTCCACATTACTTAATATTCCAAAACAAACAATTTTTTTTGTCTAAATGTTTTGTAATCTCATATATTACTCTTTTGAGCACATAACAAATATCATACACATACACATCACAAACACGTAACAAATATCTTGAAAGAAAAAAACCAGGTCAATACAAGATTAGATTTTAGAAATAGTTATAGTAAGTAGTCCTCTAACTCCTAAAGGGCAAGGACCCTTCCATCATCAACTCAGCAACATGACATAACGACTATTAAACGCAAATACCTATATAGCTAGAGAAATAAACTAAAACACGTTGGAGCCTGTAAAATTTGGGGGTTTCCCTCGATTTCTGTAGGATCCCATCATCAAATCCTGATTTGGTGGTAATGGACCACCTCGGGAGTATACCCCTTCGATTACAAAAATAATTTTAAAATGAAATAAATATTTTCCAAATCGGTTTACAAATGAAAGAGTTTTGAGGTAACCAACATGAAATTCTATTTATTACTCTCTTGTGCACATATCTCTGTAACCCTACACAAACACCTTACAAATATCTTGAAAGAATAAAACAAGGTCAATTAGATTTGATTTTTGAAAGAGTTATTTTCTAACTCCTAAAGGTCAAGAATCCTTCCATCATCAGCTCAACAACATGACATAACGACTACTACACGCAAATACCTATAAAGCTAGAGAAATAAGCTCAAATACGTTGTCGGGCTGTAAAATTTGAGGGTTTTCCTCGATTTCTCTAGAATGCCATCATCAGATCCTGATTTGGTGGAAATAATTTTGAAAATCAAACATACATACAAAAAAAATACAGACGAATTGATAACCTCCTCTTTCGTGTTTTTGAAGTCTGTTAAAAAAGGAACGATATATTATTTACAGCAGATCGGTAAACGATCTAAATTTAACATTTCCATCGCCGGCAGTAGACTGGACACCTGAAGATGGATACCCTGCTGATGCACCACCAGACGGTTTTCCATGGAGACCAAAAGGTAGATCAATAATTTGAAATGACATCAATTAATCATGAGATTGTTAAAAATGAGTTATTGGATATTAGCAGCTTGCCGAAGTAGCAGTATCCCATACGCCATGACACTGTAAAATTACTGCTTAAATCAATCAGCCTGGATGATCTCGCGTGTATTTATGACATTATACAAAAGACTGTTTTGAATTTGCAGGAGTCGGCACTCAAAATGGCCTTAGTTTGGTATTGGATGCTAATATAGATGAATACTATTGCGCATCAACAAAAAGTGCTGGATTTAAGGTATTATGTGCAGATTGTTACATAAAGGGGGGCTCAAATTCATATCAGGCGCATTAATTGTTTCCCCTTAAATAGTTATTATATAAAAAACACATTTCTAAATCAAGTTTCAGAGTATGTTTAAAAGTGTGTGAAATGAGGAATATACAAATAGCGCCAGTATACTCTGACTAAAATAATCACAACGCCTTCCTAAAATATATTTTAATTTAAAATATGTATTGCAGATCCTAATGCACAATCCGGTGGAAACACCGAAGCTCAGAAACTTGGGCGAGATTTATGCGCCAGGTATAGAAGGTCGTATCTCGATATGTCCAGAAATATCGGATTCGCGGTCGTCTCTTCGCACCATTGATATTAAGAAGAGACTCTGCTTGTTTTCCAGTGAAAAGGAACTAGTATTTTTCAGGTAAGTTTAAATTGTAGATGTTATCTTAAAAACGAAATAATGAATTCTAAAAAAAACACACGCCACCTTCTTATGAGCCTGGGTGATTTAAGTATGCTCGAATCAAAGCCAAGACGAAAAAAGAACTAATTTAGTTGTGAATAGGTTCGCCATATCTTACGTCAGTGTAAAATGCTCAGGTCACCCTGACAGGAGTGGGCGCTGCTTCCGCTGCGGAGAATTGGGCCATAAGGCCCGAGACTGCGCAGCGAACGAGGTGTCCGGTGTGCAGCGACCACGGCCGGCCCGCCAACCATCGGCTGGGTAGCAAGAGCTGTTGCCCACCGAAGAAGCAAAGGAGCGGAGAGGTCCAACCTCGCACCGCCTTTGCCCAATCGGGACAGCCAGTGTCGTGTGGTAACTCGACGGGAGAGGCAATGGAGGCTTAACATTCCCACCACACGCAAGGATTCTCCAGGGCAACCTCAACCACTGCCGCGCAGCGCAGGATCTATTGATCCAGACGCTTGCGGAGCAGTCGGTTGCCCTGGCAGTCATTGCAGAGCCCTATATCATCCCGGACCATCCGCGTTGGTTCGGGGCGGTCGATGGCTCAGCGGCCATTTATTGGCCGGGTGGGGAAGGCTTCCATTGCTCTCTCCTAAGAAAGGGTGCTGGCTTCGTGGCAGTGGAGTGGGGATTAACAGTGGTGGTGGGGTGCTACTTCTCTCCCAATCGTGGCTTGGCTGAATATGAGGCATACCTTCACGGGTTGGCAATCTGCATTCGCAGCTATGCCTCCCGTCTGGTATTGGGTGTCTTCAACGCCCACTCAAGGGAGTGGGGTGAAACTCGGGACGATGCGAGGGGAGAGACTATCCTGGAGTGGGCGGCTGGACTGGACCTCCGACTTCTAAATCGGGGCTCAGTTAGCACTTGTATGCGATGGCAGGGGGAGTCGATTGTCGACCTGTCATGGGCGACTCCCTCTGCAGTGCACATGGTGTCGGGATGGCGGGTGGCGGAAGTGGTCAATCTTTCTGACCATCGTATTCGATGTGTCTCTCCGCCGCGCTGACCGCCCAAGTCAGGATAGAGAACCTCCACGAAGATGGTCCCTCAAGCGGCTTGACCGAGAGATGGTCGTTGCCGCATCCCACGTGGCGGATTGGTTGGAGGAAAGGGTTTCGCCCGATCCAGAAGAACAGGCGGCTTGGTTCGGGAACATTATGGCGTCCGTATGTAATGCCTCAATGCCCCGAGTCAGGCCAGCCAGGAAGGGCTCGGCGTACTGGTGGAGCGTGGAGATCTCGCAGCTGAGAACGACGGTCGCGAGATTGCGGCGCCCGTATCTTCGAGCCCGGAGAAGACGGCGAGCTACAGCCAAGGAGATCGACGTAGCACGGCGGGAATATGGCGCTCCTGTAAAGGCTCTCAGCGATGCAATCGCTGAGGCCAAGGCTCGGTCCTGGAAAGTACTGGCCCGTACAAAATTGTACTGGGCAAGCTAAAACCATGGGTCCCTCCATTGACGGAAACCCGGAGTTCCTGGGAAGAGTGGTAGACACGCTCTTCCCAAGGGTCCAGGACAGTCCCTTGATCTCTCCGTTACAATCGGACCGGCAACTCTGTTCCGACGAGTGGGAGGTGACAGCGGGAGAGCTGGACCGAGTCGTGCGGCAGCTGGCTTCCCGCAACACTGCGCCCGGACCTGATGGTATTCCAGGTCGAGCGCTGGTGATAGCTCTGTCGGTACTGGGGGATAAACTGTGGCGGATTCTCACAGATTGTCTTAGCCTTGGTGTCTTCCCCTTCGGCTGGAAAGAAGCGAGACTGGTACTCTTGAAAAAGGGAGGTAGGACTGCAGATTCTCCCTCTGAGTTCCGACCGATATGCCTGCTGAACGAGTCGGGGAAATTCATTGAGAGGGTTATCTCCGATCGTATCAGCGGGCACCTGTCGCGAGTAGGCCCTGATCTGTCGGACTGCCAGTTTGGATTCCGACGGGGGCGTTCGACATTGGACGCTATCAGGTGCGTTCGCTCCATGTCGGAGTCGGCAGTCCGATCAGGGGGGGGGGGTGGCTTTGGCGGTTAGCCTTGATATCGTCAACGCGTTCGGCACCCTCCCCTGGCAGGCGATAAGGGCGGCCCTTGAATTTCATCAGGTGCCGCTCTACCTGCGGGCCGTCATTGGGGCCTATCTGCGCGATAGGACAGTGAAGTTTATCGGTCGGGGCGGGGTGGTAATTCGGAGACAGGTGTGTTGCGTGGTTCCCCAAGGCTCTGTTTTAGGCCCTTTGTTGTGGAACCTTGCATATGATGTGGTCCTTCGCAGCAGTCTGCCCTCTGGCCTTAGTGTTGTCTGCTATGCTGATGACACTTTAATACTGGCTAGAGGGTCACACTTCGACGAGGTGCTTCGGCTCGCCGAGCATGGGGTGGCTTGTGTCGTGGGAAAGATTCATGAGCTGGGTCGGAAGGTGGCGCCTCAGAAAACTGAGGCGATATGGTTCCATGGCCTACGTAAGCGCCAGGAACCACCCAGCTCATGCCTCGGGGTGGGTGACGCTGAAGTCCAGGTGGGCCGATACATGAAGTACTTAGGCCTCATCCTTGACAGTCGGTGGAGCTTCGAAGAGCATTTCGTGCGATTAGTCCCCCGAGTACGCGGGGTAGCGGGTGCACTGCATCGCCTGCTGCCTAATCTCGGGGGACCATGGGAAGAAGTTTGCCGTCTCTATATGGGGTCGTGCGATCCATAGTCCTCTATGGGGCGCCCGTCTGGTCTAATGACTTGGCGGGTGCCTTCCGCTGCAAGGCTCTACTCAGAAGCCTACAGCGGTTGATGGCCATACGGGTCGTACGGGGTTATCGTACCATCTCGTTTGAGGCGGCGACGGTCTTGGCGCGATATCCACCCTTCGACATTCTGGCCGACATGGACGCGATGGTCTATGACCAAGTCCGTTCTGTCGGTCGGAATGGTGAGGAGGCCGCGCCGGATCATGAGCCCGGAATGCTACGGCAGAACGCGCATACGCAGGCTCTGCGAGCGTGGCAGGCACGGCTTGTAATCCAGGGCTGTGCTAGCCAACGCGCCACGGCACAATGCCACCATTGCGGGTCCGACCGGGACTCCGCCCAGCACACGCTGGAGGACTGCCCTGCATGGAAGTCCGAACGTCGAGTCTTGGTCGGACAGATCGGACGAAACCTGTCACCGCCAGCATTAATCGCGGCAATGCTGGCGAGTGGCGAGGGATGGGCAACCGCGGTCTCCTTCTGCGAGGACGTTATGCTCCAAAAGGAGGCCGCAGAGCGGGATCGGGCGAGGGCCGATCCTACTCGAAGGAGGCGGCGAAGGGGACGTGGCAGAGGTCGCTAACTCCCCAATCGCCGCCTAAGGGTCGCTGCGGCTACATCTTAGGGCGATGTGACCGCTGTAAACGACCCGAGACAGATGACTCTCCGGTGCGGCCGGGGGCTGTCGTCTAAGGCGGGATGCTGTTGCGCCTTTTACTCTGTAGAACAGTGAGAGGCGCGGTAGCGTCCTGCCCCAAGGTGGGTCACTCCGGGATGTGCCTCAGACATGAGGTACGGCAGGGAGGACTCCAGAAGTCGCCGATGCATTCCTGGAGCTCCTCCCGACTGCCGAGGTAGGCCGCCGCGGGGTTTAGTGGGTAGACCGGTTCTCCGGGAGTCCCACACTCGCCCTACGTTTCCCCAACGGAGGGTATGGTTCGAAAAGCATTCCCCGCGTGAAGAAAAAAAAAAGGTTCGCCATATCTCGAAATTGATATTATATTCTACATAAATAGTGTTTCTAAAGACTGGTATTACAAATATCATAATTATAAATATAAACACATTTTAATACCCATTTCTTGCCAAAAAGACCTGAATTTGGGTAGTGGTATTTAGTCTTTTTACCAATTTTCATTCTAAGCACAATTATCATCATGATCCTCCTTTTATACAGTATATAATATTTAATATGTACTAGTTAGCATTTACTAAAACTGTTCCTAATGTATTAAATATCCATTAGTGTTACTGAAACTGAGAACAACTATACTCGTCAGAAAATCCCACAAATAATTGTCTTCTGATGTTATTAATCAAGCGCCAAAACTCGATGCAGTAACTTTTATCGAGCATACCATTGCAATCGCTCCAGAAGCCATGCTGTCGAATAGTCTCAGAAATAAATGTAATGAGTTTAGCAAAAACTTAACTTGTAACAACTTAAGTATATGTTTAAATTTGTATATGTTTTCACACAGAACCTACACTTTGAAGAACTGCCAAATGGAGTGTGAAGCACGAGCAATGTTAGATGTATGCAGATGTGTTTACTATTATATGCCAAGTAAGTACCTACATATCGCGTGAACACGGGCGTACCCGGGGTGGCGAAGGGTGGCTTTTGTAGACTTAAGAAAATAACGATGAAGTCATATTAAATCTGGATACGCTTGCGTGGATATGCTTAGTGGTACTCATGGCCATATTCCACGCCTTTCTTTTCTTTACCCTTAAAAACAATGCAATAGATACATAATTGAGAAATTACAAGAATATTTCAATAAAAAGAGATAGTCTTCAGTTAATTTACGAAATAAAACGCATGGTTGCAACCTCAACTTCGATTCTCTAAGTACGTATTTAGCAAATGCAATTGAGAATGGGTTGATACAAATAACTAGCAATATATTTTGATATAGAAACAAGAAAGTTAACCGCTTCATTTCATAATGAATAACATCAATCGAACCCGATTCAATGAACAATTTAATTACGTATGATACATCTCTATGGTACATGGCCAACAACCGATTAAACCAAAATGTCTTAGCATAGTCCACAAACATGCCTGAAGGGCATCAAAGTTTTGCTAGGAATACCAATCTTCAGCTTCTGAACTTAATCCTCTCCTTAGAAAGGAGGTATTGGCATACTATACCACGCTGGCCAGACGGGTTAGTATAGGATTTGTGTCAAGTTTTCCTTCCCTTTCTGCAGTGCTGTTGACCTGCGTAGTTTGCTCCCTTAGTTGGCTCTTACGACAACCACGGAACGAATAGTGGTGGTGACACTCAGTCTACTTAATCCATCACCACACCACCAAGCTGACCAAAATCCACACAAGAAAAGGCGAAAAGACGTTTGGATGATTTCGATTTTTAGATGGGAAACGGGACGATAATTTGATTGGCCCCTACTTTCTAGCCGATAACTTAAATGGCGAAGCCTATGAAAGCTTATTATTAGCTATCTTTATTTCTTTTGGTTTATTTGCTGAAATTAAATTCATAGTTTGATTCTAAGATTTCATTTATATTTATTCTAAGGTTTTCGTTTTATTATATATACATTTATTTTTTCAAGTACATAACTAAGGTCAGTTTTATTTACCTTTTTAAATGGTAGATATGTACAGATATTCTTTTAATAATTCAATTTTTAATAATTGCAGTCAAAGTTTACTAGCCTTTTTTGGAGAAAAGAAAAGATATATTTTATAGACATTTTTACAAAAAATCTGATTTATTTTTTACGATTCGGCCTATACTTTTTGTATGGATACAGATTATTATGATTTTATAATTTACTATTAAGAACTCTTTAAAACTGCAATCAAAATTAGAACCCGAGATTATTTTTAGTAAATTTTTAAAGATAAAACCAAATATTTTTTTGTTTTTCTTAGAAATGTATTTTTTTTAAACATAAAAATTCAATTATTACGAAAACTATCAACTTTGGGATAATACAATATAAGATTATATTGGTTGCAAAGAAACTCCCCTATGCAGCCCCGAATCTAGGGGAGGGCAAACCGGGGCTCTCGCGCCGAGCGGCAGTTTTATTTTTACAGGCAGTTCAAAAAAATAAAAAAAAAAGAATATATTGTTACCTCCCAATCACGAAAAAATGCCTACCATTATAACATATTCGTGAGTTTTTTAAGTTATTTACTTCAAACGCTGGAGAGAGCGGGCGCTATTATTAACTTTCTGCCCCGGTTCGAAAAAATCGCAGATCCGGAGCTGCCCCTATGACTTCTTAAAAGGATCCGGTATTATTACCAATAAAAAATATATATATATATAAACTAATCTTCTTTGTCTAATGATAAATTTATATATATATTATTTTATTCCATGCCAATATTTTAACATCTTAGTCATCATGATGTTGATGACTAAGATTTTTAACATCTTAGTATTACATTCATTTGAACTATAAAATTCTTTATATTATTACTTACATTTTTGGTGTCATTACCTAGTAGCTTAAGTTCGTATCCAGCAGATATACGTCAATGCTATACATCACGTGTAATGTTATCTAATACCTATACATATTTTTTTTATTTTCACAGAAAATAAAACTACGCCTATCTGTGGGAAATCAGACGCAAAGTGTTACGCTAATATGAGCAAAATTATACCAGGTACAATACAAAAAAAAACCTAAAAAAAAGTTGAACCGACTTCAAACAATACTAACAAGGAGCACTAAAAACCTAGCAGCAATCGCGGTTAATTTTCTGTCATTTTTTGAAGAGTTTTTTGACGGTGTCTGTCGCCGAAAGTTATCATCAGATCTATATGAAATTTAAATAGGATCATATCGGATTAAATCGTTTCCAACCAAGGAAAGATTTTTAAAAAGCCGTCTAAATATGACCAAGTTATGCCCGAACATACATAAAAAAAAATATAAACATGCGAATTGATAACCTCCTCCTTTTTGAAGTCGGTTAAAAAAACAAATAATATAGAAATTGAGTATAACACTCTTGCATAAAATAACATGTAGACTTTTTGTCTTCAGTATAAAAACAATGTAAATATCGTTGTTTATTGTAGTGCTGTTAGTAATTCGTAGCAAGTTTTTTATTTAAAGACAACGCCCGCATAAGGAATGCCTTAAATAGTTTAATTAATTTTTTTTAAGGTCATTGATGTTTGGTTGCAGGTCAAGATACGTCGTGCAAAGAATGTTTGCCAGCTTGCAATGAGCTAGCATATAGCGAACGTTTTAGTTGGGCTCCGTTAAAAAACTCACTTGTAGCCAAACTGGCGCAAAACCTCGGGAACAGAACACAAGAGTACTTCACGTAAGCATTACGACAATGGCCAACATTTTTCAACAACTTTCGTGGCTGTTTAAAATAAATTATTGAATCATTCATACCTAAAATAATAATTCGTAACAACAATGTACCGCTTTTAAGTCCTCTTAATGCATTCAAATTAGATCAAAACCGTGATCCAACTACCATAGCGTATACCTTTTTTTATGGGGAGCAAACGAGCAGACGGGTCACTTGATGGAAAGTGACTACCGCCGCCCATTAACACCTGCAACTCAGGAGTCACAAGCGCGTTGCCTGCCTTTTAGGAAGGAGTACGCTCTTTTCTTGAAGGTTTGAAGGTCGTATCGGTCCAGAAATACCGCAGACGATAACTTGTTCCACAGATTGGTTGTGGGAGGCTAAAAGTGTCTTGAAAAGCGCATAATGGTAGAGGGCCAACTATCTAAAGTGATGGGGATGAAAATTTGACTGGCCGCGTGGTCAGACTGATAGGATGACGCGGACTTTTTTTTCCTGTTGGTTCAACTGATCGTACCTAATGATCGTACGCCGCGGACTGTCCGATTGGGGGGGTTATGCCTGTAGTTGGACGGATTAGAGCGGTCGCCTTTTTAGGGGTTGGGTGCACAAACGCTAACTTCCAGGAGTTCGGCATAACGCCTTGAGGGTAGGAGAGTAGAAAAACACTCGACTTATGAATATCAAGGGAGGAGAGTGCTTTACGCTTTGATTTTTGGGTGAACCTGATTTCCGGCATACAGCTCTGGGACCACGGTATTGTCGGCGGTACGTTTACCCCGTCATCCAAAGTCAAGTTGGATGCAGAGTTCGCCTAGGACATCGGCTTTCTCCTTGGCATCATGGGCCAACGAATTACATCCCATCTGCAGGGGTGGAAGGATTCCCTACATAAATTCCCCTGGACAGACTTCACAAGAAACCAGGTGCACAAGCTCCAGAAGGAAATTTCACGAGTCTCTCTACAATCTAGCTGATGTGTTCCGATTTCGCCCATTTTTTTTTATCGTCGCCATCGTCCTCTACGTTCGAGTTCGTCCCGGACTCGCGTTCAGACGTCCACGCGGGACAGTCTACCAGCGTGTGCTGGACGAAGTCCCAGTCGGCTGCGCAGTGCTCGCATTGCGCTGTCTCCTCGCGTCCAATCCGATTCAAGAACTCATCAAATCAGCCATGCCCAGTTCGATGGGAATGAGTGTGGATGGAACGAATAGTTCCATGCCGTAAAGCATTATATCAGTGACAGAATCGGCAACGATGTTGGCATCATCAGACAAGAAACAAACCTGGCTCCTTGGGTAGGACGCAAAGAAGGAACGCATCCCATCCCAGTCCGCTGACCGCGGCGGCAGCCTGCAACTCGCTCGTGAGTGACGCAGTACCCCGGATTAGGCAATGATCCGAGAAGCCAAGTGGGGCCTCAACAGTGACTTTGTAACCGTCCGGATCAGATGTCATCAATAGGACCAACACTGAAGGCTCATGACTTTTCACATGTGGGATTCGCGTGAGCGTTGATACCAGTCGTGACAAGCCACAGGTCAGAGCAAAATCGTGAACAGATATCCCCGCGTAATCGGTTTTGCGTGACCCAAGCCACTCGGCGCTTACAGCGTTAAATTCGCCAAGTATCACGATCTCTGTGGATGGGGTCCATCAGTCGGGGACAGCGTTAAGGTTGAAGTGTAGATCCCTGATATTGCAGAAGTCCATGTCAAGCGTGGTGAGGGGTGACCTGATGTACCTGCTCTTGCCCCAGGTAGATATTTTTTCGAGCGCAGTTGAGAAAGAAATGAAGTTGTAAAAGTAAATTAAAAGTAAAAAATATATATCATATAAAGAATAATAAATATATAACCTATAAATATTAGGTCATCGACATAACCTACCGGATAATATAGCCGCACAACCGACAACCGTTAGGGTAAACGAGTTCTTGAGTGAAGATTGCGTGTCGGCAAACGTAGTGTAGATGGATGCGTCGTCGCTGGATGCGAGAAGTCCAAAATCGATCTAAGTGGCGTGCAATTGGAGAGGCCTAAATCCAGCAGTGGACTGAGTTGGCTGACGATTATTATTTTAAATATATATAAAAGCTTGTATTTAACTTATTTTCATATACTTTCAGAGAAAACATGCTTGTAATACATTTCTACTTCGAAGATAATTCCTTCTTAAGATATACTAAAGATGAAATATTTGGATTAACAGAATTTCTATGTAAGTATAGCCGAGGTTATAGATTGGACATCTAGAACTTCAGGGGTTAAATCTTCCCGAGATAGGGCCTAGTTAGGCGCGTTGTCGATCCGGGGGGGACCTGAAATAACATGGCCTGATCGGGGTTGCTTTTAGTGGAAACGCCACATATTCCTGGCTCCTGCGTCGCCGAGGAGCCGGAGATCCAAAGGGACTTACCACTCCGTCAAAAAAAAAGGGATAAATCCTACCGTTGTGGTTTAAATCTAGTATATCAAAAGACAAATAGACATACCACTGTTTAATCAACAATTTTAACTAATACGCAACATTATATTTCAGCGAACACAGGAGGCCTGCTAGGACTGTGCCTTGGTTTCAGTATAATGAGCCTAGTGGAACTGATCTACTATCTGAGCCTAAGAGCATTGTGCATGACGATCCGGCGGCGTGCAAGATTCCCATTTGTAAAATAACTTAAAACATTTTAAACGTAGACTTTTCTACTATGCTGAAACTAATGCTAACAAGATGACTAGAAGTAAGGGATACTAATTTAATAATAAATTGGCAATCTTATAACAATGTTTTAGATATGTATGTTGCATCATATAACATTATTTACTATATATATATATTGTAGAAACTACTAGGATAATATCTAAATATAGATGTGAGAATAAATATAGATTTTATTTCGTGTGAGCATTAAAACATTAGACTATTTTTCTATATACCTACTTCACATGTTGCTTTCAGACCTACCAAGTTTCACAATATCTATCCTATATTTAAAATGATATTTTTAATTGTGTGAGTGAAAGAAACTACTTTATATGCAACACAAATCTCGGCGTTGAGAACGAACGAAGTATTAACGAGTAAAGTACATTACATTAGGAACATTAAACTAACTTCAATGCTCGGTCAACTAGGGTCATGTAAGACAAAGCACATAAAACTATTCAGGTGTTTATAATATTTTGTTTATTTCTCTTCTCACAAAAGTAAAAAATGTACATTTATGAATTTCTCATGAAAATGTGGATTTCAGTTTTAAGTATAATAGCACAATGTCCACCACTTCTCATCTAATTTTCAGTCTCACACCATTAAATAAAACATAGGTATACAATTTTTTTATAACATCCTATGTTAGCTGCATCCTAATAGAACAAGATTTCACTGGTGCAGCCTCCTTGCTTAAAATTTAGTGCAATGGAGAGCCTACTACACCCTCCAATATCCATTTTCAACATAATTTGAATCTCCAAGATCATATGTAGTCTTTCAAAAAAAACATTAAAACATCTTTGGTTAAATAAGATTTCGGTAACAGATGTGCAAAATTCAGAAAAGCAAAAATTCTGCTTCAGTTTGTTTGAAACAGCTATTTATATTGAGATATTACATTTACAAATTAAATTATATTGATTCAAATAGCCTTGTTTGTTTTGTTGCATAGTCCGTTTGTCAACGACCTATCGAGACACAGAAAATATTTTATACTAAAAATTACTTCTGTCTTGTTAGAAGTTAGAAAGTAGATTTATATGAAAGTGTATATTTTACACAGGAGTCATTCCCTTTTTTAAGGAATCCAGACATTGCAGCCCAAAAATTTATTATTGTGGGCTAATTACTATTTAATGTCACACTAGCCAGAATGTCTTATGATTGTTGTCTAGGAGGCCCTTGTTGTGGAGGTGCTGGTGGAGCAGGAGGAGCAGGCGTGTCTGGTGGCTGTAGTGTACGTGTGCGTCGCCGTGTATAATGTTGCCACAGTAATATTGCCTGGTCATCCATAAATTTGCATACCTAAAAAAAATATTGTTGTAATAAAAAATACAATTTTTGATTAGTGTTCTTGCCGGAACTAGAAGAGGGTTTAAATTTGCATTTATTATTCTTGGCTCACAATTATATTCTTTAGTCACTTATTTCAGGTTACGCATTCATTCAATTGTAATCAAATAAAATGCTAAGTAAACAAAAGCAGAACCCAATTTAAAAATCAATACATGAAAAGAAAATATCAGCATTTGTGAGTTGTGTGTATGCATTAAACTATACTTTTGGGTCTACAACTTCAAAAGCTCACTTATTGTTTGATACTTGAGATGCTTATTCATAAATGTGTACCTTTTACCACAAATTTCTACCCTATAGAATACTTCAAAAGTATAAAAAAACTAAATTTAACTTATTCCACTTCATAAGTGCTAATGAAAGGCAAATTCATTTATTTGGAGAAATAAAAAGTTTTTATATGCAGGCGCTTCTAACATAAACAACTGCAATCAATTTTATTGACGTAAGTGCTATCAAAATTTAAAATAATTTATTTGCAGAAAAGATAGGATGCCAACAATGCAACTGTAACCAATTTTATTGACAGACAATTAGTATCTTCACTCTGTCATTAATAACTACTCCATTGATAATCATGACTTTCAAATACCTACACAATGTTAGGCTTCCTTATAATTCTACATTAACATGAGTAGCAAGGCTGTGGACAAATTCTAGTTAACTCTATTTGACAAATAGTTATATAAATCTATAATATATACTAACTCACATAATATATACTAACAAGTATTTGGTTACCAACCTGTGCTGACACACATTCTCTTCTAAATGCCTCATGCTGCAATAACTCCAAAAAGTGAAGACACATGGGGTACTTAAGGTAACGGGCATACTCAGGCTCTCGCCAGTACTGTAGGTAGCGGATGTAGTTTATAAATGTTTGTTCTTTTAAATATCCGCGTTGAGCCAAAACTGTAAGAGGTTAAAAGATAATCACCATTATAATCAATATTAAGCGGTAATATTAATTAAACGGAAGTTACTAATTTACCTATATCAAATACTACAAACCAATTTAATTTGAAATTATACACATTCCTACATTTCCCTACGTAGAAAAAATGCTGCTGAAGCCAGCAGCGTTTTGCCACTCTCACTTCTCACTCACAAATAATGCAAAATTATTGAATTAGTATAAAAAAGTCACAAGTGGACTTTATAAAGTAGAATGTTCGTCAATCAGTATATACTTACAATGAATATAATTAGGATTTGCTAAACATTGAACAAATTCAAGTTCTACTTGAAATCTTATCCTGTTCTGTTCTTCTGTTTCTGGCATTGCTGTAAAAAATATTTTATAAGTTAACAATTTTTTTAGCGCGTCAAACAATGTTTATGTATAAATTTGACTAGTTTACCTTTATTGGCCATCATCTTGAAGACCGGTAGTGCACACCCATTAGGTACGTTAGATATATATTATTTTGTTATACAACAGAAGTTTTGATAAAGAGGAAATTCAATTATAACTATCACGATATTTTTCCAGTCATTGACAGCAAATTCACATTCGACGCTCGACACTCGTTTTGCATGACGAAATGTTTATGTGTAACAGGGATGTTAGATTGTGGTGTGGTGGCCAAAGCTGGTACAGATGTCGCTTTAAGGTAGAGATGGACGATATACATCGATTTATTTAAAACACTCGATGTATAGTAACGATGCATCGTATTAAACCGATGTATTGTTAATACTTCAACATCGAATATATATCGATGTTTTTTATTCGATGCATCGACCAAGCAATTTATGAATGAGTATAGTGTTGTATAGCCGCCAAATAGCTATAGTTTATTAAACGGGGTTCTTTTAATTCGCCCGTTGGAACGCTGTAGGTCGTTCGACTCGTATTATTCGTTTGTTCGCGGGAAAATTAAATTAAACTTGATTTTTATTATTTGAAAATACTAGATTATGAATTCGCTTTAAATAAATACTCGCTGAACCGACTGAAGAAGGGGAAGAGATTAAGTAAACTTTTGTTTTTACATAGCATTGACAAAAAATATTGGAATATGTAAAGAAAAATGTGTTGGTTGTGTGATTTTGAATTTGAATAAATATATTTCCTGCTTTTATTAATATATATATATTTTTTTTAATTAAGGCCTAACCTAACCTAAAACACGTCATGGCGAAAATAATCGATGTTTAAGAAACATCGATGTATTTCTCAATACATCGTATTACCATCGATGTGACCGATCGATGCATTACATCGTAAAAAACATCGATCTATTTTTAAATGTCCATCTCTACTTTAAGGCTCTTAAAGTTGGTATTTACAATTACGTTATATTATTAATAATAATAAATCGTTTATTTTCTATGTTCTTTTGAATTAAATTTTGAATTATCAGAGAAATTCTTGATTATTTGAAAAAAAGTCATACCTGATAAAAAAAATATCAATCAATAATATTAAATTATTACTAATAATAATTATTATCATTATTAGTTCACATTTTTTTTAATAGATCTTATAAATGTCGTGTACATAATTAAAAAAAAGCAAATGAACCGTGAGTTACATTGACCGAATTTTTATATTATTTTCTGACAAGATCAAACCCGTCATCCGTGGATAATTTGCTAGATTCGTAAAGTTAATCTGAGGTAAGTTACTCAATGGGTCAAAAATAAATAACATTATGAACAATAATATTTTACAATAATCAATGTTGTAACTATGACGTACAGTAAGAACTTACATATTGTTAGATACAAGAAAAAAATACAATTTATGATAATCAATGTAGAAAGTTGGTTTCATTGCGTACGAACACCATATTTAGTTGGTATATGGTACAAGTACCTGAAAAATGGTACGTATACCAAGAAATTGGTACGTCTAATATCCCTGATGTGTAATCTTCCGTCTGTCTCTCTTTAGCTAAGCTGCGATTGGCTATCGTAAAGTGGGCATGGTTTTGATCGTAGAACAGGTGGGAGTCCCCGCCAACCACGGAGGTCAACTAGAAAGAGATAGAGGGAACCCTCTATTATCCAACTCTGTTGTTGCCTATATTGCTATTGCAATATTAGGGCTCTTGATCATAGACATATAAGCTTATTTCCATCGTATATATCTATGATTTTGATACACTTTCATTTAGCATGACAATGTAATGTAATGTGACTATAGACTCTGTAGTCTATGTCACAGAACCATTGCACAGAACCATCTCATTTGGGGCCTAGGGGTGGAAATTTGAAAAAGTGACCAGCTCTATAATGATAATAAAGGTCGCTGGCATAAGAAAAACTACGATATGAACATAGCTGTTATAGACGGAGTGAAGTGGGCTGAGTTTAAATATTATGATACTTTTATCGTCTGAAAGTTATTTTATTGTTATTTTCGCAGTCTAGTGGTTTTTATAGGTTTAGAAAAAATATAGATTAAAATACGGATGCTATTATAAATTATTCCCATATTTTCAATGAGTCAACGTAATTTACCGTTTTTTTAAGTCTGGTAACCTAAAACTCGGGGTAAGTGAGTTGGAAATTGGAAACATTATCATATCATGTCATTTACTTCATTTGTTGTCGCGTAAATACCCAAGGTTATTGTTCTTGTAAATACCAGTAAATTCTGTCGAATATAACGTTTCAATGTACTTTTTTTGTGATTCGTGAAAACATCTATATAATTCATCCACTTAGTACAACCAAGACAAGAAACTTAAAACAATGTCTGGGTCGGCCTATGTAAATCCCAATCAGTTGTTCGAGGATGACGATGTGGACGATGATAAATTTGTTAATAGCTTCAGGGACAGACTGCCACGACAACCTGTTAAGCCTGCAACAAGTGCGTACGGAAGTAACAGCCATTTAACTGCCCTGGAACAGCAACGCCAAGCTATGTTGCAAAGACAAAAAGAAATCGAACAAAGAACGTTGGATTCTTCCTCGCGCAGCATAGGATTATTGCGAGAATCGGAGACAATCGGTATCGCTACGGCTGAGGAGCTTGTTCGCCAGCGGGAAGCACTTCAAAATACAAACAAGCGTCTTGAAGAAATTAACACTAACTTGAATTACAGTCAAAAACATTTAAATGGTATAAAGTCTGTTTTCTATGGTCTAAAGAACTATATCTCTGGTAAATCTGATCAAACTCCACCAAGAAGTCAATCTTCAGCTAGTCAAAGTGCAGGACCAAGCGGTAGCAGGCTGAATGAAACAATAGATAACTTATGTAATAAAGCCAATGAAGATCACTTTAAATCGCACCCAACAACCCGTCTATATGACTTAGAGGTACAAGAAAAGGCACCAGTAACAGACAGTCAGCGAGTTAATGAACTTTTGGATGCTAATCTTGATGAGATGGTTAAACACATAACAAGACTTAAAGGCCTCGGTATTGCTCTGGGAGAGGAAATAGAACAACAAACTGACTTAATAGATACAATACAGGATAAGGTTGAAGTGGCTGACATTAAGATTGGAAAGCAAAACAAGCAAATGAACAAAATACTTGGCAAATAGTCTCAGTTTCATTCCTTGGGTATTTGAACATTATATTGTTATGTGAAATAAGTTAACATCCTTTATAAACACTTGATGGCTTAGGGTTTGTTATAATTATAGGTACTATAATAATTAATTATAGCATCCCTAACATTTGTACAGTGCTAAATCTGTCAGATAATTAGAACTTAAAACTTTTATACAATTTAATTATATACCACACTGAAAGCTTTGTTTTAAATTTTCCACATAGAAATACCTACTACCTATGTGGTGTTATCTGCTTAGTAATCTTTATTATCTTATTAAGTCCTATATAAATGTAGCTGCTCACATAAATTGTATTTTTTTTCTTGTATTCTGAATGGTACTGTTACTGTATTACTAAGGGTAGGCTCTTAAGTATTGACTATTCTCAATTGGAACATTTACAATGCTTAAACCATATTACCTTGTTAAAAAATAAAATACATTCTTTTCATACTTTTTTGTTATTACAGCCAATTAATTAATTATATTCATCAAACTGTATGAACTGATGTCCAGTCATTACTAATTTGAAATTCAAGATCTTTTAAAAGTCAAATGTACATTTTTTTTTAGCAAATTGCACTACACACTACATCTAAACAAAAATTAAATTAAAAAAAAAAATTATTCACACAGCAATTTTTTTATTTTATTATTGTTAAGAAATAGAAATGAGGCAATAGCATAGTAATACCAACAAAATTTCACTCATTATACAACAGTGTTACAAATAGATATATCAAAACTTAATGCAATTAAAAATTAACTGAAATTCCTATTACGAAAACATATAACCTGCTTAGAATTTCCTTTTGCTTTTGTATTATACAAAAGCAAAAGGAAATTCTGTATAGTTTGAAAATGGATTGTAGTGAATACACTTGTCATTTTTTTATTTGCAATTTTTCATAGTTTGAAGAACACTTGTAAAATATGTGAGTATAAAGCTAAAAACCTATATTTTGGAGCTTTTGTGCACCTGTACACTGGGTTATTAAGAGTTCCAAAATTTTGTATGTAGCAATATTATTATGCCTTTATTTTTATAAACATATATTAATTTGCTAGATTTTTTATGGTGATGTGAGTTTTCATAAATAAGTATATTATTTACTACAACTGCTGATATGGATAGAGCACAGTAATGAGGTCTTATCAGGCCATTAGTTTACACCCATATTTATGTATCAAATAACGAAATATGTATAGCCAAATTAGTTAATTAATCACCAAATCCATTGCTTGTAAAACAAGTTGCTAAATATGAATATATAATATGTTAATAAAATGTGGTTTTAATTAAATGATTAAGATTTTTCCAGAAATTCCTATGATTCATTTCTTTCCTCAGTATCAATATGCTTTGATAATGCTATCCTGTTATACATGTCCTATTCAATTAAATTGATGCAAATACCTAATTTTGTAAAAAAAATTCAAGGATTCTGAAACATTTTATAAAAATGTTAATTTGGTTTGTGTATGCTTCAAAAAGTTCTGCACTGCTTGAGCTCAAATTTTGACACGAAATACAAACCACTTCAAGGATGTTTGTATCTACTTTTAGCTTCAATTTTGTTCCTCACTTTTCATCAATACAATTTCAATGTGCCACTGCTCTATATAATAAAAATAGACATGGCTTATGGCTATGTAGTAATTTAGGAGGTAAACACATTGCAAAATTAAGCAATACTAGCTAGGGCAGTCCATGGATGGGTGACCATTCCAACTAGTGATGCGCAAAATGTATCACTGAGCTGAAAAGATTGATACATATCATTTCGCTCTAAAGATATATATCACTCATCTAGCTCACTAGCTCATTTAGCTCACTAACTCATTTAGCTCACCAACTCATTTAGCTCACCAACTCATTTAGCTCACCAACTCATTTAGCTCACCAACTCATTTAGCTCACCAACTCATTTAGCTCACCAACTCATTTAGCTCACCAACTCATTTAGCTCACCAACTCATTTAGCTCACCAACTCATTTAGCTCACCAACTCATTTAGCTCACCAACTCATTTAGCTCACCAACTCATTTAGCTCACCAACTCATTTAGCTCACCAACTCATTTAGCTCACCAACTCATTTAGCTCACCAACTCATTTAGCTCACCAACTCATTTAGCTCACCAACTCATTTAGCTCACCAACTCATTTAGCTCACCAACTCATTTAGCTCACCAACTCATTTAGCTCACCAACTCATTTAGCTCACCAACTCATTTAGCTCACTAGCTCATTGATCCAATTCAATTGATTGGTCTCTCAATTAATTCATTTCTTCATCTAAGCCTTTAAGCCACTTTAAGCCTCTCTCGCCATACAAACCTTTCTTTATTTTCATATTAACCTAAATTCAGTTTTTGAAACTACATTCTTAACCTTTTTTTTTTAAATAAAATTTATTCATTGTGATAAGATTACATAATTATTAACACCCTTTTATATAATATATAATTTTATAATTTTATATTTAAAAAAAGAAATTATTTCTTGTACTTTTTTTAGGTTGTATAATAGAAATCGTACATAATTTGATTTTCCTTGTACTTGGCAGGCTTAATTCTTAAGTAATATTAAACTTTGATCCTATAGAAATAATGTACATTTTGCATATAGAAACTTGCGTGAACTCAACCATCATCTATCTCACTCTTTATCTTTAGTCTCACTCGCTCATGAAACAAAGATCGGCGTCGTTGAGCTAGTGATCTAATGATCTAGTGAGCTAGTACTGAGTTACTGATATATTCGGAGCTAGTGTGAGTGAGTGATACATTTTATAGTCGTGAATGATATATATCTTTTATATCACTCATTCAGGAGCTACACAACTCTAATTCCAACACATACAGATCCCTCCGTACCTTGGAGAGCATGTTAAACTGTTGGTCCTGGTTACCATACAAATATTTGTAGCAACCATTATGAGTAGTTGGAGCCCTTAAAAGTCCTAACTGTCTTTCTACAGAGATCCGATATTGATAGTACTTGAGTTGTGGAGGAAATCGCTCCACATTAAAAAGTCGAAGTTAGACATGTGGTAGTAGATTTAAAGCCAACCCCAACCTAGTTTGAGAAAAAGGCTTGAAGAAAAAATATAATAAAATATACTTGGATAAATTTTATTGACATTTTTTTATAGTGGGACAAACATGCAGGCAGGTCACCTGATAGTAGTAACGTTACCACTGGACTCCTGCAACACTAGGGTTATAAGTGAGTTTGAGTCCCCCCAGAATGATTAGACAATGCTATGGCTCAATAATTCTCATTTAAGTGGAATTCTACTAGCAAGCATAGCTACATCTTATATCATAAGACATGACTCATTCCATAAAATAGGTTTAGCATTAGTACAAGAAATAGTAATTAAGATTACCTTGACTACATACTAACTGATAAAGACATGTCCTTTAAGTAAAACAACATTATTCTAACACTTTTTATTTAAGGAAATAATGTTTTCACAATAACAAGAGGTATTAATCTCAAAACTAACATTTCTCACACGGAAGCACAACACATATACAAATAGGGTTGGCGGATGTTTCTACACTACACCTGTCTTATGATAAAGTGAGTGCTCTAATATACCTGGTCAAAAAAAACATTATCAACTACAGTTTCTAATATCATATCATTAGCATCCACATCATGAGATTTCATGTGTTTCTCTAATACCTTCTTGTTTGATAGCATTTTATTGCATACCTCGCAAGATACCTCCTTTTTCTGATGAGTTTCTCTATGTGTCTTTAAACCAAATGGAGTAGCAAAGCCCTTGAAACAAATATCACACTGATGAGGTCTCTCAACAACATGAGCATGTGCAATATGCACCAACAGGGAATGTTTCATTGAAAAACTTCGATCACAGCCATCATGAGTACACACAAATGGCTTTGGCTTCTCTAGACCAGAGTGAATCAAGCTATGTGCTCTCAAATATATGGCTCTTGTAAATCTCTTTGGACAATTAGGACATGCAAATGGTTTCTCTCCACTATGAGTCTTATGATGCATCATTAAAGTTGATCGGGCAGTAAATCGCTTTCCACAAGTAACACAAACATATAACTTGCGATTACTGGAATGAGCCACACGGAAATGCTCTTTAAGTGACTGCCTTGATTTGTAAGTCTTATGGCAGAAGCCACACTTGAATTGTGCCACATCTCTGTGTGATCGCAAATGTTGGTTTAAGCCTCCTGATGTATAAAATGTTTTACCACATTTAGAACAGAGATACTTCTTTACATTTGTATGCTTGTTCATATGGTATCTCAGACCATAAAGTCTGGTAAAAGATTTAGTACACAAGGTACAGGAATATCTTTTCTCACCTTCAGTTCTAGCTGGTTGCTCTTTAGAAGTTATTTCAGTTACAGGTGGCAGTGGAGTCAATTCCTTATTAGTGGAGAGTGTGGTGTCGAAATCTAACGTCGGTTGATTACTAAATAACGGTACATCATACTCGTGGTCTTGATATACGACATTTATATCGATAGAATCAATTTCAGTTCTCTGCAAATTTGTGGGTGACTGTATCATAAGAATTTGTGATAAAGTACTGTTTGCTTTAAGACAGTCTAATTTAAAATTATAAGCAAGTAAAGCCGTAGACACGCATGAGGCACATATTCCCTGAGGCCAGTTTTCTTCATCGTTGTTCTCTAAACAATTTAAAAAAACCAAAATATCAATCAGTTTAACTTTGTTCACCTCATGTTCTATCAAATCTTGTATGTTCATAAACATTGATGTATCTGATTCTATAAGGCAAGTGCGACATATGTTCTTTGTTATAGGCAAAATTAGATTGGTAAACTCCATTAGATAGAAGTTATTTTGCAAATATCTCTGGAAATATTATTTGCAAAACCATAGAACGGAATTTTAACATGACAGATTAAGACGGTGAGTGACAAAACTGACAACCGATCTATACGTAATCTGTGATCAATAACATTCATATTTGATAATCATGATCAATGAAGGAATAAATGAAATGTGAAACGAAACGGTAGAAAGATGTAAGGTACCAAAAGGTGGAGGTATACTTATTAAGGGCCTAATCTACTTCGATTTAAGTATTTTTCCTGAATAAAATTATCTACCGAGGATAAAGTATTTTTGTACATGTGTAAAAAAATTGGTGAGTATAATATATTTACCACTAAAAATCTTTTCTAAAAATAACTGTTAAAATAAAATTAATAATAATACATTTTCAGGAATCATGCTTTGGTGTAGAAACCTGCACAGTGCACACTGCTACGGATTGATATCAAGTTGTGGAACGCATTGACTATTTCACATACCCGTGTATCAATTAGCCACACTATAGGGACCCAAACAGATGCTGGATTAGATTTGGTATCAGCAAGAAGTGCAGTTAAGGCAAGTACGATGCTCAAGATCGATCGCGATTACTGTGGACGCCCGCTGCCCTATCTCGGGGACATAAGCAGTGGCGGATTTCCCCTAAGGCCCAGTAGGCCCGTGACAAAAAATTACTGATGATATCAAGAAATAATTCAGGGTACGTATCCTTGAAACCTCGGTAAATATATTAAACTAGCTGCTATTTATGGTTTACTAAATTTGAATCGGTTTCGATAAAAGTCGGCAATAAAGTAAATCAATTATTTAGTCTTTAATGACTGGGGCCTATGGCGGCCAAGGCAAGTCAAAGATAAATGCAAAAGTAATCCATGTATAGTATCTGGTTAGACAATTCGTGCGAACCGAACCGTTGAAATTGTAGTAAACCGCGGTTTGAACCGTATGACAAGTTGACGAACGAATGTAACATACGAAAGCAATTTTGCAACATGATTCGGCGGGATCGATTATCCCGTCGTTTTACGGTTTGCAACCGAGTTTACATACAAGTGTAAAAATTGACATTACCTGTATTGACTAACCGACGACTGACGCGGCGACAGTGTGAATTGATTGGAAGTTTGTGGAGAGCTAAGGGCAATACAACAAACTACCCGGTCAAGTAACACGACTACCATGCCTTCTTTTTTTCTCATTTGGTTCAAATCGCAAAAATATTTGCGTTAAATCCGAACAGTTAGTAAATTAGTTTATGTATTAATTTATTAAGCGTATCCGATTTTGAAGGAAATAATAATATATTTTGTGCTTGTAGACATGTAAATTGATAAAGATTTAGAGTCGTGTCGCGTCGAGTTGATTCAGAATCAGTTGGTAGATAAATCTGTTTTGTTCGGTCGGTATAGCAGGAGCTGCGAGCACGACGGTATGTCGCAAAGAGCACCGCAATCTTATGATACGGTTCAACCGGTTTTAACCACGGGCAAATCGATTTAACTCGGTACATGCTTAAACCGGTATAAATCGGTTTGAAAAGTGGAGTCGTTACACCACTAATTAGGCCTTGCTTTTTGACGTTTGCAGTGCGTCGTGGTCGAGCTGGAGTATTTTCAGTTTTGTCGTAATTTCGAAATATTTTCATGATTTTAGCAGTATTTTACACATTCATAAATAAAATAACGAGTGTAGCTATCTATAGAAGGTTAGTTGTGCTTACAGGAATCTTGCAGAATTAATGTGAAAGTTCTAACCTCTACGATTTGGACAACACCTTCAATATGTTGTATTCCATAAATCTAAACTAGGGAATCACCAATGAAAATTTTATGATTATCTGAGCTATGATCTATAAATTGTTTATGACATATAAATTATTGTTTTAGGTAAATAAAGAATACGAAGCAATCATGAGCAGATTTTTCGCTACAGGAACAGACTCTGAGTCTGAGAGCTCCAGCGAAGACGAGCCAGTAGTACGCGCCCCCGCACCCGTTTACACGGTAAGCTCAATAAAACAACTAAAATACGATTTTCAACGACTTATAGTATATTGTTCCCATATTTGTTATTTCTATTAGATATCATGGGGTTTGTGTAAGTTTAAACAACTAAATTAAAACGTCACTGAAGTTCTAATAGCGCGTAACTCATTTTTTTTTCGTTTTTAACACTACCATTAAATGAAGAAATCTAAAACAATTTAAATAGAGTTGTAATATTATATGATTTCAAAAATGTTCAGACTTGTTTACAAGCTTTACTGCTGCAATATTATTTGTCGATTTTTTCTTAATTAATAGTTGCAGCTATTTTTTTTTAGTTAAGGCAATCATAATTTGAATTTAAAAGAGAGTTGAATGACCTAAGTTATTTAGTTTTAAAAAATTTTTTTAACATTGTAACTGATAGCACATAGTAATGCAGTTGTTATCACTTGAAGTTTATGGAAACTGGCAGATGTAATCTTATTTAAACTAAATGAAAGTATCAATGTTTGAACTTTGTTCTTACATCATAATTTTAAAATTGTAATCATATACTAATGATATTCTTTTCTTAAATTTAGATGCAGTAATAACCGGTTTACATAAGTTGGTTTATTTATATTCTAATTAATAATAATTTGGCCTGACTGGCCTGTTAGTCTAGTGATTAGTACCCTGCTACATCAGAGGTTGTGGGTTCAATTCCCACCCAGGACAAATAATTGTGTGATGAGCATGGTTATTTGTTCTGTCATGGTGTACTTTATCTATAATATGTATGTATTTAGAAATATATAAGTATGTTTATCAGCAGTCTGGTTACCATAGTACAGGCATAGTACCTAGTTTGGGATGAGGAGTCCGTGTGTGAGATGTGTAAAAATATTATTATATTATTATTATTTCAAATTCTATCTTGAATGTTTTTTCAATGCATTAAAAATGAAATTTTTATATTTAAAATTATAAAAATACATTAGTATTTAATGCTCCAACTATTAAATGATTAAATATCTTTATTATAACCATACATAGCTAAATTGGACTTTTAAACTATCTACTAAAAGTAGACAATCATCTACCTTTTCATACCAAGCTTTAGATGTGTACTTGTCTATATAAATGGATTTCTTTAGTTTCTAAAGAGAGGCTAGTTTTGTCATATAAATTGTTTTTCAAGATCAAATAAATGAGTTAGATTTAAATAGATAAGGCAAATTAACAGTTGCAGGCTTAAATATGCTAAACTAGTGGTGAAAAAGTTGTAGTCCAGTCTCTGGGTAAAACTACTAGCTAGACTTTGTCTTTGCCACCAAACTTGTATGACATTGGGTACTTTTAATAATAGTAATATTCATCATCAAACTACTTTTTGGCTTGTCTGCAAGTTCTCAGGCATGATATATATAAAATTCAGCAATTCTTATTTCATTGAATCTAATAAAAACTGTTACTTGTACAGCTTCCCTTAGAGGCAGTCTATTTGCATCATCAGAATGTCTCTTGTGTTAAACATATTTCTGTTTTGAAAGCATGGTCATAGTACTGCTCAGTACTGCTAGTACTGATAAATACAAAAATATTTTCTTTCAAACAGTTTAGTGACGATGAAGAGGAAACAAAACGTGTTGTGCGGTCTATGAAAGAGAAGCGTTATGAGGAATTGGAGGGCATCATCCACTACCTACGCAATCATCGCAAGATTAAAGACTTCTCTTCAGCTCTTGCCTCTTTCGAAGAACTCCAGAAAGCCTATACTCGCGCCGCACCTGTTGTAGCTAAAGAGGAAAATGGAGTGGCGCCAAGGTTCTTTGTGAGGGCACTCGTCGAATTAGAAGATTGGGTATCTTCTGCTTGGGCTGATCGTGACAGCAGAAAGACTTTGTCAAAAGGCAGCAGTAAAGCATTGACATCATTGCGGCAAAAGTTAAGGAAGTATACTAAAGACTTTGAAGCTGAAGTTGCTAAGTTCCGTGAAGATCCAGATTTGCCAGATGATGATGAAGAGCACAAAGGTATTACACATTTTAATTACATTTATTTAAATTGAAAAATAATTGTGTTTTACTATTTTAAATTATTAATTACTTTAATCAAATCTTATTATTTTGTTTAGATTCTTCATCTTCAGATGAATCAGATGATGAGGAGAAAGTCAAGGAAAAACCACGCGCTCGTCGCTCACCCGAGCCTCCTCGCCGGCCACCTCCCCAAGATGACGAATCCTCTGATTCCATGGATTGGGGTTCTAGTTCATCCGACTCTAGCGAAAGTTCAGATGATGAAACGCGTGGAGCTACTACCATAAGGGAGCGTTTCTTAAAGAGAAATACCGAGAGAGAAGATGATGAAGAAAAGGACAGGCGCAAAACAAAAATCAGACGTGATAGAACTGTTAAGGTCTCTAAAAAAGACCAGGCCGACGATGGTGGCGAATGGGAGACAGTTAAAGGAGGAAAAGGAGCTGCTATTTCTGATAAACCTAAAATGTTTGCCAAGGTAATTATCCTTGAATAACATGTTTATTCCGTAGTAAACTGTAAATATAATAATATTAGTGTATTTTTATGATTCTTGACATTTCAGGACAGTGACATTGATGCAGCTTTGGTGGTGAAGAAATTAGGAGAAATTAGCGCAGCTCGTGGCCGCAAGCGCACTGACCGTCGCGCTCAACTAGAACTGCTTCACGAGTTACGTACAGTTGCTGCACAGCACAATTTAGGCGATGCTCTGCAACTTAAACTCCGTGCTGCTACAGTCGCAGCCCTGTTTGATTACAACCCTAAAGTGTCTGATGCCATGAAACCAGAGTACTGGTCGAGGCTTGTTGAGAATGTGGATCAGATGGTTACTCTACTTTTAGGTCATGAAGATATGGTTCTTAGTGAAAATTTCACAGAAGAACAAGAACAGCTGGTAACACCACCTTTCCAAGTTCGCGGCTGTTTGCTCACCGCCCTTGAACGACTCGATGATGAGTTCACTAAGTTGTTGAAAGAATGTGATCCACACTCTAATGAATATGTGGAGAGACTAAAAGACGAAGTTCGCGTTTCCGCCTTGATTGATAGAGTATGTCAGGTGGTAGAACGTGATGGCACTCCACAGGAAATCTGCCGTGCTTACCTGCGTAAGATTGACCATTTGTATTATAAGTTCGATCCACGCGCTGTACGTAAGGACTTGCCTCCAGGTGAGGAGACCACCATCAAGAAGATGGAACGCTTTTGCAAATACATTTATGCTCACGATGAGACTGACAGACTGAGAACTCGTGCAATTCTCTCTCATATCTACCACCATGCGCTTCACGATAATTGGTTCCAAGCTCGCGATCTGCTGCTGATGTCTCATTTACAAGAAACTGTTCAGCACTCTGATCCTAGCACTCAGATTCTGTACAATCGTACAATGGCTAACTTGGGCCTATGCGCATTTCGTCGTGGCAATGTAAAAGAAGCTCACGGGTGTCTGGCTGAACTAATGATGACCGGCAAACCTAAAGAGTTGCTGGCTCAAGGCTTGCTGCCTCAGCGTCAACACGAACGTTCGAAGGAGCAGGAGAAGATCGAGAAGCAGCGTCAAATGCCATTCCACATGCATATAAATTTAGAACTACTCGAGTGTGTGTATTTGGTGTCTGCTATGTTAATTGAGATCCCTTACATGGCCGCTCACGAATTCGATGCTCGTCGTCGAATGATCAGTAAGACTTTCTACCAGAACTTGCGAGCTAGTGAACGACAGGCGTTGGTGGGCCCACCGGAGTCCATGCGTGAGCACGCAGTTGCGGCCGCGCGAGCGATGCGACGTGGAGATTGGCGCGCTTGTCTTAACTTTATTGTTAATGAGAAGATGAATGCTAAGGTAAGATCTGCATTATTGCAATTTTTTTATAGTTACGATTTCAACATACATGTATTTTAATACATTCAGTACATGATCAGGATAGGATAACAGAATCCTACATCACATGTGTTATAAGACTATCCATTACTTGCAGGTGTGGGACCTGATGGTGGGTGCAGATAATGTACGGGCAATGCTCGGCAGACTGATTCGCGAAGAGTCACTGCGTACCTATCTATTCACATATGCTCATGTGTACGCTTCTCTTTCGTTGCGGTCACTTGCCGATATGTTCGAGATGCCTCGCCAACGCGTTCACTCGCTCGTCTCCAAGATGATCATTAATGAAGAATTACTCGCATCTCTCGACGATCCTAGCGAATGTGCAATCCTTCATCGTTCTGAACCAACTAGGATGCAGGCTTTGGCACTGCAGCTTGCTGACAAGGTAATGTTTGTTAACAATTTCACTTCATCACACATTTTCGTAAAATAAATTTAGAACAATCACGTCAATCTATACTAATATTAAAGCTGCTCTTTATCTTTGTTTGTTTGGTTGAACTTAATTTGATTTTGGTTTGAATTGCCCATTATCGAGGAATACAGGGTATATAACATCACGGTACGACTAAAAGAAGCCGACCATTAATGAGACATTTCTCATGAATGGTCGGCTACTTTTAGTCGTACCGTAGCAAAAACGGGGAAAATTTAATCCTTTTGAGAGAGGCAACGAAGATGCGCGAGTTAGCTAGCATTACAGAATGCGTACTCTGGATATAATAATATATTAAAATATTTCTTAGAATAATTAATAGTTTTAATATTAATAGGTAATCCTTTTCCTCTATGATCAGTGAATGTATGTTTCTTTTGTACAGGTCGGTAACTTAGTCGACTCAAACGAACGCATATTCGAGAAGCAGGGATCGTTCTTCCAACGTGGCGGACAACAGCGTGGGGAAGGGCGACAGCGTGAAAGGCCACGCGAGGGTTGGAACAGGCGCACGCGCAATAGGCGCCGGGACGATGAACGCGGGGACGACTAAATATTAATGAGAAGGGCCTGCTAATTATTTAATTTCTCCTGTAATGAAGTCAAGCATACAGTTTTTTTTTTTGTGTGGCGATTTTTGGAAATGTTCAAAAACAGCAGCTAAACTAAAAAGTACACCTACATGAATAAAATGCAGAAGTATGTATGCTTTGGACTTAACTGCCTATAGTAAATCAGGTCCTTTTATTTATATAGTATTTGACAATGTTAGAATCCATTGATTATTTTTTTAAATATAGATGCAGTGAAATGGGAATGTTTCCCAACTTATAACTTTTACAGTGTGTCTATATACAATACATGGTCAATAAAAAGTAACATCGTAAGGTATCTTGTTTTATTAACATTTACATCAGATACATGAAATTAATAATATCAATGAGGAAGTTATATATTGCTTCACTAATTACAGTTTCTACACTAATGAGCACTTAAGAGTACGAATTGCATACCATACGATACATGTTCGAGGTTAGCTCTGACTTAGAATAAAGGCGTTCAGGCCCAAATGAAACATCTGGGCCTGATCCTCGACGGGAGGTGGCTCTTCGACGAGCACTTCCGACAGCTTGCGCCAAAGCTGGTCGGCGCTGCGTCTGCCCTTGGGCGACTTATCCAATTTGGGTGGACCCAGCGTCGTAACGGGACGGCTGTACACAGGGATTGTCCGGTCAATGGCACTGTACGGTGCACCGGTGTTGGCGGCGGCTCTGACCGCCCAGAATAGGACACGCCTCTGGCGCCCTCAGAGGATATTGGCGGTTAGAGTCATACGCGGTTACCGCACCGTTTCGACGGAGGCGGCGTGCGCATTACTACCGGTACTCCCCCGTGGGATTCAGAGGTGGAAGTGCTCCCCGAAGTACAGAGACGGCTGAGTTCCGAGCGGAGAGTGCCAGTCGGCCTCCGCCCGAAGAGATACGCAAGTGGCGTGAGGCCGCTCGTCGAGCCACGATGGCTCGTTGGTCGTCTCGGCTGGGGGCTTCACGTACTGGTTTTGGCTCCGTGGAGACGCTCCAGCTGGTCATCGTCGAGTGGGCAGTGCGGCAGCACGGGACCTTTCTTTCCGGCTTCCAGGCACGGCTGCTTCGGGAAGTACCTGCAATCGGTCGCTAGGAGGGAATTGAGTCCCGTCTGTCACCACTGCGATTGCAGTGAGGACTCGGCTCAGCACACGCTGGCAATTTGCCGATGACTGCAATCAAACAATCATCGGGGGGATCTCTCGCTACCGGCCGTCATACGCTCCATGGCCGGTAATGACAGATGTTTCACCGCGGTCGCATCCCTCTGCGAAGACGTCATTTTGCAGAAGGAGGCGGCGGAGAGGGCCCGGGAGGACAACCTCCACACGGACCCAATCCGTCGCCGTCGAACCGGGCGGTGGAGGCGCGTTTACTACCACCTCATGCCACCCTGAGTGTGGCCGCGGGTGGGCCGCGCCTGCCGCGAGGAGGCTACGGCCGTGCCAGACGTCGCCTAAATAGAGAATGTACCCGAAGGTGGTGCCCGCGCCGTTGCGGGCAGGCGCTGAGAGGGGTCCGGATGTCTTAATCCTATTACCGTCTCCTATTACAGGCGCAGATTGGCACACCGTGTGGTTTTAATCGGTCCGATTCCGACACACCACCCCGCCGCAAAACCCCGGTGGGATGACGGCCCGAGGGGGTTTCCACACGTAAAAATAAAAGACTGAATAAAGGTCATGACATTGCGAGGCATGCGCCGCACACGCCTCGCAACGCATGCCTCGAGGAAAAATAAAATTAATGCATGCTCAGGTCAACTGGTACATACTTGTGTCGATCCAACCGCGTGCCTCGCAATGTGTGTACTTTCAATTATGGCGAGGCATATGCTACACACGGGTTTTTTTATTGAATTATTATAAAAGCAACAACGGCTACATGCACGCGATGCGGTAGTGCCATTATAATTGTGGTATGTGGGCTCGATCGTAGCATGCGCCGAATGACTTGAAAATGTTCATTTTCTCAGCCGAGGCATACGTTGTGCATCGTGCGCGGCACACGCCTTACAGTTTATGGATACGACCACACGTACGTTTTGATCGTAGAGCGTTTGTCGACATACCTACGCTGGCTATAAATATGGTAATGTTTTATAAATATTGATAGACTTTACTCGAGTGCTATTTGGATGAATTTGTAGTCAGGAAGAAGGTAGGTTTAGTCTAGTCAACTCTAGTCCTATGGCGTAGTGTGTAGTTTTTTTTGTGTTGATCCTATCTTCTTGTGAAGAGATGTTGGTTTTTTCGTATGTATTTATATATTTCCAAAATATAAAGTGATGTCACTATTAGTAGGTATATTGTGTTCTTTAAAGTGTGGTTTACAGCTATTGGTGTCCTCTATATGGATCAGGATTCTTATTAGTTTTTAGGGTTCCGTACCTCAAAAGGTGAATACCCTTATAAGATCACTTTCTTGTCCGTCTGTCCGTGTGTCACCACCGATTTTCTCAGGAACGGGTAGACCTAGTAAGTTGAAATTATACCAGATACTGAGGCCTGTGGTCCCTATTAGGTGTATAAAAATCAAGATCCTGAGTCAACACGATAAAAGATATGGGCAAATTTCGATTTTCGCCAAAACGTGTAAGTACCAAAATTTCCCCTTAATTGTCAACTTTTTTATTTTTCTGAATTTTCTCTTTACTTGTGCTGTAAGACCTTGCTTTTAACCAAAATTGACAATTCTAGGTCAACCGGAAGTACCCTATAGGTTTTGGGTCGAAAACCTATACGGTAGTTCCCGTTGACCTAGAATCACGAAATTTGGCAAAAAGAAACGTCTTACAGCACAAATAGAGGAATAATTCCAAAAAATAAAAAAATAAGATAAATTTTGGTACTTACAAATTTTCGTGAAAATCTACGTAAAATCTGGGTAGGTACGGATCCCTCGGCGCACGAGTTCGACTCGTAGCTGACCGGGTTTCTTTGTAATGTGAAGTGTGGGAGCATCTGTACTGTTACCCCATAGTATGTTACTCCGTAATCCATTAGGCAGCATATTACTGATTACTGGTATACGTGTAATATATCCGGCGTCAAGTTATTGTCAGAGACAAATATTTCAGAATTAATTGTTGTTCGCAATCGAGTGATTTTAAGGCTTACGCGTAAAATTCTTCCTAAATCACATTATATACGAAATAACTTATAAGTACATTGTTTTTGCATTACATTTACATACCTATATTATGAAAAATATTTATATTGTATACATACGACGCGGTGCAGTATGTCTTGCTATAATGTGTGCTATCTAGAATATTTAAGTATTCTGAGTTATTTCTTCCTATCAGCAGTGAATTTTTTGTCTCGATTAGCCTGGACCTACTGGGCCGTAGAAGAAATCCGCCGCTGCCTATTAGAAAGAAACACTTTGTGCAAGAGCTGATTTCAAGCCTTTTCTATAATAAAAGTAACCGCACACGCTTCTCATTGATTTTGATTGCCTGTACTTACTCGACTCGAGGTATACGAAAAAAACAGCAATTGAGCGACCACGACGAAAACATGGATAAGTAAGTATCGGAGGAGCTGGCAATTGATACTCGATTCCACAAACAAGGGGAAGTTATGGTAGGCGTACCTATAGTTAGGAGGATCCAAAAAAAAATGGGAATCGTGTACTTTAGGAATGGAGCAAATGCCTTTAACCCTGTAAGAAACAGATTTTTAGCAAACCTAGAGCATTTACACCGCGGTTTCATTGGTAGTACCTTTCTCCCGTCATTTAAAGTCTAGTTGGACGCAAAGAGTTTGCCGTGAAGATCGAATTTCTCTTTAGTATTTTGGGCCAATGAATTTTCTCACATGTGCAGAACTGAGGATCTACAGAAATTTCCTTGTGTAGATATTTTGGTCCCTTGTCCAGCAATAGACTAAAATTCTTACACAAGTTTTGTATTGAAACTTAAGTCTCGCACCAATTCTGCCAATGTGCTCGGACCTGGTAATGTCTCTTTTGAGGGACCTGGAGGTAAAGCTGACTTGTTTTTTTTTATGAGCTGGTCTTGATATTCTATACCGTCGCTGTATTGCTCGTGCTTGGTAACATTTCTGCTTTTGCCTTTTTTAATCCACGTCTTTTATCATCCCAGGCTATTCCTTATTATCATCTATTTATCCTATATTAAAGACTAGTGATTTATTGTCAGTTTCTTAAATTACTTTTTTCACTCACATCATTTCATTCATACAATTGAAGAAAAATACTTGTCATAAATTCTTACTCAAATACTATTTAGTGGATGTGTATTATATTGAGACTTTAAGTCATGTTTAATATGACCTTGAGATTATTTCGATTTTAGAAATATATCACAAACGCCCACTGCTAGGTACTTATTTTTGTAAGGATAACGATAGCAGACGTCACTACTATCAGAAAATACGGAGAATTCATTCCATAGTAGCTAAGTAGTAATTTTCAAACGTTTAGATGTCTCCTTAAAAAAAATTTTTTTTTTCAATTAGCTGATAACAAAATGAAATGGAGCTAAACATACGTTTTTTAAAACTAATAATAGTTTAATATAATATTTAAAAAACCTTTAATCAATATTTTTCATAACAATTTCAAAGGTAAAATTCCTTATCTGACAACAAAGCAGTAACATAACGCGTCAACTTTTGTTGCTGTTCGTCGCATTTCACAGAGAATTTTCAGCATCTTGCCGTTAAATCCTGCTGTAATTTGTGTCTATTGTATAATTATGGTGTTATTGCGGACCCGTATATAGATCAAAAACTTGAGTTTTTCAAGATTACTTGCGGAAAATCCTAGGTTGAGAGTTTGACAGATTCTAATACAATGGCTGCAACGAGGAGATTACAGAAGGTGAGACATCATTTTTTAGTGACGGAACTATTTTTCATTTTATGTATATTAGCAGCATTGGTATTCCTAATCTTCTCTAAATGCATAGTCAGTCTCGCATGTTTATAAACTATAACTAAAATGTATTAAGCAAAAAATGTAAATTTGTATAATACGTTATTTGAGAGGCCCACTAAGAATCCATCAGCCTAAAAAATACTAAATTTGCCATAATTCCTTTTTATTATAATTATATTCCAATATTCTTTTCTGATATAACTCTGTGTAAACTGCAATTGCCTTTATCTTTGCAGGAGCTGAATGATATCAGGCAATCAGGATTGAAGTCCTTTAGGGACATACAAGTGGATGAATCCAATATACTGACATGGCAAGGATTAATTGTACCAGTAAGTATCTAAAATCTAAATATATGGTTTAAGAATCTTTATTTCTCAAAAAAAAACTATTTTTCATTCAGGATAGTAAGAAGAAGAAGAATAACATTAATAAATTCGGAGTCTTCACTCACATAAGTAGAAATAAAACCTTAACTGTAAAAATGAGGAGTTTTGCTTAATCTTTCTACTATATAATTGACTTGTGATTATGATAAATGTATTGATTAGCACTATTACACACTATGAAATGTCTGTATGATAATATCACCTTAATTGATTTAGCATTTACCAATGACTAATACTAATGTCATTAGGTTTTAATATTAGTCATAATGAAGCTATTAATCACAGTTGTTTTTTTGTGACATTTGTAGCTCAACTTATATTAACCAAAAACATATAACGTTTTTATATTCACTTTGCAGGACAATTCCCCTTACAACAAAGGTGCTTTCCGCATTGAGATTAATTTCCCAGCAGAATATCCTTTCAAACCGCCTAAGATAAGTTTTAAAACAAAGATCTATCATCCAAATATTGATGAAAAAGGTCAAGTGTGTCTGCCTATCATCAGTGCAGAAAACTGGAAGCCTGCCACTAAGACTGATCAAGGTACTCATAAAATCATTTGTCAGTTTCAAGTATCATATGTATTTAATATCTAGTGCAATGTAACGAGTAGTTTATTTTTTTATGACTTATATGTAAGTTGTATTTAATATTTAAACGGAAGCATGCCAAATGGCATGCTTCTGTTTATATATTTATTTCTGTGTTCTTATAATTCTAAAATGTCAGTCACAATGTCTTTAAGTTTTTAATTAGTTGTGTGTAACAGTATTCATGGATTAATAATAGGTAAAATGGGTAGTTAGTTGACTAGATACTAGATATCAAGCTCACAAGTAATTAAAATTAAATTCTGGAAGTAATTAAAATTAAATTCTGGCATTTAGATATCTTTACAAATAGTGTGCCCTAGATGTCATACACAGATGCCATTAAAAATAGACTAAATTGACATAATCTCCTAGTCTTTTCAAATGACACAAAATTATTTAGACTATTTGAGGGAGGGATGTTGAAGCTGCAATAGCTTCATAGATGATTCCATTAAAATTTATAAGGCTAAGGAAAACCCTACAGTAAACTGTCTGGCCAGAGTAGTCTAAGGAGAGGTCTATATCCAGCAGTGGACTATTAAAGGCTGTTGTTGATGAAAGGTTTATGTATGTAAATTTTAGGAATTGGTAATGTAATGGTTCCCTTATATGTTTAATTAATATAAAAGAACCTTAAAGACATTGAGCTAGTCTAGTCACTAGTCAAGTGTGTTTGTTGTGTTCAAATGAACTTAGTGAGTTCATGGCAGTATTGACTTGCTAAAGTCTTTTCGAGGTCAATATGTCCAATTTTATAATAAAATCAAGTTTGAGGAGCATAAATAGTTAAAATGTTTAAGTCAAAAGATAATTGACAAAGGATTTAGCAATTAGCAGCTTTAATTAAAATAATCTGATGACAAATTTTATATTATTTAGAATTAAATTAGAGATAAATGATAATTGGTTATTGAAGTCAAGCATCTTGTGATATATACATTTTGTGTCCCTATATCCCCTTTGTAAAAGGTTTACATGTTTCAAGGAATTTATATTTTTTCCCAAAATCAATTGTAATTTTATCTTTACACAGTTATTCAAGCACTTGTGGCCCTTGTCAACGATCCTGAGCCAGAACATCCGCTGCGTGCTGAACTTGCAGAAGAGTTCCTCAAAGATAGGAAGAAGTTCACAAAAAATGCAGAGGAGTTCACTAAAAAACACAGTGAAAAGCGGCCCTCAGACTAAATTTACTAAGGAATCATTGATATGAAGCTTGTACTTACAGCATTACAGTTTAAATATGGTGTATAAGTGTGAGTAAGTTATTTAATGTGCATTTATTTTCCCATCAAGTATTAACTTAAGACCTTGTAAAAAAGTTGGGAAATTTTACCGTGAAGAGGTGAACTGTACTGCTGGAAGTTCAATCTGTCTAGCATTTGATTTTACAATAGTTACTAGCTTTTGGATCACTTTGCTTGCAATAAATACATAAGCACGTAAATGAAATTAGGTAAATAGAAGTCGGCAATGTTAAAGCTTGAGTGACTAGTTTCTGTATTAATTTTGCACATTTTTTTCCCTTCTTGATGAAATAGTTTGCATTGTCATAAATCATACAAATCCAGAAAAGGATCTGCACTGAAATTGATGGCTGCTGTTTTGTGCTTGAAGACAGGTAGTTTTGTCTATTAAGTGTCATATGTATGTGAACACTTGCCATGTAAATAAACTAATAGAGAACCATGAGTGTTATACAAGCCCTACCTATGATTTTGAACAAATTGTCTGTAATGCAGTGGTAATATATTGTGCTTATTTATAACAGTATTTGATCTTTCGGCTATAAATATTGTAATTTTAGTCATTTTTAACCTATCCCTTACATAAATAAAGTTTTCCTCACAGCTGCTAATTGGGTTGCATCAACATAAGAATTGTATGAATACAAGACTCTTTAAAGTAATATTGTTTAATTTCATGTCAATGTTACTTGGTAACAAAAATATATTTTTTTCCAATTAGTTTTTTATTTTCATTTAAAAAAATCTTGCAAATCAAAAAAGCTTTAATCAGTCAGATATCAATTAAGCATAAGCTTAATTGATATCTGACTGATTAAAGCCATAATATAGCCTGTCCATAATAGTCAAGAAACATTAATTTGGTTACATGTAAGTGATATGACTGAAACCTTTAAATGTTATTTTACAAGACTACAAATTAGCATTTTCCAAAGGGTAACAAATACCAGGACTGATCAATAATATAAATCTTGGTCCAATCTTGTAAGCACAAAAACAAATGAGCAACAGTAAATTTATAAAATTTATTCAACAAAATCATAAACATCGGATTTGTCCACAATTTTACTCCTATGGTTTGTTTGGTCTTGAGCATGTTTTACCATGTTGTGAATACCAACACTAGTGTTCCTGAATTTGTTCTTGTCTTTGTGTATTTTCTTAGAATCGAGTCTTAATGTCTCCTTAGCATTTTCTATTTTAGATTTCAGTCTTTTGACAACTGGTTCAGCATGACTTGATTTTCCCAAATATTTTTCTAGGTTCCCTAAAACAAGTGAAACTTTTATTGTATTTATTAAAAGTACATCATTTATGTTTAATCCAATCCTAAAAAGTAAAAATACTTAAAAATAGTGTTTCTAATGGATAGATAAAAAAACGCAGCAAAATCGTAAGTAAAGCTAGTATATACACAATTTATGAAATAAGTAATATCATAAGGTATGACATTAATTCAATAAATAAGTTTTATCATACAAGTCAATTGTGTTACTACATACATACTACAAAGATAAACATTATTTGATTGATCACCTGTTAAGAAAATCAAAAATGTTTTTCGAATTCAATGATAAACACAGAATGTGTCCAGTCGGTTAGGATTTTGTATATACATACAGTGCAACAATGTGAAGTCATTTTCTTATTAAATGGAAAAATCGTAATTTTCAATTCATACTATCGTTCATAAACAAGGGAACTTGAACTCAGTATTACTGTACTCACTGTTTTACTCTGCGATTGATAAGACATTTTGGTTTTCTGAAATCATGTTTTCCCTATTTCTCACCTTTAATTGTATTTATGCAGTCTTCAATGTAACAACTTTTATTAGCATCCTTAATTAATGTTGGATCGATAGCTATTGTGTAGGTAGGACCATATTCTGGCCAGTAAATATGTTCTGGTATCTGCTCATCTAGCTCAACTCCAGCAACCATGGCCGTTATACATGTCCATAAGCGGGCAGCATTTGAGTGTTGATAACCACCTTATTATTGCATAAAAAGGTTTAAATTTGTAACTTAATCAACACTATATGTAAAAAAAAAAGTTGTAACAATCAGAGTAGATCCATCACCTTTGAGAAGATTACTTAAATAATAATATTAACTTCACACATGTCACACACGGCCATCTGATCCCAAACTAGACAGAGCCTATAGAATGGTAACCAACATGCTGATAAACATACTTATGTATTTTTAAATACATACATATTATCGATAAAGTACACCCAGACAGAACAAATAACCATGCTTATCACACAATTTTTTGTCCTGGGTGAGAATCGAACCCAAACAATGTGTTTCTTTTAAATTCTGTAATTAGAAGCTTCCACAGGGGCTGATATGCTGGTTCATTAAATCTTTATTTATTATCATATTGACAGTCCGAAAACAACTGATAAAAGCCTCATCCTGATAGATTCCTACTAGTTGTTCCTCTTGTGTCGATTTTGAGGACCTACTTTCGGGGATTCATAAAGATTTGGGAAGAAATTTAGTTCCAGGGTTCCAGGAGAAGCGAGGCCATAATATGTTCAACGAGTATTACTCGGCACTAATCGAATGTTCCAGGAAAAGGTCGGCGTTAGGTTAAAGTACTTTGTTAATGTTAAAATAATACGACATACATACCACCACCTAGCAACATACTGGGTTTCCGTTTATCAAGTACCATGCGCACACACTTGCAGTAGCTCCGCGCCGTGAGCGCAGCACCACCATTAGGATCGTGCGCCAGTGCGTCTGCACCACATTGTATAACTATAGCGTCCGGTGCGAAGTGACTGTACACTAAATTGAACACTCTGTACATGAAACAAATTATAAGTATAAAATCGATCGAAGTGGCGTGCAGTGGACTCGATAGGCTGATGATGAAATGCCATATGAGGGACATCATAGGGGTATTATCTCCCATACCCAGATTATCAGACCTGAGGGGTAAATGCCTAGTATTGCGATACATCTACCTTATTACAACATCGGAAACCATCATATAGTATACTCTAAATCTTATTAATTTTCTTTGCTGAAAAGTCTTCAGTAAAATACTAGCTGATCCGGCCACGCGTTGCTGTGGCTAAAGTTTTTGTTATATTACATTATAGTAAACAATCTAAGAGGAACAATAAGAGAACATCAGTCACGGAGTCCACTATGCTTTTCTACTACTATAAACCTTTAGTACAATGAAATTATTTACGAACAAAGACGAAAATGTTGATGTTGGTATACAAATTCACTGGATTGCGATTTGAAGGGGAATTACATTGAACACAATTAATTAAAATGTTCTTACACTTGATATTAAGCAGAAATCAATAGGTACAAAATAAAAATTTATCAGATTTATTATTTCCATTTAATTTTATAACAAATATGGATCATTTTGCAATTGTACTCGCATATTTATGGTCAATCGAAGTGTTTCAACACTTCGCCATAAGAATGATTGTTTCAAACATGCAATAATCTCATCCGCGAAAGTAGAGCGAGGTATAACCGGTAAGGTCTGCCGGAAGTCACCAGACAAAAGTAAGATAGCACCACCGAAAAGTTTATTATTGCTGTTTAAATCTTGCATAGTTCTGTTTAATGCTTCAAGTGAATATTTGTGTGCCATTGTGCACTCATCCCAAATTATTATAGAACTCTTCCGCAACACTGCAGCTATTCCACTATTCTTTTTGATGTTACACATTACATCTGGTTTATTATGAACGTCCAATGGCAGCTTGAATGTTGAATGTGCTGTTCGCCCACCATCCAGTAAAGTAGCCGCAATGCCTGACGATGCTACTGCTAATGCGATTTTTTGTTGCGACCGTATTTTGGCAAGAATCAACGATATTAAAAATGTCTTACCGGTTCCACCGGGTGCATCCAAGAAAAAAAAACCGCCTTGTTCAGCAGCAACAGCCAGCATAATCCGATCATAAATAATTTTTTGTTCTGCTGTCAGTAATTGTTCACTGTTCTTGATAATTGTTGCTAAACTTTCATGGTCATATTGTTTTTCTCATTGTAAATCGGTATTGACTAAGTCGGTGGCTGGACGATTAGGTGATGGCATACCATAATGATTAAGTGGTAAATTTGAAATAAGAACACATAAATCCTCGATCAAGACCAATGCTTCATTGTACATCTCTGGTGTATAATCTATGTTTTGGCATTGATTTGTTTGTCTAATTCGGTGCAAGATGTCTTCTGTCATACAATTTTTATATTTTTCCCACAAAGTTTGTGCTTGCGAGGGATAACATGTCGCCAAATAAAGCACAACTTTTCCTGATGCGCAGCACATGCCGGCTGCTTCATTCCGAAATTTCAATGCCTGACAATATTGACATACTTTATCCATTCCACCGATAGCAATTTTTGAATGCGCTGAGTAGTTAATATCTGGTGCATATTCAAAGGCAAGCCGAACGAATGATGCACGTGTTAATGAGCGGCTGATCCGTTGCCTTTGTCGATCTAGTACTCGTACTGTAGCTATGTTTCGTTCTCGTGCCGCTCTTGTTCTCGTAATATTCTGTTGCAGACGTTCGTCACGCTGTTCTTGAGATTCTTGTGCACGACTTTCTGCAGTCCTGATTCTTTGAGCTGCATTTCTTGTTTCGATTTGTTCTGGTAATTGCTGAGCTCTTTCAACACGTTTGCGTCGTGACCCATTGCTGCTCGCGTTGTTGAGGTTAGATTTTTTCGGTGGCATTTGACTGAAAATAATAATTTAATCGTTTAAATATTAGAAAGAGGAACTGAAAAACATGTTATCATAGTACATTGAAATAATAAGTGCAAAATAATTTTCAATGGAGGTTAAATAAAAATAATATAAAAAAAATTGTACAATTATTGAAAAAGTGTGGGGAGCTTTGTGCCATTTTCTCATTGATATATTGATTAACTTTTATAAAACTATGTGATATTACTTACATGTATAAATTGAAATTATTGTTCCTGTGCTCCTACTGTGGCTATGTCTCGTTCTCCTGCTGCTCTTGTTCTTTTATAATATGAATTCAATTTACACTTCAGTCTAAGTAACACGTGGCCGGCTATGCTAACACCAAAAATTTAAAAATTGAAAATAATTGAATTATACGGTATTTCGTTCACTACAAAATAAATTTAATTAATTTTATAGCGTCAACAACACGTGGTAATTATGCTGTTAAAATGTAGCTTATATGACACGTTCGTAGATTTACCATAGCAGCGCCATCTATTGATTACTTACTCAACCCAGTCGAAAGGTATCGACAAACACCAAACATTAAAAAAGTGGAAATAATTGAATTATACGGTATTTCGTTCACTGCAAAATAAATTTAATTAATTTTATAGCGTCAACAACACGTGGTAATTATGCTGTTAAAATGTAGCTTATATGACACGTTCGTAGATTTACCATAGCAGCGCCATCTATTGATTACTTACTCAACCCAGTCGAAAGGTATCGACATACACCAAAAATTTAAAAAGTGGAAATAATTAATTTATACGGTATTTCGTTCACTACAAAATAAATTTAATTAATTTTATAGCGTCAACAACACGTGGTAATTATGCTGTTAAAATGTAGCTTATATGACACGTTCGTAGATTTACCATAGCAGCGCCATCTATTGATTACTTACTAAACCCAGTCGAAAGGTATCGACATCTGTTAGAAGCATTTGGAGTTAACAGTTAATTGTGACTGTCAAATAATAACAGACAAATAATTAGCAATAAATTAAAATTGCGACTATAATTTGAGATTTAAACTATCCTATCTCTCAAGTTGGATCGAACTGCACATGGTGTGCGAATTTTATTATAATCGGTAAAGTGGTTAAGGAGTCCATTGAGGACAAACATTGTGACACGAGATTTATATATATTAAGATATTGAAATTAAGTAAGTGTTCAACTGAGCTCTAATTATTTGTATTGCTGTTTATCCCGTGGGTGTCGTTAGAGCCGACTAAGAGAGCAAACTACGCAGGACAGCAGCACTGCAATGAGAAGGAAAATTTGAAACAAACCCCTGATCTTATTACAGCCACTCAACACCTGACCAGCTCCACTCCACTCGGTTTCGGTGCCGGAGGCGCTCCGGAGTTGGTGTAGTGAGTATTCTCTATATGGAGTACTATAGGTAAAATACCCATGGTACTCCATATAAAGAAAACTAACAGCTTGAGGCGAGGCAGCACTGGTCTAATAAGCTATGACCTTTAACCTTCCCATCTGGCCAACAAGGTCAAAACTCCTTTCTAAAGGAAAGGCTTAGATCTGGCAGTTTAAGACTCTTGATGATGATTAATAGAAATAGCTTATGAGTGTTGTATTTAAAACGAAGGAACTACAACTCCAAATTATAATACTAACTTCTCAAAAGCATACTCCATAGTGTCATCAGTGTAACCTGCATGTAGTGGCATGTTACATGAGTATCCTGTACCACTGAGTGTGCCAATGTCGTTTAAACCTCCCGTGCCTGGGTAAAAACCAGGCTCGTACTTGTGGAAGGATAGAGTGAATACTGATTTACTAATGTTGTAAGCATCTTGAACTCCATTTCCTGCAACATATTTCAAGCCCTTCTGATATCTGGTAGACACTATAGATTCTGACTGTTAGGGGATTGTGAATTCAGGACATCAGATGTGTCATTTCATAATTTGAATGGGTTACGGAAAATACCTTGAACCTTTAGGTTTGTAATTGTATCTAGGTTGGGTTCAAAATTAACCACACATGACCTATCAAATTGAAATTTAATCCTGCTGTTGCATGCATAAAATTATATATATACAGTTCTGGAAATGCCGCTCTAGGGATTGTCTAACCTAGACAAACCACACCCAAAATCCATAGGACTGTTTACCAGTCTAATAGCAAAGAAACTCTGTGAAAATAGTTACCATGATGCACATCCAAATCAATGTATAACACTTTCGAAAACTTTTTCCTTAGCTTTTCAATTGCTATGACAACATCATTCACATAACAGAAGCCTTCTGCTCCAAACCTGAAAATAACAATATGTTACTAGTGAAGAAAGAGAATAGTACATAAAATATACAACAAACCATGTCTTACAGTATTCTAGAAAGATAAAATGGCTAAAGAGTCTAGTTAGTTACACACATATGAATATTTTAATATGACAGTTAGTAAAGATAGATATTTTAATTTAGGCTTCCTTAGAACTGTTTGAAAGTTCAGCTTGCAAGCTGGTAGAATCCACATAATCCCTCACTTAAAATGCCATAAGAAACACTGCAAATAAATGTGTATACTAATACTAAAAAAGGTATATATAGTTTTTTTTTATTACTTATAATGAAAACGATCAACAAAATACTATTAAGATTAATATATCTTTTTAAGGCCTTAATTTTGATAACATTGCTAAATTTATTAGCAAGCAATTTGTTTATTTTTCATTTTATTCTAACTGATCTGTTGACTTTGTGGTTAGTGAATCTAATCTAAAATGATCTCTGGGTATGGTTCATTTATGGGTTTGATTTCCATCCAGGACAAATGGTATGGTGAGTATGATCAATTTGTTATGTGTCTAAAGTATATAAGGCTTTGCCTAGTTTGAGATCAGATAGAATGCATCATGTCAAGCTTTTAAATTTATTTTCTTTCAACCATACCTATTTGCATGATGCCACCCTCCACACCAATTAATAGCAACATCAGCTAAACCCATTACGAGACATTTGGATGCAGTCACTGAACTTCCAGCTATATGTGACACTAGCCCGAACATGTTAGAAACAGGAGCACAGTCATATCCTGCAAAAAAAACAAATGCCAATAAAAATCTAGTCACTCCAAACTATCTGTACATACCCATGCCTTAAAAGTATCATTTCTATCAAAATGACAGCAGCAGACAGCAATTCAGCAGCCAGGAGTTGGATTGTGAAACTCTTTAGTGCTCCTAAACTAAAATTTATTAACCTATGCCATATTCTTCATCTTGAACGGATGTCATATAATCGTCGTCAACGTCAATAAATGTTTTTAAATGATCCAAATACAATTCTGAATGAAATTCTTTCAATTCTTCGTATGTTGCTGGTGTAGAACGAACCACTTTAACTTTGTTATGTAGTCCGTAGGCCTGTATTAAGCAGTGCACCACTTTTGCCTAAAATAATTTTTAATAATTAGAGCAATAATAAAATAACTATAGTTAGGTTTTGGATTACTTATAAGTTCATAAAAAGCCTTACCCTACCCATGACAGCGGGTAATTGATCACAAAAGTCTATCAGTTTATCATCCCATACATAACATACGTTCATAATGCTGATTATGTAGATAGTAGCATGAAAACAACAAGAAAAATAACTTAAATTAGTTTAATACTATAGTTGTTTAAAGAGTAATCAACGTAAAGTCGTAAAGAATAACTTTAATAACACCGCGCTTTATTGTTTGACATTTTTACTCAATGTTGCCGTTTTATCAAGTTAGAATACCTATCGGGCTCCTCTCCTTTCTTCTACCCATCTAAATCTTAATTTTAACCACATAACATCCCTTGTTGGATAAGGGGGTCCCTTATTATCTTTCAAGAAGACTATTGGGGCTGGGCTTACTCCTCTACCGATACCGCCTTTTTTACGCTAACGGGTGCTAACGAGCAAACGGGTCACATGGACAGTAAATACATGTACATATCTCTTAATCTGTGGTGACTACTGCCGCCCATGAACAAGTGGCAGTGGTGACGCCTTTTTGTACCCTTATTGCACTGTATTCGGTTCGATTATTTTCAACCGGTAAAACATGTTTCGTAATTTTAAATATTAAGGTGAGTTTGTTTATTAAAATATAAAACATAAAATTGTGGAGGAACGGGTGTCATGTCCCTCCAACACAAAGGGAGGATCCTCCGACCAGGCGAGGTGATCATGCCTGGCGGGCCGCGGCCCGACGGTTGATGTTGGGAAGTTGTATATATGCTAATCGGCGAGGGAATTCTTTATATCGCGATACAGGATTAGCAATTCTTATTTTTTTAGTAGTTACTCCGTAGTTCGGTGTGTCTTCATTAGATGGCGCTGTAGTATGTTTCTGTCTCTTTGGATGTGGGAGTCGCCACATCACTCCCCTCCAAGACCGGAGGTCGATATATGATGAGTCAGCTGTCTATGCCCTGTTGTGGAGCGTGCCAGTGCCAGTAATGAGTAGTTCCAGTGAGTCGGAACTGAGTGCCGCTAGTTCCAGTGGGTCGGAACTGAGTGTCGCTAGCCCCAGTGAGTCGGGGCTGAAGTCCGCTGATCCCAGTGAGTCGGGATAGCGTGCGGTGCGCGGTGCTGCGGTGAAGTCCCCAGTGAGTCGGGGTGGTTGCTGCGTAGTGGCTGGCTGCTGCGTAGACGGGAGAGAAAATGCTCTTTTTACGTGGACCGTAGGTGCAGTGTGCTGTGCCTAGACGCTGATGAGGCCGTAGAGGTAACCAGGCTGGAGCGGTCGCTACCTGCGTGTGGTATCCCTGTAGAGGCCGAGGTTGCTGGCTGGCTGAGACTTGATTACTGCTCATCGCTGTGGGAGTGTACACGATGGTGCTGCTGACGATCTGCTCCTTTTGAAGGCTGCTTCCAATCACGTCGGGGTCACCACTGTGGAGGAACGGGTGTCATGTCCCTCCAACACAAAGGGAGGATCCTCCGACCAGGCGAGGTGATCATGCCTGGCGGGCCGCGGCCCGACGGTTGATGTTGGGAAGTTGTATTATATGCTAATCGGCGAGGGAATTCTTTATATCGCGATACAGGATTAGCAATTCTTATTTTTTTAGTAGTTACTCCGTAGTTCGGTGTGTCTTCATTAGATGGCGCTGTAGTATGTTTCTGACTCTTTGGATGTGGGAGTCGCCACAAAATCATGATTTAAGTAATTCAAATTTGGTGTTTTTTTTAGTTGAACTAAGGTCTTTAAGGATTATTCTTGAGGAATGTGTAAATAATTATAAAATGTTTTTGTTGCGATTCTGTCAATTTACAAATTAAATAATATGTACTGGTGGTCGTATGTAACTCCACTCACATTTCTCGGTAAAATACAGATTTGTTTACTCTGTTCTATTCCTCATCAACTCAAAACCGATACTGACTCAGTTATTTTATCGTCTTTCTTCTTTTAAAACGCATAAAAATATATACGCGTAATACTCGCTCGATTTGTTCAGCACACCGAGCTTCTTCGAGGCTAATTTGACCTTACCTTCTAAGTGACCTCGAGCCTGGACCGAAACTGAACCTCGCTCGATATGTCGATGCCTAGAATTCCGATTTTGGTTGAGGCAGTTAGGGAGGTGCTCTCTAACCGAGGCAATACGACAAACGGTATCTTTTTGAGGTGAACGCTCAAACCTGTGTCTTTTTTGGGTTAAAGTGAACTAGGCTTAGTCGACCTCAATCTGAAACCTCCGCTAAGGCAGTTTCAATTACAGACATTCTTTATTATTATTATCATACTCTTTATTTAATTAAACATACGTATAAATTACATTTTTAAATAAATTTATGTACAATTTTTTTTATTTAAAAGTAAAAAAATTGTGTCCCATCGGTATCGGGTACAGGGACCCAGGCCCCTCTCTCCCACTAGGCACTCTGGGCACGTGCCCAGGGCCCTTCGATAGATAGTGGCCTCCTAATTCCTACCTACCTAATTCGATAATCGATATTTATTACTCAAAACCATAAATATTTAGAAAAATCTAAAAAAAATCTAAAATCGGCTGATTATATTACCTTGTTTGGCTATTCTATCACAGACACTAATCAGTCAAGGTCGTAGGGGCCCCATTATCCCCATGTGCCCAGGCCCTCCGATAGGCTAAAGACGGCCCTAATCTTTTTCAGCTTTCAAGAGATTTTCGTCATGTGGAATGGTAATGTCAACAATCATTGCTCGGCTCTCTAATCGGTCTATTACCATTATATCAGGTTTATTAGCAACAATAGTGCTGTCAATGATAATAGGGCGATCCCAGTACAACGTTGCACGACCATTTTCAAGAACTGGGTCGGGTCGTCACAAGGTTTTGCTTAAGAGCAAGTTGGTGATGGACTATCCTAGCCACTTGGCAAGACGAGAACAACTGGAAATTATATATGTGAGGCTTTCACCGGGACAACGATATGCCCGACAAATGTCTATTGTATGTCTATTTCAAACAATCAAGCTGGCATAATGACGAGAATCAAATGAATTTAATACTGCAATCCGGCAGAGACCCGCCAACGACCAGTAGTTTAAGGCCCGGGGTTCTCTGACCGTCGCTCGGTGGCATGCGACCGATAAGCGACGCGTGTCCCCCGAGGGTGGCGCACAAATGCTATGTATGGAAATGCTCAGCGCTAGGGTCAATTTCAGACACACAAAGTAATGACTGACTACTGCCTGCCTGTTGGTGGTTAATAAAAATCGAAATCACTGTGTATTGTTCTACCTTAATTATTCATGTATAATAATATTATTGGATTTTTTTTTAATTTAAGTCTGTATTATCTCAGGAGTCTTTTAATCATAATCATAATGGTTTTAATACATCCTTTTAAAAACTTTTTTTGTATCAAATTCACTAAAAAACATAAAATGCGGTTAATTAACCGTTAATAACAAAAAATGCATTTTAACCGCTTGGTTAAAATCGTTATTAACCGGCTTCCCGTCTACAGTCGTGTCAATAAGGAGCTCTTTAGTGCCACGTGCCCCACCTCTACATCCATTCTGAGAGTGTGATATAATAGAGTTGTTTGTAATATGAGACACTATCTTCACTATCAGAATGGACTTTAGTAATTTATATAATGTCGGAAGACACGTTATTGGCTTATAATTTTTGGGATCCGTGGCACTACCAGACTTATAGAGTAGGTGAGTTTTAACTAAAAGTTATGCAGTCCGTCAGGTCCCGCTGACTTCCATTTCGGTAGCGACCGAACTGTAAAAGCTGTATCAATGTCTGAAATTAATACTGGCTCCATTGTATTGATTGACTCACACGATCGTTCGACGACGAGACGACGACGACTCATACGTTCGATGTGGGAGTCGCTACATAGCTTACATAAAAAATTTAAGCTTTCTAGGACTTCAGGAAGTACCCTAAAAATTTTAATGATCACCAGTGTCAGTGATGAAATCGTTTTTTTTTATATATCAATAAAATATAAAGTACCTATAAGAGCTATGCAATTGAAACTTTATTTACTTAATGAGTCCTATATTGACATCATATCCCGAGAATTTCGTTAATCTGGTATAATCCAAACCTAAGTACCTTTAACCTTCATAAGGTTAAAAAAAAGACGAAACGCTTCGAGAAAAAGAAGTTAGGTAGTGCTATCTATGCCATGGCGCTTCGCTTGTCTCGTCTTGGCAGTGGACTGGGTCAGATAAAAGAAGTTGTGCGATGACGGTTGACACTAAAATATTAAATTAAATATGAAGGCTGTAAATATCAGTAAGTATTAGTTACCAATAAACACATGAAAATAAAAGTAATACTTTGTAACATTTTATTCTTTAACTCTACATCAGCTAAAAAGTTTCGTAATGAATTGTTACTCTGTGTCTCATAGATGAGCGGCAACAAGCTTCAAAGACTTCTCTATGATCAAACTTTTTAAATTCATTGGATAGATTAGATAACAGCGCTTGACACAGCCAATCAGATAAAAGCACCGTAGAAAAAATAAGCGTCCATTTTCTACAGAAGTCGTAATAATCAATCTTGACATTTTCAAAGTAGTTGAATGAATTAGTGATATATTTTTTACTAAAATACACAATACAGTGCTCGGTATCTTTGATTTATTTATCATCGGAGAAGCAATATAGTTATAAAATGAAAAATACGTGACATCTAATGGACAAATCACATGATAATTTCTTGAGATACTAACATGACAAGGTCTGGTTTAAAATATTGGTAACACGAGCCAGTTTGGTATTGTTTGTTTCATTAGTCCATACTTCCAATGGTGTTTTGTGGTTGCCTGAAACCGATTTTAAGATTAAAGTGGAAATGGTTCGAGGTTAGTATCATCTATTTACTTAGCTATGCATAAAATAGTTATGTTTGTTGTGTTTAGGGTGTCCTTTGTTCGCGGTACCCTCTTCTGTATCTTTAAATTCTAATGTTAGTATCGCCATGTATTTTTTGGGGGAACTTTAAGTGTTGGTGTATACTACGGTATGTCAATCAAATTAGATAGCTACATTTAGTTGTCTATATAGATATCCTTCTTAAGCTAATGGTATGTTCTGGATGCTAACCTATATGTTGTACAAGATTCCATTGGCACTAATTCAACAGGATGGAAAATATACCTATAATGAATTACTGATTATCTACTGATCATAAAAGAGGAATACTTAAAACAAAATAAAATTAACTTATAATAAAATAATTAATTGTCCTATCATTATATTATTTAAAATTAGGATTTATAAAATACCATGTGACAGGGCAGACCTAGCCTATGCTTTTAAAAAGGTAAACTATGATATAGATGTGTTTGTTTTTTTTTTAATATTGCCTCATATTCTGCACTTTACATCCATAGTTAGTTATTAACCAACCAACAACCAACACCAAATTAGGCTAAGACTAACAGGAACAATAGAGAAGTTCGAGCTCCTCATTACCATAACCTCATTTTATGTAGTATAGTATAGGTAATACATTACCTACCACTGTAAGTATGCAGCAGCTGTTTGATATTTTAAACAGTTTAAAAATATATACAAAGCTAACAAGTTTTTGCATCCTTTAGTTAACCACAATCCAAGGTATTGTTTCATATTGAAAACTTCATATAACTAATTAATAATAATATATGTATAAAATAAGAATAAAAACTTTGTTTTTCCAAACTTACAAACACTTAACTCCAAACAAACTTTGCTTTTTCTGTACACAACTTATACATTAAGGTTTATGGTTTAACAGAATGTGAAATGTCTTTCAGTGTATATGAGTTCAATAGAATTAATTAAATCTTGGAAGACATGTTTACCTCAGAACTTTTACTGCTTAATCTTTCATTGATAAGGTTCATTACTATGTAAACAGTCTTTTTCAGTAAACAGGGTAAAGATTATTTAAATTTGGTATATTTTTGAGGAGAAGAGGATATGATAAATCATACAACATAAATATTTGCAACTTTCAAACACCAATTACAATATTTATTGAATTTTATTATATTAAATATATAAACAATTCCTACATACAGTACTGCTTCATATATTTGTGATATTTATTCTTAACTTACTTCAACAAAAGGAAGTTCTTAATTCAACTGTTAATTTATTTATTTATTTTATAACTTTATGCGGAAGTATATACACCTGCGGACTTAATGCCTAAGGCATTCTCTGCTAGTTGACCGATAGGGAAATGCAGAGAAAGAATGAGGTAGGTGCACTTATGGGATGTAATAAATGATAAAGGTTTTATTACTACCAACTATTTTGACCTTTGAATAGACAAGTGTACACAGTAGTATGTCTATACATACATACACACAAATATGTACATGATAATATTCTTCTCTTATCATGAAAAGTTAAGGGATGAAACTTTGTCAATTTATTGTAGTAGTATGTGTTTATAATTATGTAAGTTAAACAACTTATCATCATCTACATTCATTTCATTTGTTAAGATGGCTAGATTATAAACTTTTGTATTGTTTGCTCTATATAGAAAATTAGGGGTTCAAGTCATTAAAAGGTTGCTTACATGACTATTGAATACTCTGATCCGTAAAAATCTTTTGCTAAATAATTTCATTTAAGACATAGCTTACATCATATATTACAAAACTTACAGTGATACAAAATAGTACTGCAAGTAAATTATTAAAAATTCTATTTTTGCTAGGCTCTTTTACTGTACTTATTGCAATTATACCCAAAATTTGGTTTACAGCCAATAGCTTGATGGCATCTTCAGAGAGTGTGAAGACCCCACATCGCATAGAATTATGCGAAGAGCAGCCTGTCAGACCTACGCGCAACTATAGAAAGCGCAGGTAACTGAGGCCTACTTATGTGATTTATTGTTTTTAGAAATGCAAATGTGCTTTAACCTGTCCTTATAGTTATTTATTGTTATAGTATTGATCATTTATCATCATATCTAGTTTTTCTGTCCTGTATTTTAAATCTATTCCTTTCCTTAAAAGCATGTATCACTCTGAAACTATTATGCACTTTTGGTTGTGGTTGTAAGTTTCTTAAAATAAGGGATCTTTTCAGAAATCTTTCTGCTTATAGGATAATAGCAGCCACCCAGCCAAAGACTGAGAATGCAGAACTGACCTCAGAACCACCTTTGAAGATTGAATTAAAATCCAAGCCATTGAAGACTAGCAACGGTATAACCAACATGACTAACGGACATACACTGAGGTCGAGAGCGGCGCGCACTGCCTCCCGTGCGGCTGAAAGCCACAAACTCACAGAGTACTTTAAAGAGGAACTCAAAAGTCCTAAAATTGAGCCACCTCCATCACCTCCACCTATAGAAAAGTCTATTAAACTTGAAAAAATAACGAATGGCAATAACAATCATAAATTGACAGAATACTTTCCTGTAAGACGTAGTGTAAGGAAAACTTCGAAATGTGTGATGGCTGAGAAGATGAGGGATTTGGAAAGAGCTGTAAGAGAACAAAGAGAGGATGGGTTACAAGTAAGTTATTTACTCGCTAATTATGCATTTCAAATGACGCCAAATTTTGCATTTACTATAAATAACATGTATGAACATTTTGCGTGGGTGTCGTAAGAAACAACTCAGATACTATATCGGGAAGATGAGTGACTAACTTTGCTTCGATTTGAATAACACCTAATATCGATTCATGTCATTCATACATTCAATTTTTTTATACTTAATTCGCTATTATCCTACCAAAAGGTCATCACCAAAAACTAAATTTTCCACTGTGCCTTTGCATGGCCATTACTATTTGAGATAGTAGGAGTAATAAAAAAAGCGGCTGGGTCTCGAGATGCGGCTAGGTCTCGATGTGACTCTGCACAAATCCGAGACTTTGTTTTTTATAGACCTCGGAGGAAGCCCTCTGATTGATCCAGCTTCATAGTTGAGGCACTCGCATCGGAATCGAGCCCTCGAGGTATCTGGGGCTCGTACTCGTTGGACGTTGGGACTTTGGACATAATTTCCGAGGTCTGTTCCCCAAGCTGGAACAGCGCGGGCTTGGCGCGGCTGCTGCCCAACATGTGGGGATTGTTGACTACTGTAGGAGGCTAAACGGGGGTTGTGCGATACACGGCCCTGTACAGGGCCTCAGTATGGGAGGAGACAGCCAGTAACGTCGCACTCCTTTGGACCTGGAGGCGAGAGCCCATGCGGCTCTGTATCAGTGGAGTTAGGTCGAAGTCTTCCGACTCGAGAAATCGAGGACCTGAAAACCCAACTCCGCCAAGTCCTCGCGGTAGAGCGCCAGGTCTTTGTTATAAGACACATTATGGATGATTGGCTCAAGAGGCAACACGGTACCGACGCAAGTAATCACGGGGAAAGGATACTTCGGAGATCACCTGTGTCTGATCCGCAAGGAGCCAACGCCTAAGTGCCACCACTGCGTTGCTGGACCGTGGGCACAGTGCTCCACACGCTGGCAGATTTCCCAGCGTGGGTGCACCAGAGGTGTGACCTCGTGGCGGCCATCGGAGTGGGAATTATCTCGCTCGGTAAATTATGCTTGCAAAGGAGGTTGCAGAGCGGGACTGGGAAAGGTTTAGAGCTCCCTCGGGCCTCTAGGCCTGGGTACCGCAGACGACTCAGGCGCTGTATGTCGCAGAACGACTTCCGTTTTCCATAAGCGCAGGCCTGGTGGTGACAAGTGAGGCCATCTAATACCTTAGCAAAAACCTTTCTCAGTATACACGTATTGCGAGTGTAGATGAGTTTCAACAAAATAAATTTTTGTTGGTGAACTGTTAGGGCATGGATTATAATTATATCAAAAAGAAATTAAAAAATTACATCATCAACAGCCTATGATAGTCCACTGCTGGACATAGGCCTCTCCTCTGAAAGGAATTAAAAAATTTCAACATCGAAGTTAATTCAGTATTCAAAAATGATAACATACATAAATGTCTTAGGTTGCTAGATATTATAACATCATAACATGTATGATTTATGCATGGTCTTCTACATGGTCGGTGAGTTTTACATATATATTTATGGAATTGGGTCTTTTAACAACTCATTACTATTTTACATTTCATGTTTTATAAAGTATTAGTTGGTTTGCTAGCTACTGGAGTATGCCTTAATTAAAGAAAAGATTGTTTTGTTAAACTTTTCTTTCATATCTTTTTTAAAAAAGTCCTTCAATGTTTTGTAAATCTCTATATGAGGGACAGAAATAAAATTAGGCAGTTTTTTGATGTTGTGACAATTTTACTTCTGAAAATGAATAAGTCAGTGTATGTCATATTTAATTTTGTCATTTCATGGTCATACAAATTGATTATAAAATACAGTAAATAGCAGTTATGAGTATTTTATAATAGATAAAATTGAAAGATCTAATTGAAGTATAAATATGAACTATATATGACTGACTGACTGCTGACTCTGAATGTTTATAACAATTATCATATTGTGATTGTAAATAAAATTTTCTTAATTTCTTAGATGGTTTCGAGTAATTTTATTACTCATATAGGTCTGATGTTGACTGTACAAAATATAAAATGATAATGAAGCTTCATAATCATTTTAAGGTCGTCAGTTAACCTTATCTGTTAAGTTATCCATCATTGTTAAAAGATTAAAGTGCTGCGAGAATTTTCCCTTTATGTAAGTGTAGAGGTGCAGGAATAATTTATTTGATAAAATCTATACAAACAAGCATTAAATTATAAGAAAATATACGAATACTCCATGTATCTGTATGTAATGCTAAAAAAGTGTGTCGTCTCAAGGACAAGGCTAGTTGTAAACTATCTGTTGGATTTAAACAGACAAGATCATACGATATGCTGTCAAAAGTCGAAGGTTCAATGAAAGATATCCCCTATTCAATTGATAGAATCGTGAGCGGTAAAAAATACAGTTCGAGCGGTCAAAAGCTAAATACTTAATTAAGATGATTTTGTACAGTCAATGAAATAATTTGGTTTACCTTTGAGCTACCAACGTTGATAACTGATTTATAGTACCCACTAGAACTTCCCTTTGCATTAAAAATTGTCTTTCTGTATTGCTCTAGAAATATTTTTTAATTCCACATGTATTGATACAGGTAGCCTATTTTGACGGTAAAGGCCGCGGTGTCATCGCTACTCGCCCGTTTGGTCGCGGCCAGTTCGTAGTAGAGTATTCAGGGGAGTTAGTCGGAGTCCAAGAGGCACGCGAACGAGAACACAAGTATGCACAAGACCCTGAAGCAGGCTGCTACATGTACTATTTCAGACATGGCGATCAACAGTATTGGTGAGGCATTTTATTTAAAATAGGTCTTTGTACATATCTATTATATCATTGACTCAAACTCTCTTTATTTCATAAAATTTTCAAAATTGTTTGAAATCGTCTTTTATGTAGACTAAAGTCATAGATCAACACACACAAAAGCAACAATCTCTGTTTTGTCAAATAGTAAGCAAATAAATTCAACAAAAATCAAACCCATACAAAATCTATGATATGCCTGTGCCGATCTACAACCGCCCGTTTCCAAGGGTTGAGCCAAACTCATGGCCACTCTCTTGCAATTCACAGATAGATACAATGGCACTATTAAATATACCACAACATTGTTTTGATGTGTGCTAGTATGTCCGTTATTAAGGACTAAAAGGTAAAAAGACAATGAAAGAAAACAAGGTTAAGAAAAATAAACGAATACAAGAGAAAATGAAGTGAAACATAAAAATAGAAAAAATAATAATAATATAAAACGCATCACATTTTTACTTAAGAAAGAAAGAATATTATCAATATTATATATTATGCTATAAACATGTTTAGTAAGTTTGTGTAAACTTTAAAAACTGAGCTCAGATTTTGACACAATATACAAACCGTTTTTACCTCAGTTTTCTTCCTTATATTTCATCATTGCAAAAACAGTGTGCCACAGCGAAGCATGCCAGGGTACATCTAGTTTACCTGTTTAATTAAACTTTAAGGGACGTCTATCTACGTCAAATAGTAGTTTGGGCATTGTTAGATTTTTGTTAGGCTTATATTTAAATTCTTAAAAAAAAAAACTTAATTCTTGATTAAAAAAACCTGTCGGATACGAGTTGAACTCGTGCGCCGAGGGTTCCGTACCCACCCAGATATTACGTAGATTTTCGCGAAAATTTGTAGGTACCAATATTTATCTTAATTTTCAACTTTTTTCTTTTTGGGAATTATTCCTTTATTTGTGCTGTAAGACGTTTCTTTTTGCCAAATTTCGCGATTCTAGGTCAACGGGAACTACCGTATAGGTTTTCGACCCAAAACCTATAGGGTACTTCCGGTTGACCTAGAATTGTCAATTTTGGTTAAAAGCAAGGTCTTACAGCACAAGCAAAGAGAAAATTCTGAAAAATAAAAAAGTTGAAAATTAAGGTTAATTTTGGTACTTAAAAGTTTTCGCGAAAATCGAAATTTGCCCATATCTTTTTATCGTGACTCAGGACCTTGATTTTTATACACCTTATAGGGACTATAAACCTAAGTATATGGTATAAATTTCAACTTGCTAGATCTACCCGTTTCTGAGAAAATCCTCCTTCCTTCCTTTTTTACCTTTTGAGGTACGGAACCCTAATAATATTTTATGAGTGTTTGTTTTATTACAATAAATATTGATATCGTACATATTTATATTCGATGTATAAAAAAACCGAAAATAAAATTTACAACATGTTTAGTTTAGCAGAAAAATTCTAATGTGGCTTTTATTTACGTGTATTTAGCTATAATTTTCTAACTGTACCTTATTATTACAGTATTGACGCGACAGCAGAATCAGGTCGACTAGGTCGGCTGGTGAACCATTCGCGCAACGGCAACCTTCTGACAAAGGCGGTATGGGTGGACGGTCCGCGACTCGTATTGTTGGCTGCTCACGATATCTCACCTGGTGAAGAACTCACGTATGACTATGGCGACCGTTCCAAAGAGTCGCTGCAGCATCATCCATGGCTTGCGCTCTGACCTGGGTGAGCCTATGATACTAAAAGAAATTACTCAGTAAAATATATCAGTTTAAATGTCAATAGATCTTCGCACTCTCAAAGTCAGAAAAAAAAAGTACTCCAGGCAGTCCATTTTTTTAATAAATGACTTAATAATTCTCTTTTTTCATTTGATATGGTATGATTTTAAAGTTAAGAAAAAAAAAAGATCCCCCATGGGCCGACACTGTGTGATCCACAAATTGTTGGTCTAAGTCTGGGTGTTCTTTGTGTCCGTTTCATGTATGTTTGTAAAGTCCCCCGCGACACAGGATATGTTTCTAATGCGGGAATTGTCTTTTTTCAAAAGAAAAAGGTAGAAATATAAGCAATGAATATGGTTCTACTGCAAATAGATTGACGTAAACGTGTAAATCAAGTAGATGAGTAGTAGAAAGTATTCCACAATTTGGAGCTACCATTTCTACAAAGTTATTTTGATTTGCTGTGAAATAATCGAATAACGCACTTGTTGCTTTGAGTTGCAATTGTCTGTCTATGAGCGGAGGTAGTCACTTACCATCAAATGACCCGTTTGCTCGTTTACCCTTTATTCCCAAAAAAAATAAAATAAAAGAACTCTTTACTGTCAGTTATTTTCATTTAGACTGGGATGACTCTCATAATATTATTGTAATGAAAAATTCTGTTACACAAACAAAATTTAACTTAAAAACTTGTTCCAGGTATGGTCTCCAGAAATCTCATTGGACTACTAAGAATTATTTATTAATTTAGTCTTAGTTATGATGTTTGTTTGTTATAAAGTTTTTGTGTTTGAGATTGGACATTAATATGTAAGTAGTGAGACAAGTGGCCTAACATTCTGGACAGATAACTGAGGTTGGTTAGGTCATGATTTTAACTGCCTTCCGCCCATTGCGGTACGTGAGATAAAGTATATGAATATAAGGAGGTGAATGCCAGATTTTGTCTTAAGGGTCTTTACCTAAAATAATATAAATGTGAACAGTGCTCACACCGGTGACAGCACTGGAGAAAAAAAAAAGTTCACGGAGATAACAAAGACAAGAGTGTATTTATAAATAAATAAACAAATGTCATTAATAAATGCGCATGCGCAATAGAAAGAGACTATAAGATTTAGTTGAATGTGTATGAATGATGTGTTGTTAATAACAAATATTAACAGCACGTCTCCAATGTCTGTAAAATGTTCTGAATAAAGATAAGTCTGCAACTTCGTAAAGTCTTTTTACAATGACACACACGTTACTTACAATGTTATTTATACATTGACTTTAAGAAGCTGACAGTTTATCTATTTTTCAAAACTTAACCTCATCAAGTTTGATTTAATTACACGTAATTACAAATTAGTTTTTCTGTCATCTGCGATAATCATTATAATCTTAAATGTTTGCCTCTGCTTAAATTTTTGCATCTGTAACATGTTTCATATTTTCCTTTCTAAAGCTTTTGTTCCTCAGGATCATCTTAACCTTTTAAATGAAAATAATATATTAAAAATTGAAAATTTTATATTTTAGGTACTGTAATGACATCAAAAGTGCAGGTTTGAACCCACCTTGTATTGAGGAGGACCCACTTCTAGTTTAGGTTATTAACTTAAGTGGGTTAACACAAATACTATTAACGTGTTTTCAAAATCATATTCTATATAAAATATCTACTACGATGTATGGTGACAAAGGGAGTTTTTGTTTGTAGCGAGACAAAATCTTTACGTTTTCACGCAATGATACACGTCTTAAAGACCTCTTAAAAACGGGCAGTGGATCGAATAGATAGACTAAATATTTGAAGATAAAAATATTGATTGGACTGTGAGTTTGGTAAAAATTAGTAAACGAACCAGATGTCTATTGGTGATGTTCTTAAATATAATTTGTCAGATTGTAATATGATATTTATTTTAAATATGAATATTGTGAAACATTGCGAGACGTATTTCAAATTTATTTCAATGTAGCAAAATAACCTCCGTTCAGGCAAATATTTTACTCACTAACTACAGTAAGACATGTATAAGTTTAGTTAGCACTAAGGTGTATTTCTATTAATAACTTATTTTCAGTTCATGTTGAGGCTGAATAAAGAGTCTAGAAAAGTTATGTATTTTAGGACTGTAAGTAGCATAATATTTGTTGTGAAACTTGTTTGTTACAGTGGTTCTTTTAACTAGAGATTTTTAGCCGTACTGTCCAATGATTTGAGAAATCTCTTGCGAATAGAGTGAGTAGATTGGAAATTAATTGTGAACGATAATTCTTGGCAAGTACCTTTTCATTATAATGAAATTTAGAAATTCGCGTTTTGATTTTTCGATATTCAATCAATCATTTTGAATAAAATCAACTGAAATTCGCGGCAAGTTGAATCGAATGTCATAGTTGTATTAGAAAAGCGGTTCAATGACACGGGCTATAGCGACAAGCCTACAAACGACTATCTAAGTTCCGTAGGCACCGGTAACCACCACAACCGCTGATTATATATGTCTAAAAAAGACACCAATTCATGATATTTCAATATATTTTATCAATTGGTGTCAAAAAATCACTTGGAATAACCATTTATCGACCCTTTTCTAATAATAGCGATATTCTTAATAATCCTAAAAATGTAACTGACAAAACTTAAAGACGTAATACCTATTTATTATAGTAGGTTTGTAAAGCTAACTGTACCATGTACCAAAGCCAAATTTGGACGACTACTCGTCCTTGCGCCTTCAATACTACTATTGAAGGCGCATTTCTGTGTCAACATCTGATTAATATATTCTATTTAAACATCTTATTGGTTTTTCCATATCAATACAAACGATACAAACTCGGTCACGACACAAACTCGAATAGTTTTTTATGTAAAACTTTAACTTTAGTTTATTTAAATTTTATTATTAGGTGTCTCGCTTCAGAAATGTGCGAGTTAGAGTTGCTCATCCTTTTTTTGTAATATCATTCGAATCCTAAATTTGTCCAAAGCCCAAATGTATTTGATTTATTTATGATTCGTTCATTCAAGTTTTAATAGATATCATTTTAAATCAATCGTGCCGTATTCATTCATCAATCTACTTTACAATCGCCCACCGAAGTGATAAAATGTAGACTTATCCACCCCCCACATTACAGAACACTACCATAGCCATAATGAATTAATATTAGACACCCATGTTTTAACTATGTGATAAAAAGGAACGCTCAATCCATACATAGAGAACTATTATTTAAAAAAATAGATATTTGCGGCAAAACTAAATCGGTTTCAACAATTAATGAACAAAAGTTAATCAACTTTTTTTAAAATCTTAAAATATATATTAGGTATACTGTCTTGACAAGAATGAAAAATAAGTAGAATACGCTACGCTTTACATAGGGCTCAGAAGCCTGAATTATTATGCTAAGTATAATTCACTGAAATGAACTTGGTGGGTAAACTAGTTCAAGCGAAGCACTAGTAGACAAATTTAACGATTTGAGCACTAAGTATGAACTTCATGTAGTTACATTTCGTAGAGTCATGTAGCCATGTCCACTTGCGAGACTCGTGTTAGTAAGTATAAAGCGTATGTGTGATAGAGACTTTCCTCGATAGCTAATAAATACGAGAGAGCGCTAAAATATTTTTGCGCTCTAAAGTATAGAGCAGACGGCGTTACCCGCCGCGCTCTGCTGACCGAGTCGTATTGCCTCGGATCAACATCGAGGACCTTTTTTGATACGTCGAAGTAGAAGGAATTTTTTTAATACTAAGATTTAAATTTTTATATGTATCTTAGTATAAATTAACTTAAGTTTACAACTGGTGGAATAGCAGTGATCATCAAGAGAGTAATAATTAAATTATTGTTAATATAGTTAAGCGGTTAGCCAGTCTTTCAACTGTTAATTTGTGCTTTTGCGCTAATTTGTTTTATTAATGGTTTTTATTTACTACTGCTATCAAAATCAAGGTGTAGTGATTTATGTTAGTGACTGGCGAACCAAATAAGAGTAATGTTATTATACCAATCGTGCACTTCATTCTTTCTATTTAACATTAATTAATGCAGCTGGATCTCAAGATAAACGAAACACGTCTAACTTTTTACCCTCAATATAAGTTTAATACGGATGCCAAATTCTTGTAAATAAAAATAAATTATAACTACGAGTACCTAGTGAGTTACGTCATATCTCTACCACCATAGATCCAGCAGCGCTGTTACTAGTATTGCTTTCTGTGTAGTTCCTACTTCTTTAACTTGTAACTGAACTGTGTGAATTATTATGCTGCTACAAAGGCTTATATTTTATTACCTAATCTACGTTTTGAATTAGTAATAAACTAAATGTGGTTCGTTACTTTATTGGTGTGCTTTTTTTACAAATAGTAGATTAATTTCTTTAGTAGATTAATATATTTGTATTTGAAAGCACTTTGTTTCTTTAAAGGGATGATTTTCATCGTATTAATAAATTTACTCTACAGATTTTAAAACGATCAATGTAAGTTCAATCGTGAAATTGATATTCTGATATGTTTATTGATACACGTATTTGAGGAGTGCTAATGTTAAATATAATCTGTCGACTGAATTAGATACTGCGCAATTTTATATGATATTATTTTATTAAATTCTTTTGTACGTGTTTAATTGCTTGTTGTACCTAAATTTATAGTTGTATTGATGCTGCTGATACATCATTTAAACCTATATATTATATAAAAAATCTAATACATTATGTATAGAAAAATAATGCATGCATACATGTCTGCTATGTGGCAAGACTTTGTTTAGCGCATATGTTGACGAATAACGTTTTCTAGATAGATAAGAAATTATTTATAATTGAAGTAAATAAAATAAATCATTGAGGTTATTGTTAGACAGTTTTCTCCACTGCTTCTGTGACTGCTGAATAGTTGAGCATCTAGATGCATTATGTCTATCCTTGTTGCTTTTGAGAATGTTTTATACAAAGCGAGGTTCTAAGACAATCTCTAGTGCCTTTCATGTAAAGTACATTCTTACAAAGTAATTATCTATTAATATAGCTAAATAGCAGTTGTACAGTGGATCGTCAATTTTAATTACATTGTACTCTCTTCATATTGCACAATGAACATTATTATTATACAATACTGTATCTTATAAACAATGGTTTTGAATACAAAGAATATATTTTTGTAATAAATCCAACATACATTGCCGTAGCCAAGATTTTTGTATATATATGCACATTTAATATTCCTTGTGAAATATGAAGCAAATGGAATAGCAAACGATTGGAAATATAATTATTATAACAGTATTGTTAACAGCTATTGTCCTAAGTAGCGATTTTATGAGACTTAATTTATTTTAAAATACGGGCTGCCACGCACTGCCCTATTAATAATCAGTAGCAATTGAGAATTGGGTGAAATATAAAAAAATGAACTTTGACATAGTCTTTTTATTACACTGAGATACACTCCAATACAATAGCCGCAATATAAATAAACTGTAGGTTAATATTTTTTATCTGATTATAAACTAAGCAACAGTGGTGGCGTTATGATGCACCTTGAGATAGTAGAGTTGAGCTCGAGACTCTAGTTCTTGCAAAGATTTCACCACTGGTGCCATCTGGCTCACATGGTCCTGTAAATTAAATTTATTTATTTATTTTGATCTAATAATATCCCTCCTCGGTGGTCATCAGAAAGATATATTTATAAAGACGGCGCTTAATTATCAATATTTGTATTTCGCTTCTGGGTGATGCAGAGTTTAGAAAAGCAACAGTGTTTACAGGTAAAAGTCGACAACTGCCATGTGGCGGCCGTTGTGTTGCATATGGAGGTAGGCGGCCTTTGCATGATTAACAATTTACATAAGGCACAAATGCCTTACATTCATCATTGTTTGGACATTTCTATTTACTAAACAAGTTTTGGCTGATTTATATATATATATATATATATATTATGCAGTTACCTGATATCCAGTTCCTACTTGTTTTCTTTTTTGTCCATATACGACTTTACCGTCGAACTCATTGGACGGCACCTTCATATCAGATTCAATTTGTTGAATCGTGACGTTCAAGTGATCTTCGATATCGGCTAGATACTGAAATAATTTGAAATATTTGATAGAAAAACATCGAACGATATTAACGTAAACGAAACGACATTTTCTATACTTTTCACTGCAATTTTTCCGTAATCATTCACATTTTTTTTTTATTAACACTACATAATAATATTTAAAATAGTAATTTAAGAATACAATCCGGGGGGCTTAGTTCGAGTTTATTTCACATCAACTCGATCGTCAAGGTGACCAAGTTCGGCGCTGTGATTGGGCCTGCACTGAAATTTTCGCCAATCGTGACCACACTACTGACACGGCCCCTCTGATGACTGAATTTTTCAAGATTTTTCGTTTGACCGCACAGGAGTGCAAAATGTATTTCAGTTACCTGTTGTTCGTTGTACCATATGCAGCAACCTTTTGGTCTGTCATCGATTAAGTTAGTGTTCCAGCAGTTTCGGCCACGTGACGCACACCACTCGCCGTGGTACCAAACCTGTGAATGAACAAGAACATACGTCCAGAAATATTAAGGACAGTGGAATACAGTATGAATGTGTGAATATGAATGAAAAACAGCTATATTGATTTCTTGATCTTAGATGAATGCGTGTATTCGAGTAACTTACCTTTTCTGGCACCTTGGAGACGAGGCTGATAGCAAGCCCCATACGGTCAGCACGTCCGACACGCCCAATGCGATGAACGTAGTTTGATTTCTCGTCTGGTAGGGTTACGTTAATCACTGATGGAGAAATAATAATTTTTACTTTTATATAATGTAAATATGTGAAAGCCTTTTCTAATCATTTGTATTTTGAACCTCAAATTTCGAGTACAAGTTTGTGTTTAGGGTTTGTGTTTTGAGTGGTGAAGGAGTTAGTTTATATGAAGTAAGGAATATCTAGACTATCGAGACTAGATAGCCAATTCTTAATTGCTTAGGTACCAACGTCTCAGTTTATTTACTAAAGAATTTTAAGGTTATGTATGAAGATGTATTCGTTAGTACCATGAAAAACTTACTAAAAGGCAGTCCTGTGATATCAATTCCTCTAGCAGCTACGTCGGTACAGATCAGGTATTTGACCTGGCTCTGCTTGAACTTCTCCAGGTTGCCCTTGCGTTCGGCGGGTTTACGATCGCCGTGTAAACACACGCAAGAGAATTCATTGCCATACGACTTTAGATAGCGTTCTAAATTGTCACAGTCTAGTTTTGTTCGGCAGAAGATTATAGCCCTGTAAAAGAATAGATGCACCCTATGATCGAAGATTGACTGTATTGTATATCCTTTAGCAATGCTTTTAAATAAGTTTTCCGGTTTGTTAAAATTTCAAGAGAAAGGCAATAGCATCAGTACCCACTGGTAGTGATGCTATTCTACTATGCTATGCTATGATCAGCCACATAGTATCATGAAAAACTAGTTATCGCCTGCGTATTTCTTATTTTGTGTTTCTAACTTTGAAAATGACGAATAAACATATAACCATCCTGCCCTTAATGTATCTTCTCAAAGGTGAAAGTTAGAAAAATCCTTTCTTACATGGGTGCTTACAACAAGCGGTTTAGCCTGTGTTGATGACAGAGCAAGTAATTTTTACATGTGTTGATTACTTACTATACCACATTTATATGACAATGCAAAGTAAACCCGAACTCAAATAATAAATAGTAACAATGCTATTGCATCGCGTTAAACATTCTATAATATTCAAATCTTTAGCAAAATCTGACGAGTTGTACAGAAAAATTGACCTAGCAAAACTTCTCTCATATTTAGAGACGACAGATATGGCATGAGGGACTAGTAGGTAAGTGGTATCCGAGTTAAAACATTATTATCCGGTATGGAAGCAAGCGTGCGGAGCGGACGTGTTTCTACTAGCTGCGGCTGGCGCTGACCACTCTTGTTAGACAGAGACAGCACCGCGGGATCTGCAAGGTACCCAAATACATATACTTATACAATACCATCTACTGTGATTTTCAACATGAGTGTGCGACGAACACCACCGAAGTCTTCTGGTACGTGTTCGGATAGCAATAAAGATTTATTGCCGACAGCAAGTGATAATAGTAAGTCCGACAGAGTTGGCGGATCTTTCCCCGACCTGAGGACATTTGACCAGTTCAATCTCGATCCTGAAGCAAAACATCAAGTAACGCTTCGCCAGAAAAGAAAGCAGCCAGATGATGACCTTGCGTCTAAATTTGACACCTTTGAGTCTACCATGAAATCACTTTTGATGGATATGGCCAAAACCCAAAATGATAAATTGACCAAAATATCACAAGATGTTTCTTCCATTAAGGACCAGATAAAACAGATTATGGTTACGTCTGATCATCTATTATTGGAGCAGGAAAAAATCAAATCAGAGTTAGCAAATTTTTCAGACTTCAAGGCCAGAATTGAACATAAGGTGGTATCACTAGAGAAAGAAATTATATCATTTAAATCTGATACGGTCAATTTGGCTTATCCCTTGACCTATGAAGATGTCATAGCTGAAACTCGTGAGCGAGCGCAACGAGAGAGAAACCTAATCATACATGGTATCGACGAAATTAAATCAAGCAGCTCCGAGGAGAGACTCAATCATGATATAACTGAAATCAAGAAAATAACGAAAATGGCTGTACCAACGTGTGAAGATCCAATTAAAACTATTCGTCTAGGTAAATATAATCCAGGACAATCCAGACCTATTAAGGCCATCTTCAAGTCTGCAGAGATGGCTAAGTCTATCTTGCGTAACAAGGTTAAGATAAAACCAGAAACAATAAAAATCTTCTCTGACGAGACTAGTGCTCAACAAAGATATCGACAAAACCTTAGGCGTGAGCTCAAGAGACGTCAAGATGAAGGTGAGATGGATATAACGATAAAGTATTCCAATGGAGTACCAAAAATTTCGAAAATTACACAACCGCATGCAAAAAACTACTCGGCATCGACATCAAAACAGCAAATCTGAAAGGCAACAACATTACATACCAACTATCTAAATCTCATTCCGATATTATGTATAACAAAAAATCTCTAAAATGTCTTTATGCAAATGTGCGTAGCATTGTATGCCCAGGCAAATTAGACGAATTGAAATGTATAATACAATCGATACCCAAAGTATTACATATCATCGTTCTTACAGAGACCTGGATCAAGTCTAACTATGAAGCCGAAAGTCTATCTATATCAAATTACGTACACTGTTACAACTTTAGAAGCACTGGCAGAGGCGGAGGAGTATCTATATATGTCCACTGCACGCTAAAGCACAACTTTATAGAAGATCTTTGCAAAAATGATAATCATTAGGTACATGTGGATCCATCTTAACAGATTCTCAATCGACATAGGTGTCATTTACAAACCTGAAAGAACAAACAACACTGAATTTCTGGATACCTTTTCCGAACAGCTGCTAAATCATCGTAGAGCCATAGTATTTGGAGATTTTAATTATAATTTATTAAATCACGCTCAACCAACTATAAAATATAAACAAATGCTACACGAAACCGGTTTTTTATTGCTAAATAAAGTAGATGCAGAATATTGTACTCGTGAAACTCCTAACACCAAAAACATACTTGACCACGTCGGCATCAATTTAAAAAACAACAACTTTCACCTAGCTGTGGTTGAATCAGCGATGTCAGATCATAAGCATCTATATCTGGAAATTGACAAATACTGCCCAGAAAAGAGGAACAAGATTACATACCTAAGCGTTGACTATGATAAACTATTTATGTTGGTGAAACAATTGGCCGCCGACAGTAATCAAATGAGTTCCAAAGTAACTAAAACCAAAGTACAGAATCCACCTAAGTCCGAATGGATAACTAAGGAAATAATTGATTGCATTGACAAAAGAAACCAGCTATGGTCCGCATACTTACGTGAATCATCCAAAGAAAATATCTGTGAGGACCTGATGGTAGTACGAAAAGAAGTTCGAAACAAAATTCAGAAAGCTAAAAGTGCATATTACCATAAAGCTTTCAAAGGTTGTATACAAAAGCCTATCAAAATGTGGAACCTAATCCATTCATTGTGTGCTAACAAAACAAAAACCAGCAATCCCCCAACGCAACTAGAGACACAGTCAGGCACTATTACCGAACTAAAAGACATATGTGATTGTTTTAATTCTTTTTTTGCTAATATAGGGTCTATCTTAGCTAGTCAAATCCCCCTGAAGTATCACGATAGCGTAGCATACAGTAGGCTATATGACAAAAAAGACTTAAGCGGTAACGAGCTAACTGTATTTCAACCAGCAACTAAAGAGGAAATAAACAAAATTATTAACAACCTTAACTCTAATACTAGTACTGGAGTAGACGGCATATCATGTAAAGCATTAAAATGTGTTAAGGATCTAATACTAGATAAACTAACTTTAGCTGTTAACATGTGCCTAGACAGTGGTTATTTCCCGGACACATTAAAAAAGGCAAAAGTTACCCCTATTTACAAATCCGGCAACAAAAAAGACCCCAGTAACTATCGCCCGATTTCTGTACTTCCGGTTATCTCCAAAGTTTATGAAAAAGTCATACATAGACGGTCAATCAATCAATCAATCAGTTTATTTTCATTGCGAACATGGGTTTACAATTACGGTTAGATCAATATCTGTCTACCGTTAATTTTATCAATAAAAATCAATATGGATTTCGATCTAAATCAAATACTTTGTCGGCTTGTGTTGACCTGGTAACAAACATAAAAGATAATATAGACAAAAAACAAATAGGGTTGGGTGTCTTTGTAGATTTGAAGAAGGCATTCGATACAATCTGTCACGAGTTGCTAATAAAAAAATTGTCCAGTGCCGGAATAAGAGGAACAGCATTAAATATGATAAGGTCATATCTCTCAAACCGAAGTCAGGTCGTTAGAATTGGCAATACCTCAAGTAGACCGGAACCTATTACGTACGGGGTACCGCAGGGTTCGATTCTTGGACCTCTCCTTTTCCTCGTGTACATTAATAACATTAACGACCTGAATCTATCAGGAGATGTGACATTGTATGCTGATGATACTAGTATCTTCTACTTTGGTAATGACATCCAACTAATTGCAAAACGAGCACAAGAGGATTTAAACATATTAAATACATGGTTTCACTATAACCGACTAACTATTAATGTAATTAAAACAAAATACATTATCTTCACTTCAAAAAACAAAATCATACCACAATTCCAACCACTAAACATAAATGGTGAAGCCCTTACAAAAGTAAAGTCTGAAAAATATCTGGGCCTCGTACTTGACAGTCACCTCACTTGGAAATCACATATAAATGTAATACAATCTAAGCTGTCCAGTTTAATAGGCATACTCAGGGGCACAGCGCGATGTTTTCCTAAATCCGTGAGTTACATAATATATAATTCATTAATAAAATCTCACCTATCCTATTTAATCGAACTCTGGGGATCAGCTGCTAAGACTAACCTAAGAGATTTACAAATCACTCAAAATAAAGTCGTAAAACTACTATTTCATATGAATTATTTAACTAAAACAAGAGATGTTTACAGTAATACCAAAATAATGTCAATCAATCAACTATACAAATATAATACATGCATTCTTATAAGAAAAATAATTAGGAAAACTATTCATACACAAATAACATTTACCAAAAAGTCACAAGTACAGCACCGTATGTTGCGAAACGCTAATAATATATGTCTCCCTATACCGCGAACCAACTACGGCTTAAGAAATATTAAATACGAAGGTGCCCAACTTTACAATAAACTACCGAACGAATTAAAAGAAATCCAATCAATGGCTTTATTCAAAAAGAAGCTCAAATATTATGTCCTGCAAAGTAACACGTAAGTAAACGAGCACACATAGTAGAAGAGACAAAAAATTAATTATAAAAAAGTAATAAAAAAAAAAAAAAAAAGAACGGTGCCTTGTATTTCTATGAATACTCAATTAAAAAAAAATAGGAATTTAGATGAATTCACTAATAAAAAATAAATAAAAAAAAGAACTAATAAATAAACCACTATAAAAAAAAAAAATGAAAAATACTTTTAATATTTAACAAACAGTAGGCTACATATTAATGGTATAAAGCTAATTTAAAAACGAAAAAAAAATACATGATAACAGTCACTCGATAGAAGTACGATAGCAATCGCCATACAATACGTAATACGGCCATAACATACTTGTTTACAACTTGCAATATTGCAAACTTGGTAATCTCGGCAGGCGTGGGTCCGGCTGGTTTTGTTTTGTGATAGCTACCCTCTTTATTTATTAATTAATAGTTTTGTACTACATATTTATTTACTTAGATGTAAAAACAATAACATGTAATTTAAGCACCGCTCCGGCACTTGTTACTTACTTTTTTTATCTTGTATTTTCTCTGACAAACGAATGTAAATATTCTTTTGAGGAAATAAATGTCTTAAACCATAAAATACATACTTTAGTACTTATTCATAAGAAATATAATATAAAATCTTATTTTATTTATTTAATTTTAAATCTTGCACTAAAACTTTTATAACTGATTTAGATCTTGTTGATGCTTTCGAATATGTAGTGTTAACTGTTATAAAGATTTTTCTTTATAACAGTTAACACTAATTATTATTATTACTATCTGGAACCAACTTAAACAAAAAAATAATAAAAAACTAATACTTAACTGTTTATTTTTTTGGCTTAATGGGTTCTTTCGTTTACATGTAAATTACATCATTTCGATATAGTAATCGCTATTTTTAGTTGGCTATTATCATCATCATTACAATATCTCTTTCTAGTAACTTCAAAATTAATCGTCAAAGCTGACTGATGCTATGTGATAAATGGTATAATACTGACCTATCCATTTTGTGTTCTCTAATAGCGCGAACGCAATATTCACCCTTGAGGATCTTGACAGCCTCAGATAGAGTCTCAGGCGTAGTGTTGCAGCTTCGGATGTTATCATTTGAGTGGACAGCGTCGGTCTGCACGTGCCTAATAAGATTTTTAAAATTTTTCAATTGGATTGTATAACTTTTTCTTAATTTGATTGATAATGACATCATAACATACTTGCGCAGAGTCTCCCAAGAGCGGTCCTTTTGTGGATCAACATTGGCTACGACATGATGCACAGTCTCCGGAACCGCATCCTCGCCTTTTAGATCCACCCAAGTCGGGAAGTACATCAGTTTCTCCTGTCAAATAACATATATTTATTAATTCTTCCTAATAATAAACTTTGACGTTTAATCTGTCTGTCATTTGAAATGGTATGAATTGTGACGCTAAACAACACCACAATTCAAATAAAATTAACAACAATCTTTGAATTTTATGTATAACTATGTCAAGCGAATTCATCAAACATGATTTTTCTTACCGCCATCTTTTTAACCTCAAACGCGTGTAGAGTGGCGGAACACACGACCATCTGTAACCGTCGGCCGTCTGAAGTGATCTTGGGTATCTGTCGATGTAGGCGCTCGATGAGTTCTCCATAGCCGGCTTTGAGAAGACCATCAGCTTCGTCGAGGACGAAGAACCGACAGTGGGTGAGAGCTAAGTAACCTGTGAACAACAAATCCTTGTAATATATAGGAAAATTTAACTGTAATCTTTGACACCTAGATAAAGGTTGATGATCAACCAGTTTGATCTACTTGTTTAATGGGTTAAGTTTAGAGAAATTATTTGATCTAGTTTTTGACTATGGTACCAGCATTTATTGAGCAGGCTGTATGCTTGTTGACAATATGAAGTGGTTTAAAAAAGTTTTAATATTAGGATAATAGTCACTTAAGGAGCCTTTCAGCTAGCTAGCAGTACCTACATCATTAAGTATTAGCAGAATACCAGCGCTACTTGAAGTGGCAATACATTGAGTCAACAGCCATATTTGACTGTGGCAGAAGTATTTTTATATACTTGTAAATTATATTACGTATTCAAAAATATTATTTGTGAGAGCTCTTAGTATATTTCTCTCTCTTCCTATTTTGTTTGGCTTTCTCCACTTTACCCAATACTAAACACCCAATAAATTTCACTCTTCTATGTAGAGTATTTATTTAATGTGGACTCAAAAAAAAAACGAATAATGATTTCTCTAGAAGCGTAACTAAGCCTAACAAATGGTTCCACGTAATAACACATATACCACGGCGGGCGGGGCTTAAAATATGCACCAGCGAGGCGCATCGGTACGCCGTGACACTCGTGTTGAGCGGTTGTATTACGGGAAGTCATGTGTTGTGAAGTGCTGTAGAAGCCATTCATATATGAAAAACACTAGATCATAAGTAAAAAAAAAAACATTTTGCTATCCCATACTTAACGACTCTGGAAAGTGTTATGCAACATGTAAGATTATTTTTTCTACGCAGTATCAGTCTCAAACTGCTTAAAAAAACATTTATTTTTTTAATATTAATGATGGCTTTATGAAAAAGTATAATATTTTTAATTACCACAGATTCCTAATAAATAAAATCCAGCGTGAATAATTTGTTTGTTTTATTGATTTTATAAATCGTCATGTTAATGGCTGATATTCTAAAATCGTTAAATTGCTCATAATATTCACGATATTTAAAAGCGTGCTTTCTAACTATATATATTATTTTATCTATGTTAGCGCATTATATGCGCATTGTTTGGTTATAACTACTTTTACTAGTCGACTAAAGCTCTGTTTGAATTTAGATGTTAGCTCACACATGATTAATATTAGAATATAAATAGTAACACAATTCACTAACGAGGGAGTAATAAAATAGTATCTAAACACGCAACAGTAGTTTCACTACATATATATAAAAATATTAGTTTGGTTTGTGTACGCTTATAAAACTCAAAAGTTCTGCACCAATTGAGCTCAGTGTTAAGTATTTCGTTGTACTTGCTATTAGTGTGTGTGCATAATGGAACCGAACTCAAAGCGACAAAATAGGACAGCTACTGTTCTTGAGAAATTATAATTCATAGATACAAAACAACATTTTTACCTCCTTGGATAAGATCTTCAAGTCGTCCTGGTGTACCAACCACAATGTCAATACCAGCATTGAGTTGATTGATTTGATCTTTAACATTAACACCACCGACAACCAGTAGCTCACGGACTCGGGGATTATCCAAATACTTCTTGAACTTAGTGATTTGATTGCAAGTTTGTTCTGCTAACTCTCTAGAAGGCTAAAATTTTCAGACAATCATCTTTTTTTAAATAGTTATACAGTATGGAATAGATACCATTTTAGCTAAAATGATTTCCATTCCATGTGGAAAATAGTGAAAAATGATATTGTTACAAAGACATTTTTGGCTGGACATTTAGCTTTTTGTAGCGTTTTCACATAATATTATTATTAAAATAAAATTGGTATGTGATAATTTTTAACGACAAAGAAACATTTCTTATCTTACTAATCTCAAACACTATTATAATGTTGTTAATACATAAAATTGCACGGTATGATTTTGCAATCACAATCTGAAGGAAGTTTCTAAATTAAAGACAGTATGGGCTTGTCCACACAGCGATATTTCACCGCACGTTTTTATTCGCACAATTTTTTTCACACATGGGATCTATGTAGGACTATCCGCACTTGCGGATTTTTTTTTATGCAAGTTGAACGCGATAGGGTGCCGATTTATTTCGGCGTGAATAAAAACGTAGCGGTGAAATATCACTATGCGGACGGGTCCTAACAATAGAGACATGACGATAATGACACCGCAAATAAAACGAAAAATCGTCTAGATTTTCACACACAACGACACCGTACCACACGGCACTGCACGATTTTCAATACATTTCTAAAGTCGGCTTAATCGTCATAGTTATTTTGCGGTGTCGTTAACGTCGCATCCGAAAACAGCCTGATAGTATTAACTAATTCCTGTTACTAATTATTATTTTAGCTTAATTATCTATACAATTTTTAAACCAAATTAAATTGAGATACTAAATGATCATGTTGTGAGTGGCCATTACAATAATAATCATTGGCACAATAATGATCTTTGTCTGGACGTGGCAACCAAAGAAAAGTATGTAAATGACAAAGAAAAGTATGTAAATGACATATAAAAAAATCTGTTTTAATATTTACCTCAATAATAATGGCTTGTGGTGCATTGCTGACAGGCTTCATATCTGCGGCTGCAGAACATGCCACTACATTCAGTTTCGTACTGTCTTTGGGTGCTGCATACAGTGATACAAATTCACCTGATGGTGGGTACTGTAAGATTTAATTATATTAGTTTGGTATTGTATATTATTGTAGTCTGTTTTACTTGATTGGATTTTTTTCCTTTAATCTTTAAAAATAAAACAAAAATTATAAACAGTTAAAAAAAAATATAAGTGGACTCCACAAAAAAGCCAGTTCTAAGCATCACTTCTCAGAGTTTTCGTTTTTTTTTTTAAATACCATACTAATTAAACAGGGTTTAGAATGGCAAAACAAAAAATCTGACTTAAGGCCTCAATAGACAGAAGGACCATGAAGTGATCTTATAAGGCCTTAGGGTAACTCAGATTACTATGTCAAAACAAACCTTAAATGGTGACTTCCCAAAGTTAAAGCTCATTTCAGCATTTTTGAGTACAACTGCAGGAAAGTAACAATCAGCACGCCTAGGTTGTTCAAGTTTAAAAGCGACTCCCAGATCTTCACCATTTTTTGAGAATCGGATCTCACCATTGTTCAAATTCAAGAAACAACCTAAAAATGACAATACACTCAATTTTTTTTTTAGTCTGTTAAAGTAGAGATTTTTTTTATTAACATTTATTAACTAGTTTATACTTTCAATAAGAATGGTTGGTTATTCTTAAAAAAAAACTAATAGGATAACTATAATTAATTTTGAAAAAAAATATATTTGAAAGCCAATCTTTAAGATGATTTCATTGTCAATGAAAGTAAGTTAGTTGACTTCAATGTTTAACAAACTAACTGGTAAGTTTTCTTGAGTAACATTGATTTAGTCAGTGATAAGACAAGTGAGAGATACAGTACAAGTAAATTAAAAAATACAACATACCAATAACATCGTTCATGCGATATGGAGTGCCATAATCATCAAAGTTCTTAGCATTAGACTTCTTTCCAGTACCACCATACCCAAATCCCAGTTTGTCTGTACCAAGATCCAATCGGGCCTAAAAGGTTATTATTTTATTATATTTTTATACTATATATACTAACAAGACTATATAAAAAAAAGACTATATGTAGAGGTGTTTTACAATTTGGTGCAATATAGCAACCTAAAATTATTGGCTTAAGCTACAAGGGCTAAAAAATTAATATAGTTTGTCATAAATGTCATAATACATGTATTATAACTATTTTTATACAGTAGAATGTAATATATTATTTTTTAACATTGTGCAATATTGATACAATAAGTTTTCAAAAGCCGAGAGATTTATGAAACTAAAATTTATAGGAAATATAAAAGATAATACTGTACTTACAGCCTGAGTGGACCATCCAACACGACAAAGACCTTCATCAGTAACAGTGGCCTCATAGTAATATGCGCCTTTTGAGTGAACGCCTTTAGTAGCTCTGCATCCATGCCATCCTTTAGGATCGCGAGATTGACATCTCAGACCATCGGGAGTGACGGCTAATGCGTCCGTCCGATCCAAAAACGACATAGTCCATTCTGTAGAAGTTGTCGTTACAATCCTATTTGTCTTTCCTTCTTGCATATCCTTCAGTGTTTCCCATACAATCTGCAGAATAGGCAAACAGAAAGCGCCGGTCTTTCCGCTGCCAGTCTCGGCAGCCATTAGCACATCTCCTCCACCCAAAATAAGAGGAATAGCTTCAGCCTGAACATCAGTTGGTAATGTCCAATCCATTTCGTCGATAGCTTTGCCCAGTTCGGAGAGGACACCGAACTCTTCAAAGGCAGTCATAGTGAAACGATAGTATCTACTGAGAAATAATTTTTACATAGATTGATATAAAAACAAAGCCGGTAGGTACTGCTGAGAACTGCTAAGTTTGTGCTATAACTAGTAAGTAGTAATAATATTACTAAATTCTGTGGTACTAACACAACCTTAAATAAAACACTGACACCTGACAGTCCTGACACACACAAACAATGATTTTATTTGTGACACTTGTGGCAGTGCTGCCATTTATAACATAGCCCACGTTATGAACTGTGGGTTATTTTTTACTTTTTTTTTCACAATGTCTCTCGGTTCGGAATCTCGTTTGTCATAGGCCTCCTCTAACTATAGTTAAACCGCCGTAAGCTTGGCCCTCCTGATGGTTTGTGGGACGCGGGGCGGGTGATGCGCTCGGCTATACATGACACGATGTACTAACTCGATATCTTCAGATTTATTTGTTTGAGATTTAATCTACACACGATGAAATGAAAATCGAATGTATTTCCATGTATTGCAATGTCAGTGTATTGTAAGTTTTTATGATTAATTGTAAAATTTAATACTGTAAAATAATTTTAATAAAATCACCTTATCTTCATCATGTAAATTATATTCAGATACAATTTAAAAAGTAAGTAAAATAATAAATATTCTTTATTAGAACTTTAACAGTAGAACCTCTGTAAGCCGAACTTCAAGTTTTTAAATCTTTTTGTGACGCAGAGTCGGCAGATTATCCATATTGCAAAATAATACCGTGTGTAGCAGTCTTAAGAAAAATAACACGTACAGCCATGCTTTCACGTCAGTCACTGCCGGCGGACAGCGATGCACTAACTAATTGGTTGAATTCACCCCCGCCCCGTGTGCCTCAAACCATCAGAAGGGTCAACTATACCACTTACGGCGGTTTAACTATACCACTGCGGCAACCCTTGATCATTTTCTACAATACTACTTTTTTATAGAAAATGCTTTTATGTTATATTTTAAAATACAGTTTAGCTTTATGTTCCAATTTTAAATGGATTTTTTACATACAAATTTCCTCATACTATTTACGTTTTTATCAGTTGAGGTTATTGAGTTTAAACTGCTGTCGTCCGGAATTCCTGCTAACAATAATACTTTGCTACTTGTGCATTTAAACCTTTACACGGTTTTCAAATGTTTAACTCAAATTTTTGAGCTTTGTGTGTGTATACCTTGTATTTGAATTATTTCCACCCATTTTGGTTGCGAAATTTCTTATCTCTCGCCTGTTTTACTGTCAAAACTATTCCCACTGCACGATAGCCAATAGCAGCTTAGCTAAACAGAGACAGAGGGAACTATCGGCCATCCATCTCTCTCGTTGCCTTTTTCACTGACACTTACAGGCAGCGGAACCCCGTGTGTACTCTTTGCTTCTTACTGATTTTACTCTTGAAATTGACAGCTTGACGTTGTCTAATAAAAATTATTCGGAGATCTGTGGCCCATGCATGCATGACATGACAGCACCAAGAAACTTGCATCTTACATCATAAAGATGCAAATGTACTGACTTTTAACTTTACAATGCACCACATAGTACTTTTATGATATTGAAAATAATATACGAATGTTCACTTGTGGTAGTTTCTAAGTATGTGTAAATAATTGTATAAATATGGAATCAGAACTGCTGTACGGTTCAGAATTAAAGCAGCCATCAAAATTGTCGCCTATAGGTAAAGCCTTGATATATACAACCGGTGGATTAGCAGTTGGAGTCAGTATTATTTGTATACCCTTTGTTTCTCCGGCTTTAAGAAAGATATGCTTGCCTTATGTTCCTGCCACAACGGAACAACTTGTTGGAGTTACCAGGGCATTATCTGGTCGAGGTGGAAGATTGTTAGACGTGGGTTCAGGTGATGGCAGAATTGTGTTCACTGCTACCAAACTAGGTTTTAAGGCAGAAGGAGTAGAATTGAATCCTTGGTTGGTCTATTATTCTCGTATAGCCACATTGCTGAATTCTGAATACCGAGGGGCTAAGTTCTATCGGCGCAATTTATGGTCATTCGATTTGAAGCCATATAACAATATAGTCATTTTTGGGGTTGAGCAGATGATGGCTGAATTTGAAAGGAAGTTAATACAAGAGACTAACAATGATACTGTAGTAGTGGCTTGCCGGTTTCCTTTACCAAATATGATCCCTGTAGAAACGATAGGGAGTGGTATAGATACAGTGTGGAAATATGTTGTCAATAAATAATCCATTTGTAAAAAATTATAATAGTTTTATATTAATTAATAGTTTGAATATAAACTGTACAAGTCAATAGTTTTATTTTTAGAAGCGACCACTTCTTTTCCTGCCTGTGTACTTCGTATCAGCCTTTGTTTCTTTGCCTTGTTTCCTGCGCCTTTCCTTTTTCTCTATGATCCAAGCTCTTGTATTTTTTACAGGTTTGCCTCTTATATTTTTTGTTGCTTCTCTTTTAGCATATTTTATTTGAAGGTTATCACTTTCATCAGTCCCTGCAAATCAGAATTTAAATTAAATTTGTATCCTTATTTTAGGATTATTATTTTAACATTTACAGTAGGTATTACCTAATGCTTGGGGTAAAGGTGCAGATCCTCCAGTCATCAAAACTAAGAAAAACTTCTTAGCTTTTGCAGAGTTTGGATAGTCAACAACTACACCTCCATAGAAGCCCGCTTTCATTGCCTGTGATGTTAGAAGTTCCATTTGGGTTTCATTCTCAGGATAGAATTGGAACACTGCTCTTGCTGATCTCGACTGTAATAACATAATTCATTATATAAAATTGAAACATATATAAAAATTAAACAGTTTTTAGCTGGCACTCCTTTAAAGTAGGTAATAATTGATTAGCTAACATATACAAAATAGAGTTAAGCATTTGTTTTCTACAATAATCTTATTAAAGTTGTCAAATACAAGTGCGTTAAGTACAGTGTGGGTGGTGACCAAAATCAATAAATAACTTACTAGTGATGCATATAATGAACTAAAGAACTGGTACAATCGCTTGACTGGCTTGTGGGATTTCTTGTCTGCATTAAACAGCCACTGTAGAGCAGATACAGATACAGCTCCATCGAAACAACCAGCTCTAAAAGGTACTCCTTCACCCATGTCTGACAGGACCACATCTCCTTCTGTCTCTCTTTCTCTTCCTACATCTAGAGAATTAAAAACGAAAATTGGCAAATAATTTACCACTGACATAGTATTTGAGAAAAGTGACTAAAACAATTTTGATGCCAACCTTTTTTTTCAATGTTACTAAAGACTAACTGACACTTGATTTGATGAAATTCATTCTTTTTTTGAAATCACCTACAAGAGGAATATATGCTGTGTGGTGGGGAAACTTTACAAACATTCATGAAACGGACACACAAGGAAGGCAATTTATAGATTACACAAAGTGTTTCCCATGTGGGGATCGAACCCACAACACTCAGCGCAGTAGGAAGCGGCAAGATGACAACTTAAAACATTATTCATTTATTTGGTATACCAACAGCATACATACATTGCACTCTTATAAAATATTTTCACAAAATATCATATCTGGTATGCATGCCCGTTACAGATACACACAACATTCACCACAATAAATAACACCTGACATTACAATAATACAAAAATTAAATAATACTTAAATCTAGATTACATATAAGGTTACTTAAATATTTTTATATATGAATAAAGCAATAAAAAAACAAGGTCAAACAATAGGGATAATATTACATGAAATAACATAAAGTAAATTTAAATCAAGAAGAATTCTTTCCACTATTGCCCTTCTAAATTTCGACTGCCGCAACGAACAGTATCGATTCTGAAAAAAAACATTATTTTTTTTATTGTACCAATCGATAGTGCATATAATATAGTTTTAGAAACAATAAAAACAATTTTGAAAATAAATGTATTTAAACAAGTTTTGAGTCGAATACAATCGATACTTGACACTTTCAGCTGCGAACATCATCGAATGTTACAAGTTCGATAGTGTTCGTATGTGTCGATACGCGCGCACACTCCGTAACTGCCTGAATCGTTAGTGTTCGCCGTCATGTGAGAGAGGAAGCGTGGGTTGGTTTCGTTTAGTTTTAAGAAGTTTATATTTCATAGTTTCGTTATTAGTGTTTTGTTATTTCTTATTATAAGTTTCAAAATGAATAGTCGAGGTAGATGTATGGTTGATTTAGTTAAAAAAGAGAACAACATCAGAGTTGTGAAACCACACCCAACGATAAAAATTACGATCATCCCGGTAAGTGTACATTTTCTTTACAATTTATTTATGTAATATTGAAAATATGTTTTATTTTAATGTCTAGTTCTTCGATCTTTTGAAATAACTAATAATTATGATTTATTCGTGTCCACATGGCGGTTAGCAAGTTAAACTATCGAGTGTGGTAGATTTGATAGTGTTCCAAGTGTACTTATTGTTGACAAATATAGAAAGTGGCATTTTCGATAGTATACGTGTACATTATAAGTAAGACATTTATCGAATGTGATACTTTCGATTGTATACTATGGAAAACATTTATCGAATCTACCAGTTATTATATTATTCCACGCTGAATACTTTTAAGATGAGATTTATTTACATATTCGATTGTTCACAGTTTTTTATTGGGTCTTCTTTTCATCTAATAATTCAAGTAAGATATTAAATTACTTATGTTCTTTTTTGTTTTAGAATCTCCTGTACATTAGAACGACTATATGATGTGTTTCCCACTTCACAAGCCGACGAAGACAAGACTAATGAGAGACTGGCAAATGACTACCACAATATTATACTTGCCAGTGAAGAAGGTACACCAATGCCTTCACCTCCCTCCTCACAAGACCTTCATTTCGGATCACCACTGACTGAAGATCCTGTAGGGACCCCTACGGGATCTTCAGTCAGTTCAGTAAATGAAGAAAGTACGCCTGCACAGTTGCTCCTTTCCCAACGAGACCCTCTCATTGAAACAACGCCATCTGTAACTGACGACCCAGTAAAAATCCCAAGTATAAGTTCACTGATTTCGACATCCGACAATGACTGCTGTATTACTCCTACTTTATCTACTTCACACAAGCGCATACCAACACACAAAATTTATCCTGGTCGTAAACGAAAACAACATGTCAAAGAGTGGGTTGATGTTCGTACAAAAATGTTGAATAATTCTGGGCAACAATATATTTCAAAAAAAGGTAAAACCGTTCCAGCTAAAATCATTAAACCACCATGTCCTTATACCTGCAAGCTGCAATGCACTAAATATTTTAGTAAAGAAATTCGAAAAAACATTTTTAATGAGTTTTGTCGGTTATCCGATTACACTAAGCAGTGGCAATATATAAACAAATTTACCAAAAGATTCGAAGAATGACAACTGAAAAACAATCTAGAAGAAAATTTACTACAAAATATTACTTACCTTTGCCTGCGAATGATTCCACCTACGAGGCTCAGCAAGTGTGTTTGAAGATGTACTGTGGCACTCTTGCTATTACTGATCAAACAATTCGAACAGCACACAGCAAATTAGATGCTTGTGGAATTACTAGCAGTGACAATAGAGGGAAACATGTAAATCACCCAAAAAAGGTGGACGACGAGATGATACGAAGTGTTACTGACCACGTAAAGTTCTTTCAACCCGTTGAATCTCACTACACCAGAAAAAAATACCAGTAAATTGTATTTAGACAACTCTTTGAGTTTCAATAAGATGTTTGCAATGTACAAAGATTGGTCTGAATTATCTAAATATAATAACAAAGCAGAGACTGAAAGACAATACCGAAGTATTGTCCGTATATCATAAACACATTTCAAATAAGGAAACTGCAAGAATGTATAAAGCAAGAGATAAAGAAGAATCCATTCAAAGTGCATCAAAAATAGTTTGCGCTACATTCGACTTCCAGAAATTGCTGAACTACCCTTCTGGCGAAGTGTCTCTTTTTTATTATAAAATAAAGTTATCACTGAAGCATTTGACAGTTTTCGACGCTGGGCTTAAAGAGGCTTTCTGCTATTTATGGCCACAAAATGTTGGTAAACGAGGAGCAAACGAGGTAAGGTAGTTGCTTGTTAGATTTCATTGAACGTAAGGTATCTAGAGGTGCACTAGATATGAGGTTTTGGTCGGACAACTGTAATGGACAAAATCGTAATAGTGTTATACAGTCTTTACATGTACGCAAGTAACAAATTTAATATTGATATAACTCATAGATTTCTGGAGTCTGGTCATACACAACAAGAAGCAGACGCCACTGTATTCAGATAGTTTGCCAATTCCGGAAGCTAAATATAAAGACTTAATGAGTCTTTGCGAAGCAGGACATATACCTAAGCATTACCACACCTTTTTTTTTAATCTTAAAAGGTGTCACATTGAAAATGTTTCTTCAAGTGATGAAGATACTTAGATATTAGAATTAAACAGCCTAAATAGATTTTTATGAAAGTTTTTTTTTTACATTTTTTTTATGTGCAATCAGCATTTGTTAGCATTTATTTTTTGTTAAAAACCCAATGAAGGGATTTTTATTTAATTTTGTAATAATTACCTACGAGAACAAGACTGAACACATACGAGTAGGTATGTTAATTTACATGGTAGGATTGTTTAATTTGATGACTTAATTTTCTTAGGGTATAAGTACAAAGTATTAATTTAAACAAGTTTATGTAGTGTGATTTAATTCTGTGATGCATAATTTGATTCGTTTTGTATAAGTATGTACTCATACGTTACTCTTAATCGATCTCAAGCTAAGATGGCTATTTTTTGTTGCATTATTAATAAATGTGCCTTATTTAAAATACAAAACTTGTATTTAATTTTGGTACCTCCTCCTCCTGCTTCAAAAGGTAACTATTATAAAAAATTACAAATGAACCAACTATTGAAATGTATCAAAAGTTTAGATTCGTACATAGATTATCAAAGAACAATATTGAAACTGGTATATTCGATATTTTTTATAATTTTGTAAACCACGAATATTATGGAATCTGCCACTTTCGATGAAATTGCAGTTGATGATAACAAGGTATACCATCGAATATGAAAAATATATAAAACACAAATAAAATATTTAAATCAGGTACAGGCAAACGAAAACACATAAAATAAGCTATCTTATAAGGGCATAACTTTTATTACATCAATATTATTAATCATAATAGATCAAAATAAAGTTTTAAACAATTGTACTGTAAAGTATGTGATTTGTAGGTTCGATACTGTTCGTTGCGGCAGTCGATTTATTGAGAGGGACATATGTCTTTCAGTGAGCAGATGCCATTGTATTATCTACTTATTCTTGTCAGAGGTGTGTTTAGACCTAGATTATATTATATATATTATAATATGATTGGCTATAAGTTATATTTAATAGGTGGCTGACTTTATGGACAAAAAAGTACATTTACATAAGGAAATCATACCAAGCATAGCTGGAGATATGTCCATGCCAATCCACATATGGCCATTTTCTTCCAGCACTGTCCCAGATAGTCCGGATCCACATCCTATGTCTAGAAGAAGGCATGGTGTATCTTCAGGTAATAACAGCAATTCCAAACATCTTTCTGTCATCTGTGCTTGAATTTCCATAATACGCGAGCTGAATAGAAATAATATGCCATATAAAAAAATATGATGTTACTAGTTTTAACACAAACAACAATAATAATGCAGTAACACATACTTCTGTGTATATTTTCTGGCCTCATCCTCGTTATAGAACTGAAAAAAGGCAACGGCTTTATGTATTCACTCATTTAAAAAAGAAAATATAGAATATGAGTAATGTTATCTTACAATTTCAGGGGGTGCCTGATGTTCTGGTCTTTTAGACATTTTTGAAATAAATAGTTTGTATTAAATTAACACATAAACAATCAACATGAGACATAACCTCTAAATACCACCGATTCGGACTGTCTGATTGACATTGACAGATTCAAACTAGAGATGTGTAGATTGTGTAGCGTCTAAGTGAGTAATCTAAAAGATATTACTAACGCCGATTAAATGTATTGGTACCGGATGTATCAGTAACTCAGTTCTAGCTTACTAGATCACTAGATTAACGGAGCCGATATTCGTTTCATGAGCAGCTGAGACTAAAGATAAATGAGTGAGATAGATGTGGGTAAGATCACGCAAATTTAGTTTCTTTAAGAAAAATGTACGTTACTTCTGTAGTCTCAAAGATTTTCAGTACCTATTGGATTATTTGAAATTTTGTGTTTGTTCGTCGACCGGATGGCGTAGTGGTTTGTGTAACGGACTGCAATTCCAAAGGTCGCGGGTTTGATTCCCGCTCAAGTCAAACATTTGTGTGCATAAACATTTAATGTTTGATTTGGTCTGGGTGTTTCTATGTATAATATCTATGTTAACACAAAAAAAAAGTATATATGTACTTATATCAGTTGCCTAGTACCCATAGTACAAGCTTAGTTTGTGACTAGATGGCGTTGTGTGAATGTAGTAAAATTTGTTGTTATTATTTATTATTTAAAAATCGACAATTATAAAGTATAAAGGAAAATCGATTTAATATACATAAATTTTGCGAGCGAGCGAAAGAGGTTTGAAGTGAGTGAAATTAACCGAGTTAAACGATCTAGACGAAGAAATAAATCAATTGAGACACCAATCAATTAGATTGGATTTTACGTATCACTAATTGATACAGTAGTGTTCATCGTTATTTACGTCACTAGTTACGAAAATAAAACACAACTTAACATGTTAATGTAAGTTAATTATTGCAACCACAAGTCAAATAGTTATATAAGTATAATTACAAGTTGTGAAGTCATTTGGTTTTAATTTGACTTTGGCACGTTATGGTAAACCCATGGTAAATTATTAAAAACATATGCCTACCGGCCGCCCAGGCAGAGAAGACGAGCCAACCAATAGTTTGCAAATGACCAGAACCAAAGATATGAGTAATTCTGAACGTCGGCCGCCATCATCGTCGAAAGTGCCGCGCCGACTGTAAAAAGAAAGTATGAAAGAATTTATCTGCTACTAGCCTAATTTATCCTCTCAGGGATGAAATTTCTAAAAATCCTTTCTTAGTGGGTCAACTTAAAACTTTGTAACTCCAGCGGTTTAGGATTTGCGTTGATGAACCAGTCAGTCAGTCCTCATTTAAAAAATTTAAACATACTTTTGTATTCCTTAATGTACACGTGTGGTGGGTGATTTTGACAAAAATCTGACATATTACACTTGCAAAAAACAAGTATTGCGAGTTCGTCTAACTGGGCCTTCGTGAGATCCGGATAACTGAAACCTGCGTAATCAATTCAATCTGTAATAGTAATGTACTGTACGAAGAAAGTTGCATAGCCGTTTCAGCGATCCCGCGGGCACAAGTTTTTTGCAGCTTGCAACCTTAAAGGCTCTAAGAAAATTTATTTATGACGGATCAATAAACTGTTTATCTTTCGACTTTTTGTGATCGGGGAACCACCAGGGGAAATAATCTACGGGATCTATGGCCAGTTAACTCATGAGTTATGAAATCTTTTTAGAACAATTTGGTTTGTCATCAAATCATCATTAATAGTGTTACGAGCGGGGTACATAATGAAGTAATTACTTTATTTTACTGTATTTACAAACACTCACTATAAAAAACTAGAAATCACTATATAGATATATATCGCACTAGAAATTCACTCCGATGTTGATTCGCTGGCCAACAAGCTCCACTTTTATAGCGCTTTTGAATTTTACTAGAAAGATCCCTAGTATTCGATAGTCCGTTCCAGACATCAAGAATATTCAAGAACCAGTCACGCGTTACTTGCAGCGCCATCTAGCGCTGTAAGGATCAGAACTAGGTACTCGTATTAACCATAATCTCAATAGATACTTAAGTCGATACTAGATGGCGCTGTCCTCCACATATCATACAATCGAACCATTTAATCCTATTGCGCATAATAGCCTCCAGCTGTCAACTGGCTGGACATAGGCTTCTCCTCAGAAAGGAGGCTTATGAAATATTTTAGTAAACATATAGTATTACTGTTCAATTAGTATTTTTAGTGATACAGGGACATTTAAAAAACAAAATAGGAACAATTTAACGAACAGTTAAATAATACCTATTATTGAATAAGAAAATGAGGTTTTTAGCCGAAACCGAACGTCGGCCCTTGTGTAAGTTTCGGCCGAAACCAAAACTCATACTATCATTTAAAAATTTCGATTGTATACAAAATCTAGTGTATTCTTAGCCATTTATCTGCTTTTACCTGCATACCACCTAAACCACTGAAATAAGCTAGACACACACGCCATTAATTCTAAATAGGAGATAATGTATTTACGTAAGTAGATAAAAAAAAACACAGGTATGTAACAAGTACCAGGAATTCAAAATTCACCTGTCCAAATTAACTAGATAGATACCTCACGCGATATGTGGGCAAAGATGAGGCGAGGTGGCTGATTAGGTAATTTGAATGGACTGTACGCGTTCTCTCATAGTTAAAGTTAACTTAAGATAAGAAGTTTTTTGGTTGGTTAAAATATTAAAATAGGGGTACAGAATGTCGGGCACGCCGTCATTGCGGCGGTAAGACCCGTTATGGAGGATTGGCTCGAGAGGCGTCACGGGACCCTCTCATACCGACTGACGCAGGTGATCACCGGGAAAGGATGTTTCGGGGATCACCTGTGTCTGATCCGCAAGGAGCCAACGCCTGAGTGCCACCACTGCGATGGCCAGACCGTGGACACGGCTCTCCACACGCTGGCAGAGTGCCCGGCGTGGGTTGAGCAGAGGCGAGACCTCGTGGCGGCCATCGGAGTGGGAGTTCTCTCGCTCGATAGCCTGATTGCGGCTATCGTGCGGAGCGAGAGTGTGTGGAACTCTGCCGTCTCCTTCTGCGAGCAAGTTATGCTCGCGAAGGAGACGGCGGCGCGGGACCGGGAGAGGTTTAGGACTCTCCCGGCCCGCTAGGCCCGGGAACGGGCCAGGTACCGCAGGCGACTCAGGCGCCAGAGGTCGCAGAACGACCTCCGTCCTTCATAAGCGCAGGCCTGGGGGTGACAGGTGAGGCCATCTGTCACCCTAGCAGAAGCAGGCCGGGGTGGCGGCGAGCGCGTTGCGAAGCGCGCTCGCTTCCAGGGAGCACAGGGAACATATGGTTCCCACACGGGGGGGGGGGGGTCGTCTACTCGTCTGTAGATGACCCGAGGTATGTCGGGGTACCAGGGACTTCCTTTCTAGGGTATACCTGGTTCTCCGGCTATTAGTACCCGAGACGGCGTGCGGTTTTAGTCGGTTCGAGTCCGACATGCCTCCGAGAGGTGGTATCCGAGGGGATTACCGCATGGAAAAAAAAAAGGGGTACAGAATGTAATTCAACAACAATTAAGTATCTACAAACAAATACATCTGGGTCGTAATTATAAAATTATACTCTTCGCTTGAGGTTAGTTTTTGCCTTTTAAAATTACGCTCAAGCGTTTCTTGTGTTTTGGGGAACGTTCTGGAATATCTCTTTTATACTCTCTCATAATCTCTTTTATTTGTCACTAATATATATATAAATAAAACTCAAAACGAAGCTCTATATCTACAAAGTTAATTATAAGTACTAAGTTAAAACAAAATAAGTACATAATTATTAATGCGTAAAACACAACTAACAAGATAGTAAGTCGTGTAAGAGCCTTGCTTCGGCACGTATGGGTCATCCCGGAATGATACCCCCCGGAATGATATTTTTGCCCCGAACAACCAATCTGTGAAAGGAGTTATCGTCTGCGGTATTTCCGGACCGATACGACCTTCAAACCTTCAAGAAAAGAGCGTACTCCTTCCTAAAAGGCCGGCAACGCGTTTGTGACTCCTGAGTTGCAGACGTTCATGGGCGGCGATAGTCACTTTCCATCTGGTGACCCGTCTGCTCGTCTGCCAACTCTAATATAAAAAAAAAATACCACGGGCTAACAGAAAATTGGTGTTAAGCAGTTCTTCCGTGGCTTTTCACCGAGTGAGAGAGGTAACCGAAGCCCTAACTAACTAACTAACTAACCTTTTTTTTTTTTTTTTTACGTGTGGAAATCCCCTCGGACCGTCACCCCGCCGGGGCTCTCGTTCGGCGGGGCGGTGTGTCGGACTCGAACCGACTAAAACCACACGGTGTGCCCTCTTTGCGCTTCCAGTTTAGGAGGGGTCCAGGTAGTTATCGCCTTCTGGACCCCTCCCAGCGCCAGCCCGCTCCTGGTGCGGGCTCCGTCTCCAGGACCTCTCTTTTTAGGCGGCGTCCGGCACACGCGGACGCCGCCCCCTCGCGGCTGGCCAACTAATGCGGGTGGAGGGGAGAACCCATCCCGTCCACCCGCGGCCACACTCAGGGCGGCATGAGGCGCAGGTAAGCGCGCCTCCGCCGCCCGGTTCGCCGGCGGCGGATCAGGTCCGAGTGGAAGTCGTCCTCCCGGGCCTTCTCCGCCGCCTCCTTCTGCGAGATTACCTCCTCGCAGAAGGTTGCGACCGCGGTAAAACAACTGTGAGCGAATTACGGCCGGTAGCGAGAGATCTGCTCCGATGACTGCAGTGAGGGCCCGGCGCTGCGTCGCCCATGCTGGGCAGACCGCCAGCGTGTGCTGGGCCGAGTCCTCACTGCAGTCGCAGTGGTGGCAGGCGGGACTCAGTTCCCTCCTAGCGACCGAGTGCAGGTACTTCCCGAAGCAACCGTGCCCGGAAAGCACCTGCGTCAGCCGGAAGGTAAGGGTCCCGTGCTGCCGCCCTGCCCACTCGGCGATGACCGGCTGGAGAGCCTCCACGGCGGCGAAGCCAGCGCGTGGAGTCTCCAGCCGGAACGACCAACGAGCCATCGTGGCTCGGCGAGCGGTTTCGCGCCACTCGCGCACGTCTTCGGGCGGAAGGCTAAATCCGCTCTCCGCCCGAGAGTCAGCCACTCGCCGATAAACTTCGGCGAGCACTTCCGCCTCCAAATCCCACGGGGGAGTTCCGGCCAACGCGCACGCCACCTCCGTCGACACGGTGCGGTAACCGCGTATGGCTCTGACCACCATTACCCTCTGAGGGCGCCAGAGGCGTGCCCTATTCTGGGCGGTCAGAGCCGCCGCCCACACCGGTGCACCGTATAGTGCCATTGACCGGACAACCCCCGTGTACAGCCGTCTTGTCGCGACGCTGTGTCCACCCAAATTGGGCAAAAGTCGCCCTAGGGCGGAGGCAGTGTTCACCAGCTTCGGACCAAGCTGTCGGAAGTGCTCGTCGAAGAGCCACCTACCGTCTAGGACCAGACCCAGGTACCTCATCTGGGCCCGGACCGGTACGAGGACCGAGCCGACCTCGATTGAGGCGCCGGCGGGTGGACCACGACGGGGCCCATGAAATAATAGGGCCTCCGTCTTATCCAGGGCCACCCGTAATCCCAACGCCTCAATGCACCCGACCACCTGGGAAACTCCCGTGGCGGCCAGGCGCGCCGCCTCCTGGAAGTTAGCCCCCCGGGCCGTGAGTAAGGTGTCATCCGCGTAGCAGATTACACCCAGCCCGGGGGGGGAGACGCCCTCGTAGGGCCCAGTCGTACCCGATGTTCCACAGGAGAGGTCCTAGGACAGACCCCTGCGGAACACCGCACGACATGGCCCTGCGTCTCAAGACGCCATTTCGGTCCTCGTACATGACGGTTCGCTCCTCAAGATAATCTGCCACCAGCCGCCTCAGGTACTCTGGCACTCCGTGGTAGCGGAGCGCTTCCCTAATGCAGCTGAATGGCAGACTATTGAAGGCGTTGGCGATGTCCAAGGACACCGCCAACACCACTCCGCCGCAGCTCACGGCCTCCTCGGTCACGCGCATTACGGCATCGATCGTCGAACGCCCCGCTCGGAAACCGAATTGGGCGTCCGACAGATCGGGGCCGACCTCGCAAAGGTGCCGGACGATGCGGGCAGAGAGCACCCTCTCAAAAAGTTTAGCCGCCTCGTCCAGCAACACGATAGGCCTATAGGCCGCGACCGATTCGGCAGGCCGTCCCGGCTTCTGCAGCAGGACCAGCTTCCCGCATTTCTAGCGCTCAGGGAAGCGTCCGGACGCCAGGCTAGCGTCCAACACCCCCCTGCGGTAGTCCGACATGTAGTCGAGGGCTCGGGCCATCACTCGGGCTCGAACCCCGTCCGGCCCGGGGGCAGTGTTCTTGGATCTAATCCGTAGAACAGCCGCCCCCAACTCCGATTCCCTGACGGGCGGAACATCAGCCTCGCTGCCCCCGTCGTCTCCGGCTGATGCAGCCATCGACGGGGGTGTGTGCTCCGCCCGCTGCGGGAATAGGCCCTCGACCACTTCCTGCAGGAAGCTGGGCTGGAGAGTCTCCGTAAGGGGGGGCCCGACGTGCGGAGCTTTTGACGCACCGCACGATAAGGGTGACCCCAGGGGTCACGCTCGAGACTCTCCAGCATCTCCTCTCTACATGCATCTTTGGCGCGGCAGATGGCCAACCTCAGAGTTTTCCGAGCTTCTCGGTAATCCTCATGAAGCCGGTCCACCTCCTCACCGACCCCGCGGTGACGTCGCCGACTACGGGTGAGGGACCTCCGGGCACGTACACAGGCCGCACGGAGGTCCGCCAACTCCTGGGACCACCAGTAGACCTCCTTCCTTGGAGGCCGACAACCACGAACGCGGGGCATGACCGCATCGCAAATCTGCGTAAGCGCTTCGCAGAAGCGACCAGCCCCCATGTCGACCTCCTCGGTCGGGGCCTGTGGAGACAGCCAAGAGTAAATAATGGCCGCCTCCTCTAGTAGGTCCCTGTCGAGCTTGGCGACAGCCCACCGCGGGAAGCGGGAAGGGCGCCGCGCCGCGTGACCCCTATTGGGGTCCTGGGACCGGGAGAGCTCGAATCGGATGTACAAATGATCCGAGAGCGTCTCGACCTCTTCCAGGACACACCAGTTCCTTACTCGTGCGACGACTGCAGGGGTAGCGAACGAAAGGTCCACTATCGACCCCCCCTGCTGTCGCACGCACGTGTTGGTGGAGCCTCTGTTCAGCAAACAGAGGCCCACCGACGCCGCCCACTCCTCGACGGCTTCGCCCCTGGCGTCCGTCGCAGGGAACTAACTAACTAACCTAACCTAACCTTTTAGTCCCTACTAAAAGGTAATATATGGATTTTTGTTACATCATTAATTGTGTATTATTAATTAAAATTAATAAAAATTAATTAATTATATTATATAAATATAATATATATATTTATATAGTGTATTATAGTGTACACTAGTGATGCGCAAAATGTATCACTGAGCTGAAAAGATTGATATATATCATTTCGCTCAAAAGATATATATCACTCATATAGAGCTATATGAGCTATATGACTAGCTCGTTTAGCTCACTAGCTCATTTAGCTCACTAACTTGATTAGCTCACTAGCTGATTGATCCGATTCAATTGATTGGTCTCTCAATTAATTCATTTCTTCATCTAGATCGTTTAGCTCAGTATACTCGTATATCACTCACTTTAAGACTCTCTCGCCATACAAACCTTTCTTTATTTTCATATTAACCTAAATTACTACACTAAATTTTTAACCTATTTTTTTTAAATACAATTTTATTCATTTTGATAAGATTACATAATTATTAACACCCTTTTACATAATAATTAAAAATAAGAAATTATTTCTTGTACTTTTTTTTAGGTTGTAACAGTTATTTTTTTATTATATTTGTATTGCGTACGGAGTTGTAAACAGCGACACCTATTGCCCGCGTCGCATTTTTTGATTTATCCAAAGTAAATTGTAACTATAGTATTGATGTTCTTCGTCCGCCATCGGACCACTAGATGGCGTTGTTTTATTGGTAAGTCATAGTAAGAATTTATCCTGACAAATTGTATTAGTGTTAAAAGTGTCCTGTTATGATAGGAAGCGAGTTACTTTTGATTTGGTTCGTGTTAACCTTGATGATAATTTGAATGGCAATTTAAAATGTTAAAGTAGGGATTCTTTCTAGAAAGTTCACAAACCGAGCATATATAAGTCCGGCTTTCAGCCACAGGGGACACTCTGCTAATTCTTGTCTTCCGATCTTAAATAGTATCTTGTTTATCTGGTGATTTTATTTTCGTAATATTATCTTTGTTCGAAGTACCCACGCAAGTGGTAAGTTATTCTTAATTTTCTTTTAGTCATTTGTTTCTGGAACCTGAACGATTATATGAGTGCTAATCCATTCGTAGGGCTCCAGATTTCGGGTCAAGACCATCAATCTCAGACGGCGTGCTCTTTCGTTTGTGCCCTTTTGGTGCGAAGTCAAGTTTCTCAGTACCCTCTGGCAAACTGGCAGTCACGCGGCTCACCAAGCAAGCGGACAGCCTTACTCAAGGGTTACATACTTCTTGTTAACGTTATTAATATAAATATTGAACCTTCCTTTATACCTAATATAAATAGCCGACTCGGGCGGGTGTGGAAGTGACCTGCTGGATTGATGACGAGGAGGCTCCGAGCAGCATCAGCACGGCCTTGACGCGCGCCGCTGTGGGTTTTTTTATATACCCACTAATTTATGTTTTTTTATTATTGTAACTTTGATTTCATTGGAAATATACATGTATGTATGACTGAGGTGTAAGTTGTCTTTTTCTGAGGAGTCCCTTAGGTTGCCCACACGCACACCCTTCTGTTTTCGACAATGGCGCCCTGAGGTAATCTCGTGAATCTCTCCGCTGGGTAAGCCGGTGAGTAGTCCGCCTGACACGAAAAGCGGCTACAAATTGGAGGCTATAATAGAAATCATACATAATTTGATTTTCCTTGTACTTGGCTTAATTCTTAAGTAATATTAAACATTGATCCTATAGAAATAATGTACATTTTGGATAAAGAAACTTGCGTGAACTCAACTATCATCTATCTCACTCAATTATCTGTAGTCTCACTCGCTCATGAAACAAAGATCGGCGTCGTTGAGCTAGATAGTGATCTAGTGAGCTAGTACTGAGTTACTGATATATTCGGAGCTAGTGTGAGTGAGTGATACATTTTATCGTTGTGAATGATATATATCTTTTATATCACTCACTCAGGAGCTACACAACTCTAGTGTACACCATTGTCAGATTGACAATTGTCAAAATGTCAATCTATGTCATGATGTCATTGAATTTGAAATCGCGGGAGAATTATTATTTATATATATTAGAATAATTTTTAAATTTAAATTAACTTAATATTATTTAACTACATAAATAAAAAAAAATGCCTAGAGCTTTAAGTTTAAAGAAGGTACTTTACATTTCATTAAGGGTTGAAAATGTGTTTATGTTTCTATTATTTGGTGTAATGTGTTCGTGGAGTACAATAATTAATAACAATGTTTTTTTATTATTTCAGCCACAACAGGCCGTACCTGCTAAGAATCAGAAATCTATAACAGCATTTTTTAAAAATACAGGCGATGCTATAAGCCAAGATCTCGGTTCCTCAGATAAAAATTTACATAAGCAGACATGCACCGAAATAAACAAATCAAAAAGAAAAGCTATGTCACCTGTAAAGTGCCAAATGGCCAATTCAGTTTCAATGAATGATAGGTGTAAAGACAGTATAGCAAGTGGCTCGCAAGGAAATCTTCCAAAGAAAATCAAGACAGAAAGAAATACAAAAGTTTCATCGCCTAATAAAACAAAAATCTCCAGTCCAAATAAAAAATCTCCAAATAAAGAAAACACTCTAAATGCGTGGCTCTCTCCAAAGAAACAGCTATTAGCTGATTTAGATACTCAGTATGGGCCACATAAGAAAACAAAACAGTTAAACAATGATACTACAGATGAAAAGAGAGATTCACAAGTCAAACTAATGAAAACTGATCTTAAAAATGATTACATGATTCTTAATAAAGTAGATATCAATCAGGAACTCAATATTTTCGAAAATGAGCTAGAATTAGAAAATAATGACATAAAAACTACACCTACAAAGTCTTCAAATAAGATGAATGCTGTGCATAGTCTATCTAGAAAGAGTAGAACACCAAAGAAGAGTCCTCTACAAGGTACCTTAGTGGAGTAAATACATTTTATACATCTGGAGCAGGTTCAATTCCTGTTCAGAGCAAATATTTGTAAAAATAACTTGTTTACTTGTTGCTTGTGTATAAACTATATTTCTATTCCTTTGTAATATTACTTTTGTTTGAGTTGAAAAGTATCCTATGTGCTTTGTAATTTTTCATTCTGAATACAACTGGTATTTTACATTCTGGTACAACAACTCATAAAATCCAAACCAATATTGATTTTAATACATACAATATAATGTATAAAATAGATAAATTTTAAAATGAGTTATATGTACCTAACAATTGAGAAAAATCTGATGTAAAAAAACATTTACTAAACTTGTGTCTCATAATAAGGAATGTCTTTCAAGCATCCATATGTTAATATATAAAGTACTTCAAAGAAAATTTAACACTATATTTATCCATGTTCTAGAACCAATAATTCTGGACATGCTTTTATTACCCAAGCAAATATTTACATAATTATTATTATCTGTATGTATAGCCTTGTTACAAGTTCTTAGTGCTTAAGTTACAATCATTAGAGTGATTAGGTCAAGAGCTAATCTTTCAGTTTCTATGTGTAATTAACATTTTGTGATAAAACAATTAAATTTGGTTTCCAGAATTCAAATGTTCTCCAATCTGCCAGTTAACCACACCAAACAAGTTGCTTACATCACCCTCTAAATCTGGTTCAACAGTGACTATGTTGAATCTTAGTACTAATGAAATAGATGAGTTTAATGATGAATTTAATGTTGATGATATTGAAGAGGTAACCTTTCTCAACTTTTACCTTACTAATATTAAGTGTACATATTAGGGATGGAATAAAATGACAATCAAAAGTTGATAAATCATATAATCACACCTGTGACTAATATACAACATCACTGCGACTTATTATTATTGTTATTATGCTATCGCCAGACTCTCTCTGCCAGACTCGCCAGGCTCTGCTTAGTCTGAAAGTTGAAGAGATGTGTGAAAAAGAAATTCCTTAATTCCTGGTATAAAATAACTTAACTTAAAATTAATATAAAACTCTTAACTCCTCCTGTACTGCTACACTGTACAGTGCTTTCACCGGTAAGCACTGTACAGTGTAGTGGCACATCAGAAGTTAATGCATGGCTCCATTCTCACGAATGAAAAGTATCATTGTAAGTATAGAAGAGATTGTCACATCCCTCTTGGTATCATATTTTAGCAATATCAAAGTAAGAGCCTTTGTTAATCTGTACACAGTTTATTGTAATATACAGTCATGGTGCACATAGAAAGGCTTCTCCATTCACCATCTATTACCATATCCTGTTTCCAATTTTAGAAATGTTTTTAATTCAGGACACAATTGAGGACCTAGATTTAAGTATAATGCAGCGGTGTGAAATACTCTCTGCCATAAAAGAGAGCAGCACTTTCAAACTAAGGCTGAAAAATGGTGACAAGAAAGCTACTTGCCTAGTTGAAGGTATATGGTAAGTATTAATGTTATAATGCATGTTACATTGGAAATGGTTTTTTGACTATGCGTGTATGTACATAGATAAGGGATGTCAAAAAAGTTTAGTATTTTCTATTTGATGGTTAACCTTTAACCTATTTTTATTTAGCACCTATTATAGATGAGCAATATAGTTCATTAACAAAATATATAAGCAGCTTTTTAAAGATAGGTACGGAACAAGTAACAAACAGTTCAGTTCACATTCTCCTCTGTTTTTCACTACAGTAGATTTGAATTTTTGAAAATAGCAACATTTTTATTCCCTTCTATGGGAATTTAGAGATGTACAATGCGTGAAAAATTAGAGTATATTAAAAGGAAAAGGTAGATTAGAAAGTAAGGCAATAGAAGTAAAGTGATAATTTATAATAATTTAATTTATGTTTAAATACATTTAAAAAAAAATGGAATATGAGTGATATGGAGTCTGTGCGGCAGTTCTATACAATAGCTTTGCTCTGTTTTCTTATAAATGAAAAGTATTAATTAACAGATTTCTCGTCCAGTATAGGATATGACCAATAGTGATTTTTTGCATATAACTCGAGAAGCGAGTTATCGCAAAAAATCACTACAATACACTACGATAAGTGATATCATATAAAGTCATTCAGAAATAATTCTCAATCACATAAACAATGCTGCCTACTAAATAAAATCACAATCATGATCAATTATAACTTGATTATAGGCTGGACACACCATTATTGCCAGGTGAAATAGTAAGCGTCATAGCGTCACGTAACGCTGCGGGCCAATACTGTGTAAATAACACTTCAGGACTGTTAGTGCTTAGACCTGACCACTTGATGTCAAGCACCAGTGTTGTAGCTGGTGTGTTTTGTAAGCGAAAGGCGGTGTTGCAGGAGCACTGGCGTGGTATAGATTCTGCTAACATTGCGGTTAGTAACGATTTTTAAATTTGCTTACTTCATTTTTAGTAATGTTTGTGCCATAGAAATGTTTATTTAAAATTATTAAGTAGAAATCAGGCTTGTACAGTTTTTGCAATTTACACCAATCCTTTACCTGGTCTGTTACTCCTGTTAGTGACTGTGGCTGCTAAAGCAAAGGTCGTGGGTTCGATTTCCACCCAGGACAAATAATTCTCACTATCATTTTTTCTATGATTGGATGTAATTTATCTGTAATATGCATATTTATTATTACACGTAATATTTTGTCTGTTACAGCATTCTTGTTTCCATTAAAATACTTTGTTAAAATAATCATTTTTTGGCCTTTATAACAATTTTTTATTAAATAAATTATTTCGTATTCTTTTATACATACCCTTTTGAAAATCCATTAATGAATAAACACTTTAATAATTATTTTTACTTATTAAATGTAATGAACATAGGACATTGTGTATAAACTCAGAACAATTTCAGATGACTACAGGTATTTTAATCCATGAACTGGTACAGACAGCTCTTACTCAGAATATAACATCCATAGATCAATTAAAAATCGTGACAGATAACATTATAACAGAGTCCATCGAAAGATTATATGATGCTGGCGTTACAGAAGACGAAGCAAGAATTAGCATACATAATTATTTACCACCTCTAGCTGATTTTATGAACACATATGTAGCTGCAAAACCTCCTACAGTTACGGTAAGCTTCTAATCTTTATTCTTTTTGATCACTGTCTTTACGTAAAGTTTTTTTTATTTTTATTTCATATATAGGAGTGATTTGTATTTTATAAATATCCAGATTTACGATTAAACCCATGATTCAATATAGACATTGATGTCATTGGACTTGACTCTTTTGCCAGTCTCACAATGGGAAAAATTTGTTTATTAAAATACTTATAAAGATCAGTCAGTCTTATTTTTTTAAAGTAAAACAATCACAAACGAGTAACAATAGGCGTACCCGCCCCTTGAGTGCCAGAATTAGTGATGTAGTGCTCGTACTAACACAAGTGTTAGGTATTGGCTCGTTACGTCACTAGCAGCTAGGGTCAACACGTCTGCTCTCGCCAACGACTTGCATCGCGACTTTTTCCTCACCGACCGTACACATGAGACTGCCACTATAGAAACACTACAAGGGAGATGGGTTTTTGGCTTCCGGTAACGTTACTCGGTGAAAAAACAAAAGAAATGCTAAACACTGGTTTTGTGTAAGGCCTCTTGATCGTAAAGCCTGCGATTGAGCCGGCCCGGATGTGCCAAAGCATGGCTCCCCCGTAGTTAAAATGTTCTATATGATTTTTCAGCATATGCAAAAGGATAAAAACAACTGGCAGGGACATATAGACAAAGTGCTAGATATTGAAGAGAATCTTTGTTGTCCAAAACTGGGGTTGAAAGGCAAAATCGATGCTACATTACAAGTAACTATACATGAAAGAAAAGGTATGTAGGTTTTAATTAATAAACGTAAAAACGATGGACGCGGTACATTTCTATATAAAATACTATGGCATGACGTCATGCCACATTACATTACATTTAATAAGTAAAAAGAATTATTACCTACATTTAAATCATTTATATTTAATGGTGATTTGAAGATATAAAAACATTCAATCGATAGTGGAGGACAACAATGTGTACTTTAAGATGTTACATTTAATGATTTAGGTGAAATCATTTTAATTTTAAACCTAGGAATCTACCCTATTGTTGTAGGTCGTCAGCGTGTAGTCGTACCGATGGAACTGAAAAGTGGCAAAGCATCAATGTCTGCTGAGCACCGCGGTCAACTTGTGCTCTATGGTATGATGCTGAACCTGCAGAATGGTGAGGATCCTACACAAGCGGCGCAGAGAGGTCTTCTATTGTATTTGAAGTAAGTTTTTTTTTCAAAACTACTTCTGACTCACAAAGTCATTCAAAGTTTAAAAAAGAGCTAATGACTTTCAAACAGCTGAACACATCATGTCCTTAAATTATAATTGGTTTGTTCGTGTTTATTCTTATATTACAGTTATCTAAACTCGGCCAAGGCCTTCCGGGGCTGGGTCTAGATAGATAATTTCATTTAATTCATTAATGAATTACAATAAACAGTTATATTACTAGTTTTGAGATCAATGTAATACCAAGTCGGTTACTTTATTAAGTTCATACTAAAGGGACCTTCTCTCTTAAGATATTGCGTAATTAGCTAACTTAACGACATCATATAGTGACCATATCAATATTAAAAATCTTTATCTTTATCAATATTAAAAATAAAGTAGATTGGCCATCTCACTAAACAATCTTATTGAATAAAATATGTAAAATATGTATTACTTGTATATTATACATTGTGTTTTAATGCGATCCAATAAAGTTACAACATTTTACGGTAGAAGAACTGAGCTACGATACTTCGTTTTTTTTACAATTTTGTTTTTGATGGCATCTCATTTCTTTTTGTAGATAGTCGTACCTACTTTTTCCCTTTCCGGTACCTTCTACTTCTTGAATACAAACAACGGACTTTCTTAAAGCCAAAATGAGTAAGCCTTCCAATCTTCAAAGTAATAATAGGTAGCAATCGAAATTATAAACTAAAATCGCAAACTTGAGGAAAGATTACAACGTATTAATAATTAATATACCTTAAAATTATCCAAACAACGTCCAAATCGTTAACAAATAATACCAGTAAACCAATGAGTAAGCCTTTCAGCCGTCAAAGTAATATAGCAATCCAAATTATGAACGAAAATCGCAAACTTATAGGTAAGATTTCTAGGCACATCCGAACAGCATAAGACGCTCGCGCGTATGAGCGCGGCTGCCGTTCGCTCGGGGGCATTCAGCTGTGTGTGCGCCGCACTTACATTCACCTCTGCGCGCGCCGCGGTTACTTACAACCTTACTTACGTGATCTACATACGAGCTACATAAGAGACGAGAGCGGCCGCGTTGTCTTCTTTATTTTATTTTTTTTGCTTTAGTTACTAATGTTAAGGGCCGCACTCGCAAATAACTATACATATCAGTTCTAAGTTAATCCTTATCATCCTTGTTATTCCATTAATCCTTGTTATCTCTCATTTACTATAAAAACTGTCAATGTACCTAACAGAAAATTACAACATCAAGCTTAACAGAGAATTAACTTGTAGTTCAAGTACGGCACTCACTGCCGCACTCTAAAGTGCAATTTATTCACTTTTCAAGTGAATAAATTACCTAACCCATTATTTCTCTATAGAATTAGATTTATGTAGAGGTACGACGTGCGTAAGAAAAATAAAACGTGGTTTGTGTGTATACCTGCGATATCGCAGTAAGACCCAAAGGTTGCCTGGAAGAAAGAAGCCGCTTCCCGTCCAGGAAGCGTGGAAACCGCGGCGGCAAATTGCCATAAAAGAAAGAACAATAATAATCATAACCGCGGCAAGCCACCTCCGCCGGCCGCGGTCATGATTATTGTTCTTTCTCTTTTTCATTCCGTTGACCATTTTGCAAGTTACCTTTGAACATATATAATTATCCTCCTTTCTAAGGAGAGACTTATGTCCAGCAGTAGACTGTTAAAGGCTGTTGATGATGTGATGTGATATATAATTATATCTAGGTACCTGTCTACACCTATTATTCCATTATACTATACATATATACAGGTACACTGATTCATTAACTGCAAATTTAACTTGTAATCCTATACATTTATATGGGATTACAAAGTTATTTATGCAGTTGGTGTACCTAGAAAACTGGACCGAAATTACAAAATATTTTAGTTTTTCCTTGATTTATACATTAAACACCAATTGTATTCTAAATTTGAAGCTTCTATGTTTGCTAGAAGTGCCTTAGAGTTTTGATGATCGGTCAGTCAGTCAGTCAGTGAGTGAGTGACAAAATTAGGAAATGTTGACCAGTTATAATTCTTAAACTACTGGTTCAAATTTAATTAAATTTGAAATATACCTACCGTGTTTATACAATGCCTGCTTGGTTACTTAATATTCAGGCTTCTAGTTTTATCCACAACTAAGTTATAAGGGGTCGAAATTTCCTGAACTGGTTCGAGAAAAGAATGGTACAGCCGTGCCCCTTTTTCGCTCGACTTGGCGGGGCCCACCTACTGTGCCCCAAGATGACCACTCTCTGGATTCACACTTGTGTAATTTATATTAATAAATTAGTAGTCATTATTGTATTGAAAAAAAAAACATGATTTATGAATGCATAATTTACAAGACATTTGTTTCCTGTGTATAACTTGGAACTCATTAAAATTCTTATTTGTAGAGATCGTGTAGAACTGCGCGAAGTGAGTTGCGGCTACCCAGAGCGCCGCGATCTAATAATGCTACGAAATCAACTTGTGCAGTATCTTTCTGCTTCACCTCAAGATATTGATCAAGGTACATATCTTTTTCAGTTCCCGTATAGAATAAAAATACCGAAATTGCCAATAACATTTGAATTAGGAAATTCTTAAAAAACCAAAGAAACAAAACTTCTAATATACTTAATAACCCGCAAAATCATAGCCAATAAAAAGAACTCACTTCCTGAAATCATGATATGAATTAGCGGAGGTCGGTCAGCGAAAAAAAACGAACACCTGGGCTACGTAAGTCCAGCATATCTCGTTAATAAACGTTATCAATATGTTTTTGAACTGATTAAACTTCGTAAACATTTTTGTCATAGAACAATTGACAGATATAGAAGATGCGGCAATGACGTTACAGCAAAAGCTACCAGAACCAGTCGACCATCACAACGCCTGTGCTAAGTGCCCTTACCTTACTCTTTGTTCTTTACATCTGTGGTAAGTGACACTAACTGCATATTAAATACAGCAATTACCACCTTTGTTGAAATTTTATAAAAGGAATATCCTTTTATAATTGATTATGTCAGTTAATTGTATTAATGTAATGTACTTACATATTCTAAACGTAATGATGTACTTACTGTTACAATCCTTTGCTGCTGTATGGTAAGGTACACCAGGTGACCGTATCTTTAGTTTGACATGGCCTCTTAGTTAGCTCTTAGTTAGCTCCCGTTTTAATAATATCTAAATTGTTCTTAGTCTACCAGTAATTCAATGTTTTTTTATAACCTTTAAAAGAGGTACCTTATTATAGTACGTTGTACATGATTTTTTGTGTAAATATTAATAAACAAATGATTTGTTATAGGCACACGGATGGGCCAAGCGTGTCAGAATCCCACCCTCTATCAAAACTACGCACGGAAGCACTAGGTCATTTATCACAGGAACATATTAAATACTTTTTACATTGGAATGCATTAATTAAAATGGAGGAAAAAGTACAATTGACGTCATCACCTATCCATTCCTTGTGGACTGATAGCATAGAGAAGAGGTAAAATGTATTTTACATAAAGTTATTTTAAGATTAAACAGACTTACTGCTTACATTTACACTATTTTAAACTATTCGTACATATTTCAGAGAAAAACGTGGCACATGTGCGGCGAAATTAAAACTGAAAGCCGTCCAGGCGTCAGGAGATAAATTCCTTCATAATTTCCAGCGACAGGATACTGACGATGGTAAAGTAAGAGCTTAATTCCACTTATAGAGCGCATGCTTAAACAGCGCCTAAAGCATATATAATATTTTCACACATCTCACGCACGGCCGTCTGATCCCAAACTAGGCATAGCCTATACTATGGTTACTAGACTGCTGATAAACATACTTATATCTTTCTAAATACATACATATTATAGATAAAGTACACCCAGACCCAGAACGAATGACTCTGCTCATCACAAAATTATTTGTCCCGAGTGGGAATCGAACCCACGACCTCTGACGTAGCAGTCAGGGTCACTAACCACTAGACCAACAGGCCAGCCATACAAACAAACACTTATTAAACATAAATTTGTCTTAAATCTTCTAAAATGTGTCAAATTGATCGATTTAATTCTGTTAACGTTATCATCTCCTATGTACGTCATAATTACGACTTATGTCTTCCATGCTCTTCACTTCTTATTTTTCATAGTATATTTTATAAATTAATTTATCTTGTTATATTTATATAAATATCCCATAAAGGAGCTTCTGAAAAGGCGATAAAGGGTCCACAAGAAGGAGAATTCTCAATAGTAAGCATAGACGACAGGCCGTGGATTGCTGCAGGCGTCGTCATTGTTTCTAACTCCAAGGAGATACAGATTGTTGTAGAAAGGTATATCTTCCTACATTGTATTGGGTAGATATAGTTATGGTCCAGTTGTGAGACTGAAGGCACTCAGGAAGGCGGAGTGTGTATACATAATTTACTAGTACATCTTTTTCATTTATTGACATTATTATTTAGAAGTTTGTTAATGCTGTGATAGTCTAATATCAATAAATATAAAACAGATTGCCATTTATAAAATATACTGTTATTTTCAGAGATCTCAGTCAGCGCTTAGACAAAAATACCACATATCACATAGATACATATGAGTCTTATGCGACGACTGGTCAAAACTTGACTAACTTAGGGGTACTTATGGAGGAGACTGAGAGAGCTGAGCGACTTAGAAAGTAAGTTTAACTAGCAAGTACTATCCCTGCAAGTAAAACTAAGATGTCACCACTACGTATTTGTGACCACTGTCGGTGAAATTAGATTTAAAGATTTCGAGAACAGAATCAAGATTGAAAAAACTATTAATAGAAGTTAAAAAACATTGTAAACATGTCAATAACACTCAGATCTTTGTAAGTGCCTCATTGATTATAAAACCAATGTTTCAAATTCAAGTGCATCTAGGTTTAGTTTTATGTATATTATGTTAAAAATATAGAACAAGTTTTTCAAAAAAACCTAATACACAGACCTTTTACGGAATATGTAGCCATATAATACCAAATACATGATAAAAGAAATACTTTGGACTGAGGAGAGTTTGGGTTGATCTTTTAGGAACTGACGTTCTGTAGACTAAGAAATGACGTTATCTTTTGCAGGTTAATTATAGACAAGGAGTGTCCAGAGTTTAATAATAAGTTACCTCGAGAAGTTGGTCGCCTCGGAACCAAACTGATGCGTACGCTCAACATTCAACAACAACGCGCGGTGCTTAAAGCGCTCGCTGCCAAGGACTACGCCTTACTGCAGGGATTACCCGGCACTGGTAATTTATATTATAGACCGTTTGAATCTATTTATTTATACTTCCTGCAAGTGCATAAGGCAGACTTAATGCCATAGGCATTTTCTTCCAGTCATCCTTTAGATGATGCAGAGCTGTGTGTGTGGAAGGTGTGTGATTAAAGCAGATCAGATAAAGTATTTTAAATTGTTGTCAGTTGTTGTAAATAGATACACTAGGTAAACATATATATACAGGGTTACAAGAAAAGTCGTGCTAGATCCGTTAAGGGAGTGGAGTACCCATAATTTCTGACATATTTCACTATGAAACACCCTACCCTAAACTTAACCCTTTTCGAGATAATCGTCTTTTAATTTTTTTATTGAAATTTGCTGATTTTTAGGCTACTACATTTATTTTTGTTTATTTTGTGTATCTTATTATTATTATTTTTGCATTTTTACATGTGTAATAAGATGCTTTAGGACGTCAGTCATTAAAATAGTTCATAAGTTAATTGAATAGATCGTAGTAGACAAGTGAAAGTAAAGAAATAAAAAAAAATATTAGAAAATTATTTTTCTCTAACGGATATCTAAAAACAATATTATGGTAATTGTTCGGCAGATGTTTTTTAAAATATCTACGTTTCATCAGCTATCTAACGAGGTATAACAATCTAGGGTTTGTATTACATTTCGTGGAAAAAAAGTAGTTGGGACGCTCCAGGTAACCTATTGTCCTTCAAGTTAAGACGCACCAAGCGAGCGAGACAAGTGACGATTTATGTAGCTGCGAATGAAAGAAAAAATGTGTAGAGACCGGTTAGGGCTGGGAATACAACAGGGGGCATTGTTTGGTTGTCACTAGTTGTCAGTCTGCTTTTGTGCTTCGTACATAGTAGATGTGATATCGTTTTGCTCTTTTTCTCGACTTGGCTGTGATTCTGGACTATTTCTTCTGATTTGTGACTACTGTGCTTGTTAACCGGACTCTGATTTGTACCTGTAATACGGAAGTGTTGAAGATGACGTCCTACACACCTGAGGAATATGCTGATATGCTTATTTGTTACGGATACTGCGATTGTGTGTCTGCGCAAGCTCGCAACGAATACATAACTCGCTACCCTGGTCGTCGAGTGCCGGATGTGGCCGTTTTTGACAGAGTTTATCGAAGACTTCGAGAAACTGGCTCTGTTTTGAGACGAAATACAGACATGGGAAGACCACGAATTGACGACGAAGAACAGGACAATGAGATAGTGCAACGCTTTCGAGCGGATCCGACTACTTCCACTAATATTGTTGCCCGTGATCTGGGACTTTCGCAATGGAGAGTGTGGTTTACAGTGCATACTGCTGGCCTATACCCGTACCATTACACGCCGGTACACGTTATTGAAGAAGGAGACCCCGCGAGAAGATTGGACTTTTGCAGATTTATGCTAAATGCTGACGTAGAAGACCCAGATTTTCTAAGAAATATCTTGTGGACGGATGAGTCCAAATTTGATAAAGATGGCATAACTAACTATCACAACGCCCATTACTGGGCCCCAAAAGAACTAAGGAATCCCAATAAGAAAAGAGTGAAGGGGTCCCAACGAAGATTCAGCGTGAATGTGTTGATGGGCATTATCTCCAATCATTTGATTGGACCTTACTTTCTCCCGGATAATCTAAATGATGAAAGCTACGAAAATTTCCTGAGAGCAGACTTGAGTGATTTGCTGGATGATCTGCCACTCAACCTGATCAGGGACATGTGGTTCCAACACGATGGCTGCCCTGCCCATTTCAGGAGAAGTGTCAGGGACTGGCTGGACACAATTTATCCAAACAAATGGATAGGAGGAGGTGGGCTGTTGCCATGGCCAGCAAGAAGTCCGGACCTAGCCCCCATGGATTTTCATGTGTGGGGGTGCATGAAAAGTCTTGTGTACAGCGAGCCGAATCCAGTTTCGTCTGTGGAAGACTTACGAGAAAGGATTGTGGATGCAGCAAATAAAATGAGGACCACGTTGACCACTGGAGTAGTGAAGACTGGTCTCCGTAGAAGGATGCGACAATGTATCAGAAATAGAGGCGGCCATGTTGAACATGAACTGTAGAATAAGAAAAAGTTGTGTGAAAACCTTTAATAAATGACATTTCATGCTTTCAACTATTGTTTTATTTTACTTTTTTGGGCTAAGTATAAATTTTCTTCTCCACTGTCGCCTATGAAACTAAAGTTTTTTCAATGCATTTGAATAAAACCTTAGATTATTATACCTCGTTAGATAGCTGATGAAACGTAGATATTTTAAAAAACATCTGCCGAACAATTACCATAATATTGTTTTTAGATATCCGTTAGAGAAAAATAATTTTCTAATATTTTTTTTTATTTCTTTACTTTCACTTGTCTACTACGATCTATTCAATTAACTTATGAACTATTTTAATGACTGACGTCCTAAAGCATCTTATTACACATGTAAAAATGCAAAAATAATAATAATAAGATACACAAAATAAACAAAAATAAATGTAGTAGCCTAAAAATCAGCAAATTTCAATAAAAAAATTAAAAGACGATTATCTCGAAAAGGGTTAAGTTTAGGGTAGGGTGTTTCATAGTGAAATATGTCAGAAATGATGGGTACTCCACGCCCTTAACGGATCTAGCACGACTTTTCTTGTAACCCTGTATATATATATAGTTTTTTTTTTAAATGACTACTATTACTACACGAATTAGGAGTATATCTTGTGTCGTGGGGCACTTTACAAACATACACGAAACGGACACAAAGAACAACTAGACTCAGAACAACAATTTGTGAATCACACAAAGTGTCGTCCTATGTGGGGTTCGAACCCACAACAGTCAACGTAGCGAAGCGGCGTGGCGACTGCTTAAGCCACTCGTCCGTAAGACTGCTTAAGTCATAAGTATTATTTGATACTATAAATATAAAATTTCAAAAACAAATACAAAAAACACTGTGATGTTAGATTACAAGTTACTGTGATGTTAGATTACAAGTCATATTTAAAAGATGATCTTTTGTTTAATTGACCAAGACAACGAGCTTTTTTATGGTATAGGGGTCAAAGGAGCAGGCAGGTCACCTGACCGTAAGCGACTATCGTGCCTATGGACACCCGCAACTCATGAGTCTAAAGTGCATTGCGCCTTTTGTGTGCCCCCCCCCCCCCTGCTGCTGCTGACTCATTCAGTGAAAAGCAACAACTTTACTAGTCCAGTGCAGCAGTGGACTAGTAAAGTTGTTGCTTTGAACTGCAAACTTTTGGGAGAGGCCCTATGTACAGCAGCTGTACATAGGGCCTCTCCTAAAAGTTTGCTTAACACCGGTTTTCTGGCCGTGCTATCACTCCGGTCGAGCTGGCCCATATGTGCTGAAGCATTTCTATCCTACGGTTAATAAACACGATTAAATGAATGATAACTATGCATGTATTGTTATTATATTTGGTGAAGTTATTTTTTGTTTTAGGTAAAACACAAACGATCAGCGTACTCATACAGATGCTGGTGAGTTTGAAGCAGCGTGTCCTGGTTACTGCCCATACACATTCTGCTGTTGACACCGTACTAACTAGGTAAACTAACAAAATATTTTTTCATTAGATCATTTTCAATTTTTCAACTAACATGAAAAATATGCACCCATCTCAAAATGTCGGCATAAAATTTTTGTTGTGCTGAAATAATCGTTTTGAATTTAAGACCATTTTACAGATTGATGTGAAACAAATCAATGCGGGAATGTTTCGTTTCTGTAACCGCGGTAATAACTTAAGAGTTTTGCTTGAACACAGGATACCAGAGTCAGTGCGTGTGTTGCGACTGGGCTCGTCCTCTCGCGTGGCCCCTGCGTTGCACAAACGGACCGAACAAGCGCTAACCGTCGACTGCCGCACTCCTGAACAACTCGCGCAAATGTATGACTCTATGGTAGGATGATATTAGTATTCACTTATTGCTGTCTACGTTTTAATTTTTTTAATGGAGGTTGTATTAGAAATTTACATCGGTTTAACTTCATAATCCATAATGAAAATTATATTCAAACTTTGTAACAGACTTCTACAACCACATTGTTGTAGTGTTGTAAATAAAGGTCATATTTAAAAATTAAAAAAAGATCATAAACGATTCCCTGCCTGATATAACAGCCAACAGACTCAAATAGTCTTGCTTTTATGCATTTATGTTTAAAAATAATAATAATTGAAAGTCACCAACCACTCCTTAAAGGAAAGTTACTGCACAGTTACAATGGTTGCAGGAAACCAACGTTTGAAATTTTAACGCATTAAAATCTTTAATACGTCTCACTAAAATTATATCATTATCCAAAAGTTTACCATGAAAGTCCTTAAGCTGTATTACACTATTCGTATTTTGAGAGGTGCAGGGCCTGTTTTTCTACTACTTAGTCTAATTAAATTTTTAACAGGAAGTCGTCGGAGTAACATGCTTAGGAGCAGCTCACGCCATGCTCGCTAGAACTACCTTTGACATCTGTATAGTTGACGAAGCAACTCAGGTAAGATAATCTTCAATTAAGTACCTTTAACCGTATTCAGTACGAACCTATACAGATGCTTTTTCGCTTTTGTCAAGAAAATCATTCTAGAATAGAACAGAATATGCTTTATTGTACACCAATTACATTAAGTTGGTTAAATATTACAGATGGATATGTACAATGGGCGGCCTTCTCTTACAGGCAACCTTTGGATGGACAAATCGACAGTAGATAAGAAGAAACAGTGGTTAGTCTAGGTGTATTGAAGCTGAAGTGAATAACAGCTGTTCCCGGATCCCTCCTATTACAGGCGCAGAGTGGCACACCGTGTGGTTTTAGTCGGTCCGAGTCCGACACACCACCCCGCCGCAAACCCCGGTGGGGTGACGGTCCGAGGGGATTTCCACACGTTAAAAAAAAAAAACAAAAAAGGTGTATTGAAGCTAACGTAGTGTAAAAATAAATAAATATACATTATATAATTATACATACACATTCTACTGAATTACCAAATATAAAAAGTCTATTTCTAAATAAATTGTCTTAATTTGATTTATGTACTATTTTGTGAAATATCTTCATTTTGTTACAGGTTTTACAGAGTACAGTTCTACGCCCGTTATATGCAGCTAAGAGGTTCGTGTTAGTTGGAGACCCTGATCAACTTCCGCCTGTAGTCAGAAGCCGAGCTGCCAGGTACTTATGCCTTTTATTGGTATAATAATGAGAAAGACAACATTTTATTCTCGGCTCTACAGACTAGAAATCCGTGCAGACTTATATGATAGTAATAAAACCTTGTAATTTCCCTAGAATATTAGCTACTAATAAACTCAACTCGCTCACTCGCCTACTGTAGATGTTACAAGATAATACAACATATTTTTTCGTGTTACAATTAAACCTTAAAGCAGCAGTCAACAACTAGAATATTTACAATTTATTTCTTTCTGACCCAAAAAGTTTTTACTGACGCGATGACTGTCATGATGAATCGAGTTTCCCATGTTTGTAAAACAAATAAAGATACCGAAAATGTTGATGTTAAACCGGCCGTGGTAGTACAGCTGCGCAGAAGTCGATTTTTGGGTCCCTTTTGAGGTATGGAGTAGGACGGGGAGACAATTGAATCATAACGTCAGCCAGTGATTGGCTCACCGATATTGTCGCTGCTCCTGATTCGTTTTTTCGTACTTAACTACGACGAGTACACTTCCGAGCAAATTAATAAGATCTTTATTTTATTTTTAAATAATTTAATCATTATATTTTTGCTATTCATCAATTTAATTTTCTGGTCGTTAAAAGTTGAGATTTTTATGCGAGTTTATTAGATAGCGTAATGTATTCTCTCATCTGTACCTATAACACAATACGACGAAGAAGAAATTGACACCGTAGGAGTACCAGCTTTAAATCAGAAACTGATTTGAGGGAAGCTGTCACTCCTATTTCACCCTAATAATTTTATAAGAAAAATATTTTGTAAACAAAATTAATACTTACGTTTTTTTTATTAAAATTTTAATTAAAACCATTTTCTCTTACCATAGAATCAATGAGAGGTTACGTAGTAACGTTACTACGTAACGTTTTATGGTGGTGATCTATTTTTATTATATTCTGACAAAGAAAAAATAAATAATGATAAATGGGTGCTCACGATGAGCAAAGCGATCCCCACACTGCCGTCGAGCGCTCAAGATCCGTGCCGTTAGCTATGTTAACATTTTTCAACTAATTATTATTTAGAAGAGGGGGCAAACGAACAGACGGGTCACTTGATGTAAAGTAACACACAAACTATCACATATTTACGTTATGTTTTTATATCATTACATATTTATACACTTTTCACTTAATGCATTGTCTAAGTAACTAATAACTTTGTATAAAACATGCTGCTGCATACAGCGATAAACCGCTGAGGTACGTAAGTAGTAAGCAATTTATACTCTTTATCGTTAACCAATCTATACTTCATATTCATTCAGTAATTCATACTTCATATTTTTTATTTGAAGAGTTTTTTGGTATATAAATAAACAAAATTCTGACTAGCAACCTAGTTTTTTGGTTAAGCTATATGATATGTGTATTAGGAATGTTAGCATATACTTTTGTAAAGTCATTTGAAAAAAAGATTTAGATTTAAAAATTATTGATTGAAGATTAATCATTACATAGGTATTAATAAACAAAATAACCTAAAAAGCATCAGATAATATTATAATGTAGATTTTAGTACATTTTTCAAATACCACATTTTACACTACATGACCATTTCTTTTAACATTTAAAGTTTCTTTCCAATTCTAGGCGTCTAGGCATGGAAGAGAGTCTGTTTCACAGACTGATGTGTGAAGGAGCCACATCGACACTACAATTACAGTACCGTATGAATCAAGCCATTGTGGATATAGCTAATCACGTCGCGTATGATGGCAAACTTAAATGCGCAAACCAGAACATCGCTCAAGCAAGACTCGACATTGATTTACAGGTAAAATCCTAATCTTTAATTTAACTAAAAATACATTAAAAGTTAAACTATTAAAGGTTTAAGTTGGTACTTTCATATGCATAAGTGGATATTTCTAGAGTTTGGTAGGGAACATACCTATCAATTCATTTGATACATTAATTTATAAAAAAAGTAAAAAAATATTATAGTGTTTTTAAGTTACAATTCATTATTATTATTTGTATTTTAGAAAATATTTAACCTTCAATCGGACGCACCCTGGTTGGCTAGAGCTTGCAGTCCGGAATTGGAACATGCTGTATTATTTATGGATGTTGATACTTATGAAGATGTTATTGATACTCCAAAGAACAAATATTCCTGTACCAACTCTACTGAAGCTTGTATTGTATTAGCGCTAGTGGAAGTTCTCAAACAGGTTAGTAATATTAATTTTATAAAACGAAGTTAGTTAAAGTCATTGGTCAAAGAGCATAATTTGAGAATAATTTAAAATTAAAGTTTATTAGACTTAATTAAATTAGACTTAAACTTATTACTAAAACCAAGAGACAATAATTATCTCGTAACTAAGAGGTTTAACCAATGAAAGATTATTGCTATTATAAAATCTCATTTATGCTAAAACGTCGAAGTAACATATGCTAGTTCTGGTTAAAATAGAACATCCATACAATTCTATTTTTAAAACAGGGCAATGTAAAATCATCGGATATTGGCGTAATAGCTCCATATCGCGACCAAGTTTCATTACTGCGCCGATTGTTAACGCGCCACGCTGTAGAGGTCAGCACCGTCGATCAGTTCCAAGGCAGAGACAAGTCTGTCATCATATATTCGTGTACTAAACGAGCTGGACGACCAGATGTAGATAAAGTAAAGGTATGTACATACTGATCATTTGTTGTAGTCTATTTTTGACTGACTGAAATAAAACGTAATGTTAAGGACAAGTCTAGAGTACATCATTTTGATTTATAACCCTGTTTTATGTTCACTCTGTATTGTGCCACTAAAACCGAATGACCGTAAGACTAATCTAGAAACTAATAGTCGGGGCCTGAGGTGACGACATCTTCAGCATCTTCCTTCGCCGACCCAACTGACGCATTCCGGTGCTCTGCATTGGACTCGCACGATTACTAAAGTTATATGACAGTTCATTTTTATTCACTTTACAGGATGGGGAAGTGTTAAACGACCAACGTCGGCTAGCTGTAAGCGTTACTCGCGCTAAACACAAATTACTAATTGTCGGAAATTCAATCGCTTTACAACGATACGCACCATTTCAACGAGTATTAACAACCTGTCATAAAATTAAACTGGATAAAAATGCTGTAAATAAAGTACAAAATAAATATAATACATATATAAGTTAATAACGTGGCATGGAGGTCCACTATAGAGTCCTCGTACAATATGGATAAACAAGTACTCGGCCAAAAGGTCTAATTAAAAGATTCATAAACACAATAAATCGAAATTCTACCATTGTTGCATCAATAGTGCAAGTGTATCAATCGTGTGATTCCTGTTATTAAATCTATAATTTAACAACAATCGTATTCCACTAATAACTATTACATAGTAAATCATTACTTGGACTCAAATCTATAATGATCCATAACAGGGGTTTGGTTATAAGCCTTGTCTAAAGAAACCTCTAAGTCTTCTACATAAAATTACATTGTAATAAAACCATGATGCATTCCTTGAAAGTATGTTTCTTTATCATTATAGTTGTACCTGTAGCTATTTTTAGCTAGCTAACAGAGCCCTGTTTTATGTAAAAAGAATAAGAAATGAAAAACTATGCAAAAAATCTCAGAAACAGCAGAAAGCTCTTTGCCTGACTTCCTTGTTTTGTATTTAATGACATGTCTATAATTTGTACAACAAATGGTAAAAATGTCCAAACATTGGCAATTTAGCAACCGGATATACCAAATATGTAGGCATGTAATACGAAGAGCAATGAACGTAACCCAATCTTATAGGATACAATAAAGCTTTTAAAATCATGGATTGCACTTTTCTAGATCTAACCTGTTTTAAGTGAAAAATAATGTTGTATTAGACCTAAGAAATCATTTATGAAAGTACATAATTAATATTAAAATAGTTGTTTCTTTTTTATAAGTCCCTGCCTAACATATGCTTTATACTTTTATAAACCGATATATTTTGTATAATCATGAAATGATGCTAAGTGTGATTCTACACAGTAGTATGCACATGTTGCTTGCTCCTTTGGTCGATATAATGTACATGGGTCTTGCTAGTTTCAGATTTGAAAAATTTCAGTACCACGGTGCTTGTACACTGTAGTAGCTTGAGAAAATAACTGCGTTAAAATACCTCGACGAACAAGAATTCTGATGGAATCATTTGTTAAGTATTCTACAGTTAATAAATTCAGCGCGCCGCAAATCCTGTTTACGTACGCGGGAGGCTTGCGCTGGTACATGCTCAAATCACTGGACCCGCTTAGTCCTTTTCATGAAGCGTATAATCTGCGCAAGTGCCTCAGCATGCTCAAGCTACTTGCATCGTGTACAAGCACCCTAAATGAACTAAATCCGATTTTTTTCTGTCCTTCTGTCCTGTCCTGATTGATCCTGTTTCTGTAATAATTGAATACCTGTTTTTTGATTCAGTGATCCAAACTACGGTAAAATTCAGGGAATATGGCTTTACTCTCCACATATTTGTGTCGATACTGTTTTCGTATAACGAAGTATGTATATGATGTTGTATTAAATTCCGGACTTAGTAGTATAAAACTGATTCTACTGGCAACCCTGGTTAATTATTTGCTGTCAAACTGACGTCTAACAGCTGTGATGTGTAGTTGTAGAGATATAATTGGCACATATTTGTTATTAATTAGTTTCTTAATATCTTTTACCGGTGTTGGACTTGTTACCTAATTTTAAATATTTACGCTTTAATGCGATGCAATTAAACTATATTGATAATTTGTTTAGTAAAACAATTAGATAAAGTTGTAGGAGAGAAAAATTAAATCAAGTTCAACTGAAATTGAAGGTAAGTAAGAAATTTTTATCATTTATTTATGTGATTTATTGTGTTTTAAGAGGCTTTTCATTAAATTGTATAAAATATTGAAACAAAGCGGGCTTAATCTGATCTCCAGCAATGATATTAACACATACTCATAGCATATATAGAACAATCGTAGTGTTTGATATTTAATCGTTTCAACTTTGATGCCAAGTATGCTTAGTTGACTTTTTGTTAATATATCTGCTAACATTTTTATCTGTTTCGTATTATATTCTTTTATTTCTTTACAAAACAGGTAGTTACAATAAAATGGTGAAAGCTGTAGCCATAATAACTATAAGCGATACTTGCTTTAAAGACAACTCCAAAGATACATCTGGCCCAGCTCTTGCAGAATTGGCTAAAGATCTTTTCCCTGAAGCTAATCTTCATACAATCATTATACCCGATGAAAAAGAAATTATTGAAAGGGAGCTCAAGTACTTTTGTGAAAGCAATTTAGACTTAGTGTTAACAACAGGAGGTACTGGTTTGACACCTAGAGATGTTACACCTGAAGCAACAAAAGCGGTTGTACAAAAAGAAATACCAGGGATCATTACTGCTATTACTGTAGTTAGTTTAGAAAAAACACCCATGGCTCAACTGTCAAGAGCAGTAGCGGGTGTTAGGGATAAAACTTTAATAGTAAACTTCCCAGGAAGTAAAAAGGCAGTAATAGAGTGTTTTGAGGTTGTTAAGCCGATATTACCCCATGCAATTGCAATGATTCGTGATGAGTCAGAACAAGTGAGTTATATTCATAAATCAATGCAGTGTAGTCATACCTGTATGCATAGCAGTAAGGTGGATGTTTCAAAAGTAGCACTAAGGCCTCGGGAATCACCATTCCCACTGTTTGAAATGGTTGAAGCATGGAATATTGTGGATAATGCCATGTCAGGATGGAAAGAAAGGGTAGAGGTTATCGCTATTGAAGAAGCTTTAGGGAGAGTTGTTGCACAACAACTGTGTGCAAAAGAACCAATGCCACCTTTTCCAGCATCAGTAAAAGATGGTAAGAATTTTTCTATTTTATCTCTTCTATATAATTTTTTAAGATTTGTTTATTTTATTATTATTTTTATTCTTTGTTACGTCTACACTGTGTTCCTATAGTCGAAACAATAATATGCAGTCTGACTAACAGTAATAGTCTTCAGGCAAAGGCCTTTTTTTTAAATCGTTTCCTACAAGCTAAAAATTAGCCGACCTATTCATATTACTGAGTCTAACAAGTTTTTCACGTGCCACGTCTGAAATAGGTAGCATTTTTAGTCCCCCGCCCTGCAAACATGTCAATTTAACGATAGTACCTATGTTTTTTTATTACCTACCAACAAATTTTCATTCTAATTATAAAATAATAACGGGAAATTGAAAAAATAATGCCTGCCGGACAAAATGGTCGCCACCGTTCTAGCGTTCGACTCGCGACCGCGAATGTTATTTAATAGTGCGATTATTTGTGCGGAAAACAGTAACGTTTTCCTATTTAAGCAAATAGCCTTTTCGAGTACTTGTGATTGCTCTGTATAGAGACTTATGACGTAACTAATAGTAGGCAACCGTTTTACAGGATAGTTACAAAACTCATAATGTCGTTGTTGGCTGTTTAAATTTGTCAATTTTTAATATTGCAATTAAATATGTCAAATATGTAATCATTATAAACTCGTATCTCATTCCATTTGAACAGGTGTCGGAAAACGGGTAGCTAAGCACAATGAAAATGTAAATTGTTAGCATGACATGCAAATTTAATTTATATGTATAGCGTTTATTAAGCTGCAAGGTTTGGGACTATTTGAGATCGTTGTTTTTTAGCAGCAAACTAAATAATAGCATTATGCTTATAGCATTAATTCTGTAAGCTTGTAATGCTATTACGCATAACACAACATAACTTTTAAATGTCAGAAAAAAGGAGGTATCAAAATGCAGTCTTGTCAGATTCTTTGCATCGTCCCAAGTAACGATGCCTACAAATTAACAATTTATTCCATAAAATCATCAGTATACTATGCACTCGGTACGATTTTTCATCAAAAGAATGTGTTAGGTTACGCGTGCCTGAGTATCGACGGTGTTGGCGTACGAAAAGTACGCACAGCGGTGACGGCTGGTGATGCACCGACTGCGCCTCTTTCTTCAGGTGAATGTGCTCGAGTCAATACTGGTGCTGCATTACCTGCTGGTGCTGACTGTGTCGTACAGGTACGATTCTATAATTTATACTACCTCATATAGGATACAACTAATACATGATGATGAAAATGAATATAGGATATGTAGTAAACCTAAGGACGAGGCCTAATAAACTTGATCCAGGTAAAAGATTTTGATCTGTTGAACTAACGGAGAACGTGAAAATAAAAGTATAACATCTGACCTGTGATTGTCAAAAAATCATTTAGTATTTTAAACAAACAAACTTTAAGTGTTATGTCTGGCTAAAGGACTAAAACCAGACGTTTCGACTGGATGTACCGCCACAGTAAATTATTGTTGGGACTACGTACGTATCTAGATACGAAAACTGTGAATACCAAGAAAGAATAGTAAATACCCTCCAGTTATTTGCCCAGCTATTTTCTATATTAACAAAAAAACCGTAAATATCGATCAACACTATCGCCCTGTAATACTTCCTCCGATTTACGGTTACAGATCAAACAGTTATTTTTAATGCACTATTCAGTGCTATTATGTTGTCGTAAATAATTTTATAGGCATTTGAACCATATCTTTTTGCATTGTTGCTTTATTACATTGTTTAGGAGTTGCATAGTTTGTTGATGTTGCATCATACATACACAGTGATGTAAGTGCGCGATATCACGCAGTGTGCTTAACCAATCGTTCCATTTAGATGGTTGACTGGTGCTACAGTTAAATTCAGATTACAGTATTTTTATGTGTATTATGCTCTAGTTTCTTTACCGATAGCAAATAAATCACACACAATGATAACTTATTATACGATAAGTGCATTTTGATTACGTACAATCAATCACTTTCTTTAAAGATAGTGTAAAAATAAATGGGTGAACAAAACCAAACGCCATAAAATTATGTGATGGCTATGGTAATGGTTGATGATAACTGTAAACTATATTATCCCGCATGAGTTCTCCAATGTTTTGAAAACATATTGTTCTTAAATCATCATATAATCAAACCAAGTCCTAAACTTCGATTTGCGATAAGAAATCTGTATATATAATCTGATAAGGTTTATATATAGATAAACCGATAGCTTTAGAGAGATAGCTTTTGGTAATATCGATTTTGTCAATCAAGTTTTGCCACTATCAAAAGTATCCTACGTGCTATTACAGACTATTTTATATATGTGCGTTCATTCATCATTCATCATCCATACGTCCACTTAACCAAACTATAACATTTATAGGAGTAGGGGCATATTTTATTTTGTTAAACCTTTTAACGTTAGGAAAATAGAGCATTTAACCGCGTAATTTACTGTGAAACTAAAAAAAAAAATAACAATGAAGAGTAATTTATTACGTCACATATAACAACGTAACTACACCTAATATCGTACGTGATATCATAAATCATAACATACATATATTTTAATATTATATACTTTGTAATGTAATTATGTTTACTTACCCACAAAACAATTTAATATATGTAAGCGGACATATTCTTACGCCCGCTTTCGATCAAAGCTCTTTTAGTTCCCGAGACTCTTCAGGCACCGCTCACGATGGTGGCGAAATTACTGGGATAAGTTATTATGTACATGCATTTAAATAAATGTGGTATAAACATTTTTTTATCCAAGAAGCAGTTAGGAAATATCAATAATCGACCTGTCAATCATCATCATCATCCTAGCGTTAATCCCGGTTGCGTCCGGTGACGCCCGGGGTCCGCTTTCCAACTCATTCTCCTCCACTTCGCACGGTCTTCGGCATCCCGCGTTGTGAGACCATTGGCACGCATATCAACCCCTAATGACGTCAAACCAGCATTTCTTGGGTCTGCCTCTTCTACCGGGGCCCGGCGGAGGCGGCATGGCCAGACATGTGTTCCCTACGTAACTCGGCGGTTGCCGCAAGACGTGGCCATACCACCAGAGGCGACACTCTTGCGACTTGTCACGAACACGAAGGCTACCACGGATACGAGAGTTCTTCACACGGTCCTTCCGCGTGACTTCACCCATCCACCGCAACATATTTATCTCCGTGACATGCAGCTCCTGCTTGTGTCGCGCCAATAAAGCCCACGCCCCGCAGCCATGTAAAAGGACAGGCCTAATGATGGTTTTATAGACCTGTCCCTTCAACGTGACCGGCATTTTGGGGTCACAAAGGACACCAGTCATCTCACGCCATTTGGCCCACGCGGCAGCAATGCGTGCCTTGACGTCGCAATCGATGTCGCCGGAGGCGTGAAATATAGTTTCCAGGTACCTACCTAACCTGGTCCATGCGCTGGACCAAGTCATCGCCCTATGCGGACGGATGTGGGATCTGTTGAGTTTAATGCCAAGTACTCGGTCTTCGCCATATTTATCTTCATACCGACGTTTTTAAGCGTCTGCTTCACATGTCGCACCAACCTACCCCTGTCCATGTCCGCCAGCGCGATATCATCAGCATACATGAGCAACCATGGTGGCTGTTCATGGGGGTCTCTGATGCTGTCTGACAAGACGTCGAATAATCGACTCGTCAATATATGAACAAAAATATTATTTGCTTCTGTAAAGTATTTTGATTTAGCAAAATATCTTTATTTGCAATTGTAATTGTTCAGTATGTAAGTATTGATGCGCCAGAGGCTTGAGTGGTTCTTGGGTTGTGTCTGGACAGCGCCATTTAGTATCAAGCAGGGCACAACGCTACGCATTGAGATTATGGTTATCAATTCCGATACTTGCTTGCAGTGCCATGTGGTGACGAATATCGGAAGACTATAGAAAATTCTAGATGCCTTATTCTACGTAGTTCTGGCCGGGACATTCCATTGAATATTTGAGATTAGTCTAGTAATGTCGATATCACTATAAAAGCGGAGCGTGTAAGCAGTACGGGACAGTATCGTTTTACGACACAGCGAATTAACATCGAATGAATTTCCAAAAATTGATGATTGTGATGGTTGTGAATTTCTAGTACGACACGAGTTATATAGTGATTTATTTGTTATATATGTTGTGAGTGTTAGTTAATACAGTGCAATAAAAGTAATTAACCGACAACTTATATTTTATATATACCCCGCCTTATAACAGTATATTATTCAGTTTTGTATAAAAAATTGAGTAAAATCTAAGATTAAAATCTGTGGCAAAATTTTGATCTTTACAGTTACGTCATCTAAATCGAAGTAGAAATGTTAATAAACCAGTTATTTCAAAGAAAAGTTAACGCAAAGATATATATTAAGTATATTCTAAAAGTAACACCTTCGTCGACGATATAGCTTATATAGCCACTACCCCCGATTGAGCCGTTCCGACTTGTAAAAATATCTGAAAAGATTTACTTACAGAAATAAATATCATCTCAATTCATTTTGTTAATATTTATTTTCACATAGCTGTATGATTAGCAATATAAAAGTATAAACCGATTTATATAAATTATGTGTCCGTGTAAAGTATAAGTTAGTAAAATTGCAATAACAAGCCTCAATCAATATGTACTAGTGATGTGCCGGATATCCGTATCCGTATCCGCGGATATCCAAGGGAGAAGAGAGATCCGTAACCGTATCCGTATCCGTGACTTTTTTGGCGGATCTTTCAATACATAGATGAAATTCTATATAGGTGATTTTGTATTCACTGTAAAACTCTTAGGTATGTGTTTGTAACACTATAAACATCAACTTTTTTTCTGGCCAACTTCAAAATGAAAAAAAATTGGTCCTCCATTCAAATGACCAATCAAATGTTGTTAGTTTGTATGGAGAAACAATTTTTTTTTCTTTTTGGTGTTAGTCCAGAAGAAAAGTTGTTGTTTAGTTTATAATGTTACTGATATGCACTTCAGAGGTTTTCAGTAAATTTAAAATAACCCTGAATAATGGTTATTAGGTAGCTATGAAAAACTATTGAATTGTGTTCAGATTACTTTTTATTTCTTAAAACACATATTTGGCACCTTTGTATTGCAATCATTTATCGTACTACACTAAATCAACTAGGCAGGTCGTAGGTACTGAAAGAGCTATCTTTATAATGAGATCAATCAAACATCTTTGTATTAGCTTATTAAAATAATGAAATATTTAAATATCAACGGCAAGCTCAAGCTCTGCTTAGTTTGGCGTTGTGTGAATGTGGTAGAATATTATTATATTGAAGCGTCAAGTGGCGACAACTATCAAGGTTACGGGCTCGGGATTGAGTAAGAAACTTAAGATCCGTATCCGTATCCGCGGATCTTGACACCAAATATCCGTATTCGGATCCGTATCCGCGTATATGCGTTGTTAACGATCCGGCACATCACTAATATGTACACATTAGAGAGAGCATTACTGGAACATAACACTTATAACAATTCATAAACATTCGTGCATTAATATATCTTCAATATCCAAAATAATCCTTATGCGAAGAGATATACTCGTACTGTAACTATGATTGAAATGTCAAAAAAATACTCAGTCCCATTGAAATCTTGCTTTTGAAGTCGAAAATGAATTTCGCCGTCTCTCACTGAGAATACATCGCTTATTGTTTGAGTTTGACACCTGTTTGTTGTCAAATTATTACTCAAGCATTTGGCATATTTTCATCGACTTTTGCTAGCTGTCAAATTAATAGTGATAATACTTGGACCCGTATTTTTTAATGCCATGTACATCTGTATACCTACCCTTTGCGCGTTTAGTACCTTTAGTAAAGTGTGAACTAGTACCTATTTAAATTTTGGACACCTTATCAGTTCCACTAACAGATTTTAGAATAAGGTCCATGATAATAATCTATAAACATTTAATATTTTTTACGTGAAGTCTCTGATATTGCATTGTGCTATTATACAGAATTTACGGATTATGAATTTTGATTCGTATAATTTGTAACTGATTTGTAATAGATAAAAAACTTTAAAACACAAATGCATTTAAAATAGAGTAGTAGGTATTCAAATAACAAAATTCTTTTTCATTACATAGGATACATATCTAAACTACCTACTACTAACTACTTCATAATACCTAAACTGCCGAGCATAATCAATTTGTTTTCATATGCTATTGGATTGCTAGACAATGTTGCATAAGACAATAGATTCATGTTAAACATGTAAATATACGTAAAAAAAAATGATGAGTCAATTCTTATTAGGTAGAAGACACAAGACTCGTATCAGCGTCAGAAGATGGCCAAACTGAAATAGAAGTAGAAATATTGAAAGCACCAGAGCCGCAGCAAGATGTAAGATGTGTCGGTTTCGATATCGCTATGGGGGCGGTGCTCGTGGACAAAGGTTAGCTGTTTACGGATTTTATGTTCTTAATAGATAACTGTTATTGCTGTTTAGCTTCCTCAAAACATATAATAAGTTTTACGTAAATAATATATAGTAAAAGAATGTAATTATTCACAAAATAAATTAGACATAAGGCAAAATGTGCTGTATGTTACTATGTGGTTTTATTCGGTGCTTTTCCGGGTCACAACATCACTGAAAGTCTTGGCTGTAGTGATTGTGGGGGTTCCAAACAAGTTAAAAAAAATAGTAGCTCTTAAATGATCTAACTTGTGTTCTTCAAGTATCTTGCTTCTGTTTTGTTTTCTACAATAACGTGTTTTGTGTATAAATGTTAAGAGATCCGAGATAGAGAAACCATATCATATAGAGAAATTTTTTTTTTGCTCCTACTGCTTTATATTTCTACATCCCCTGAAGGTTGACTGGGAGAGAATGGCCCATGGCATTAAGGCCGCCTTAGTACAACATGAGAATGAAGTTTTAATAAATAAATAAATATCCTAATTAATAATTTTGTATTTTACAGGGTTTATTCTGGATCCACCAAAAATTGCTTTATTAGCGGGTGCTGGACACCTGAGTGTTACTGTGAGAGTTCCTCCAAAAGTGGCGCTCTTATCGACGGGCAACGAGCTGCAGGAGCCCTCCGAGGTGAAACTACAGCCTTCGCATATCAGAGACTCCAACAGAACTATGCTCAGAGTTCTGCTTAGGTAAGTTAGCTATTACCAAAGTCTAAAGTCACAATCCCTTTACAAGGACGGTACCGTCCTTGCCGTTAGGGTATTGTCATGAAATTCATGTTTGTTATATTGAGTGGAAAACAGACAGTAGTAGCAACTTGTTCAGTAACTTATACTGGGGGTTAATTTTCCACAGCGGGAGGGCCTATAGTTGGCCCATTGATCGGCAACCGCCGGGAACCCGCGGACCAATCATAGCAGCCGAGGAACCTAGCATACCCAAAGTCTGGGTGTGTAATTTACAAGAGTCTAGACTTGCTATGACTTTTGTGGCTGCTTGTACTCCAACGTTATCATCATCAGAGGAGTGGAAGAACATATTTTATGATTAGCTAACCGATTCGTTTATTTATTCATACTTGCCAGTTTTGGTTCCTTTTTTAACCCAAGTGTTATGCAAACATTAAGAGAAAGCCAGTAATAGCTCTAAGCTGGCAAGCATTCTAGAGAAGGTATTTGATTTTGTAACGTCAAATGTATTCGATGTTGTGCTAAGGTAATAGAAAATAAGAGTGACATTAATGGTCGCTGTCTACTAACACACATCTATTTACTGACAATGCACCACAAATTCATGTATTTTTTTTTCTGGCTAGGGAACATGGCTATGATAGTATAGACTGTGGTATTGCTCGCGATTCGCCGCCCGAACTAGTTGCTGCCATTTCCGCTGCGTTTAAACTTGCAGATGTCCTTGTGTGTTCTGGAGGAGTGTCAATGGGTGAAAAAGACCTACTGAAGCCTGTTTTACTAAAGGTAAGGACTTAAAATAAATTTCATTAACCAGTTTTATGTTATTTAAATCTAGTGATTTCATTGAGCAGCGTGTTCTTGTCATTAAGACCAGCAAGAATAAGGAATTAGTTTGAAATGTTTACATAGTATTTGTTTTCATTTGAAAAGTTAACACAACACAATAAAGGAACCAGCTTTTTTGCAAAATAAGAAATAGTTTACCTATCATGTTCGTAACGTAATTTTGCCACGATCATATATACATATTATATATATTAAGTTCAGACTTACTTACAGACGTTCAGACGTAATTAAGCATTGACCTTCCTTTAATTAAAAACATTATGCTCCTATCAGTCATATAAATTGCAAAAGTATTCATTAACAGTATTTAACTACGAGTGTATCTTATCGGGATTGTTTCCTTGTTAAATTAATGTTAATAAAAAAAGTACCATAGTGCGTTTTTATGAGGGCTCCACTTAATGAAATGGTAACAACACTCATTATCTTTCTTCTTTTAGAAATACACATTAAAATGTGTTTCAATAATGTTTGCAGGACTTCGGTGCAACTTTACATTTTGGACGCGTGCGAATGAAGCCAGGCAAGCCAAGTACATTCGCGACATGTGAGTTTGAGGGCAAGACGAAATATATCTTCGCATTACCTGGTAAGCCACTATTTCAACATTACTACGTGATTAGTTATATGGTGCCACAATTAGCTCAGCTGAAAATAGTGAATGGCCGAACAATCCTTTCATACGAAGCGATTTCTTAAAACCTGGTTAGTCAGGGGGCGGGGCTTGATCAATGGGTCACAAATTTCTTAACGAGAATTGACTAGACATGGGACAAAATTACAGTGAACTGTGATTTATCAGTAGATTTTTCCGTATGTAGGTTAGGGTTGCTAGGTAGGTAGGTTACACGCCATTTAACAGTAAATCTAGTAATTTTTAAATTATTATGTAGGGAATGGTAGCTTATATATAATAAAAAAAAATAGTAGATTTACTGTTAAATAGGCGAGTAAACTGGTTATTGGCAACCAACGCGTGCGTAAGTAGTAATCCTAACCTACGTACGAAAAAATCGAAAGATAAATCACCGTTCATTCACAGTTCACTGTGATTTTGTCCCGTGTCTAGAATTGACAATAGGTACTCTATCTTGGATTTACGCATAGGCAACCCAGTGTCGGCGTATGTATGCTCCCTTCTGTTCGTGATCCGCGCGCTCCGCGTGAGCTGCGGGCTGCGTGGCGCTTGGCCTCGCCTGCGAGTGCGCCTGGCGCACGCGGTCAAGCTCGACCTGCGCCCCGAGTACGCGCGCGCCGCGCTCGACCTCACGGCCGAGGGGGACATGCCTACTGCCACGCTGCTAGGCAACCAGGTATTTACAAATATCGCTTTTATTTTTTTCAAGTGCAACGAATTCATAAAATTATTAAAACAATAGGGTCGAATCATTGTTTTTTTTATATGACACTAATGCACGTCGATCAACTAAATAAAAATCGATTGACAGACAAAAGAGAAAGTGGTTCCTACTGTCTTGTTTTTATTGCAGATTCTGTACACTACTGACTTTCTGATAGTAGTAATAATAATAATAATTTTGTTAGTGAGCATTCCAGCCTGGCGGTCTAGTGGGCAGTGATGCTGACTGCTAAGTTCGAGGTCGTCGGTTAGAATCCCACCCAGAACATTTTGTATGATGTGCACGATCATAGTTTCTGTGGTTGGGCGTAATTTATCTATAATATGTATGCATTTAGAAATATATAGGTATATCGATTGGCAGTCTGGTTACCATAGTACAGACTGCCTAGTTCGAGATCGACTGCCGTATGTGAGATGTGTGAGGTTATTATTATAAGACGCAGTATTACAGTAGAGTTCCGTGTACAGTGCAGCAGCCGGCTGCAGAGCGCGTGCGGCGCGAGCGCGCTGCTGGAGCTGCCGGGCGCCGGCGCCGCGCTCCGCACGCTGCCCGCCGGCGCCGTCGTCACCGCGCTCGTCACCGGACGACTGCACTGACTGACATATTCCTAACACTAATACCGAATAACAACCTGTATCCTATTTGTACGAGCCTTATGGCCGCGATGTCGATGTGCCTTTAGTCCTTACACTACAAGCTTTGAGTAAGAAAAAACTCCCCTTACGAGGCTGTAAGTCAAGTTATAAGCTAGTTTCTGAATGTTGTCATAGTAGTATAGCTAGAGTTTTAATATTGTTTTTAAAATGTTTTATATAGAAAAAAATAAGATAATCTGATTGTTGAATCTAATAAATGAATCTTTCTATTAGCAGAACATAGTTTACATATTCAGACACTTGTTTTGCAGAGTTCATATAAGTGTTGACACTTCATTTTTATTTTCAGTACATAATTATTACATTCAATTTTGTGTTTAATTTGAGAATTTCAAAAGAACACGTGTTTATTTATACCAGTGTTTGCCTACTTAACATTCTAAAAAATCGTAAATAATTAAACCCCAGATTGGTATAAAATAATACAAAATATATTCAATCACAAACAGGACCAAATTAATACTACAATGAAATATCACACTACAAACAATATTATTTTATTTAGTCCACAAGGTATAATTACACACGACACGTTCCACGAACTTACCTCATTCACACCACAAATCGCGAAACATTCACTCAAGTCTCGCTCCTCTATTTTCGTTGCACGTCTTATAACATGACTATTGCAGTGTAAAGTCTTTTGTTATCACACTTTAACATAGTCACTTATGCAAATGAAATAAATATGGTGTGTACATTAGTTTTAATAAAAAATTGTGATATTTTGTTTATTTAGCTGAAACAATAAATAATTGGAGCGAGATATTATGTTAATTCATTTCTATGTATTTTTGAAAGTTGATGTTGAACTTAGATAGAAATATTTCTTTGTAAAATGAGTCTGCCAACATATCTTCTCAATTGGAGTTTGGAAGAGCAGTTGGACGTGGATTTGACGAATGTTAAACGACACGTTGCACTTCGAAGAACCTCTTAAGATAGTAGACTTGGCCGAGTGTCATGACGAGAAGAACAGACGCCTCGAAGACAGACCACAGCACAACGCGTGAGTTCGTGCTTTCGTTGATAGAGCGATGTATGCGATCGCGGACCTAAAAATGTAGTTAATATGTAGTTTTACAATGTTTAAACCATTGGTATTTGCATAATGTGTTTTGAAACCTGGATTTTGTTTTTACTTTTTAGTTAACATTTTCATTAATTGTTTACAAATTAAAGGAAATGTTTTAACATTCCAAGTCTACAGGTTTGCAAAAGGAAATGAGTAATTAAATAAATCTTTATAGAGAAGAGCTAGATACCATACATTTATACATAGATACACTCACGTCTACAGCCCCCATGAAGTATTAAACGTTCACAATTTGCTGACAATAATTTTAGACCTACTTATGTAATAGGGAGCAGGCCTATTAATGTACCTATCTAACTCCTAAAGTATTGGGTACTTTACAAGTTAGGTAGGAAAATTAGGATTATAACGAAAGGAATAATAAGAGAGATCGCTAATATTAATGAATTGGAGAGTTTAATCAAAAGCTCAAGCAGGTAGGTTGCATACCTACAGCACCAACTGGCTGCTACTGATAAGTTTGAGCTATAAAACCATGATTTCGTGTTTGCTAGTTGAGTATAATGTTTGGACCTATTTAGGGAGACATCATCATCAACAGCCTATAAAAGTCTATTGGAGATAAGGAGGTTTTGGTCTACTATAGAACGCAGTCAAGAGAGGTTGGTATATGGTTTGTGACAAATTTTGCCTCCTCTTTGCAGTCCTTGCTAGTTTGCTCCTGTAGTCGGCTCTTACGACACCCACGGGTTAAATAGGGGTGGTGACACTTATTGTTGCAAACCATTTTAAATTAAATTAATTGTTTCACCCACACGGGGGGGGGGGGGGTCGTCCTATATTGAAAAATACCTGCATATACTCTTGTTCATTCTTCACAGTTTTGAGTGTAGTGGCCAGCTCTTTGATCATGTCTTCAAGTTTGTTGTGATTCACTTCTTCATCTTTATTGCCAGTGTGGCTTTGGGGTGCTCCAATCTCCAGGTTGAACATTACCACCTGGTACATTAAATTTATTCATATTTAGCTGCATTGAATCAAACATACAAACAACAAGATGTTTGTCTGTAATTCTGTGATTGCCTATTGGTATTGCACTGAAGCCATTAGAGGATAACCCATTATCAGTTCTTGTAACATTAAACAGATATCTAAAATTCTACTGCACAATACATATTAGACAATGCAGTTCAATTTATTAAACCAGTTTCATATTAGTTGAGGTTTGCTAGAATTGAGGATTATATTCAGTATAGTCATTTTAATTAAGTTGCAGCACTCAGTTTTGTCTGGTGTTTCAATTTCATTTTGTGTAAAAACATCTACAGAGAGTGCTATATTAGTATATATAGCACTCTCTGTAGATGTTTACTATCTCTATGCTCTATGATACTTCTCAGAAAATTAGAAACATGAGGTAAGGAATGAGGAGATTGTCACTCAACCAGGTTAACAATCTCCTCATGATATTCAGTCTTATTTTTAGCTCACCTTAGGTGTCATTGTTGACATTTTATTGCTAAAGCAGTAAGTATATTTGCCAGTTGTGGGTGCAGAGAATGTGTACATTCCTGAAGATTCTCTTTCTCCTTTATAGATAACAGCCCCATCGGGGCCTGTGATCGTTACATCTATATCTAGGAACCCACCTTCTGCTATTTCAAATGTCAGACCTGGACAAAAAAAATAAATCAAGTAGACATTATTAGATTCCTATAAGAATCAGTACATAATGTTAATTATGTTGATCTTATAAGATTTAAGATTAAAGATTGTTTTATGTTTATATTATTGTCATTACTGTTATATTTTAGAGAAATTAAAGATATACAATAGTTTATTCAATTTTATAACTAACAGCTGTTGATGTGCCTGTGATGTGTTCAACTAATAAACAGTTAGAGACTAAATTTGTTCCGAAGGGAATATAAAACTCATCTGATGAAGGTTTTTGTCGCATTTTCATACGAACAAAATACAAAATTACCGGCAAAACTTACGATCCAATACATTTTAATAATGAAAAACATTTAATTATAGAATAGTCTAAGATATTTAGGAAATTAAAAATTGCTTCTAAATTATTGATATAAATAATTACAGTTTTGGTTATCCTAAATACTTACCCATTTTTGTATCAGCTTCAACATTTTCGAAGAAGCACTCTTCGGCGTGTGCATCAACTGTAATAGTATAGCTATACGCAGTGTTGAATAATGTACACACTAACATTAATAAAAGTGAAATAGATCTCCATGTGCTCTTCATTTTAATTTATTGATTATAATTTCTCTAAATTATGTTTTTTTTTATGAAAAGGAGAACATAGGCTTGTTTTCCTTTCGTTCAAAGCCACGTAATTTGACAAATGACAACTCAGTTCACGGTGACGTACTGTTGACAACTCTAGTGCTGTAAGATTAAAAAACCTAATTGTTCAAAGCGAAAATCTACTAAAACAGCACTTGGTCATCATAAACTGAAATGTTAAATTGAAAATGGTTATTTTTTTAGCAACTAGTTTTCAATTGCCATATAATGTTTTAATTTAAAAATATGCATTAATGGGTAACTTGAATAATATATGCATCTGTCATCTAGTGGCCTCTTTAATCACAGCACGGACATACGGGAAAGCAACATTGATTTCTTGAATCTATTTTTGTGTCCGTAGCAAATATGATTGGATATGCTAGATGCCAGATAATGGCCAGAATTCTATACCATTCAATATTCCATTCCATTCATTCCATTTAATATTCAATTTAACAGTAAAAAACTTGCCCATCAAAGGTAAATTTTTTATTCCAATCAGCAATGGGTTTAAACTAGGATGTTTCTGTAGCCTGTTTGTTTGTTCTATAATTAAAACAAATCTTGTTCAAATATAATATTTTTTATTCTTAATCGCTTTTACATCATATTGTAAACAACAAGACGACATGAAATAAATACAAAAATAGACTGTAGATTTATTTACAGTAGTAGTCACATATCTCGATCGAATTACACTGAACATGGGATAAGTTGACCGCGACTTCATTATCCCGTCAGCGTATTAGTGTTTTGTGCTTCTTAATCTCCAAACAAGCCACGAAAGCTTCTTAAACAGTAAATTATTTTCAACCTACTATATCACAATATGAAAATATGTTAACTTGAGCCTAAGATTTTCGTCACACTTAAAAAATCTTTAACTTATAATTATTTAAAACTAGATCATTACAATCTTTTTACTTTTCGGTAGGTACACTGGCCACTAATTCAATTTCATTTAAAAGCTCTTAGGTGCTTAAACGTATTTAAATAATGAGCCATAGAGGAACGCTTGGATACATTTACTTTATGACTAAGCAAAACAGCTTTTTACTTACCGAACGAAAAAAAGAGTTGAATGTTTTGTTTGAATTTGTTTACCAAAAAATATGTAGAATTACATATTTTTACTTTTCTTTATATAAACTGAAAGAATTTAAAGAATTTTATTCGTAATGTTAATTCGAAGCCATGTAATGTTAACTACAATGTTTTAATTGAATATTAAGTGCTAAAATGTGTTGCTACTTACTGTCATTCTGTAGTAAAGACAGAGGACACTTGTATTTATTGGTATATACAGCAAAAGATTTTCTCGTATCACCACAGTAACAAATAATGAAAATATCTCTAAAACATAAGATTAAGCTCCTCTATAATGTTCAACATGGAATGTAGGTAGGTATTACAAAATACATTTTGTAATTATGAAATATGTATTTTGTCTTATTCATATTATTATAGAAGTGTTTAATCAATATAAAAAAGCGTCGGATCCAAACTAACCTCATTTTTGCCCATAGATGAAACCCTAAAATCAACACGGTAGGGAGTAGTCAATGTACCCATACGCAGGCGTTTCCCTCTGCCAAAGTATAAGTCCACACAGTCATATGCATACAATAAAACTACCGCTTACTAGACTAAATCTAGTTGCGCTGCTGAGTGGGCAACAGTAGCATGAATTGTTCAGTTTTTTGCTTGTCAAGTTTACAAAAAGATTGCGTTACCTTTCATATGGTAAGTAATTTTATAATTATTACTATTTACTGATTTTTAAACGAAAACTGTTGCACTGTTTTGACTTTATTAACCAACACGACACTCGGATCGGTCGCTTGACCGATCCGAGTGTCGTGTTGCTAATCTCCATCATCGAGCGATAGTGCTGTTACTGGTTTGTAAATACTTGGATATCGATAAAACAAATACATCCACGTCTTTCGTGCATATTATCATTTTCGGATATATTTAATGTAATTATGTGGATTGTGAGCTTTATTTTAAGATTCTTTAATATTAAAATTGCTTTCAATCAAATATAATACGATACTTATGAGTATTAACATATTTAATTAAAATTACTTACTAAGTGTGAACTACAACCACATTTTTTTTATTTATTTATTGCAGGTTACCTAGAGATCCGATTTTAAGGACTATATCGAAGAACTTTTATAAAAACTTATACCTTACCTGGATACCAACAAGAAACAGCTATTAGATTGATAAATTCAGATATAATAAATGTAATCAATTAAGAAAATTAAAGTTAATTTCAAACAGAAATTTTCCATGAAGTCAGCTTTTTTGTCGGTTCCTGTACATGAATGGACTATGTCTCCTATAGTTACAGGTATATAATTTGTGGTCCTCTGAACTCATCTGCTAAACTTTGTAGCAAGGACTGGACTTATCTAATAATTTGCGTAGGTTTACTAATGTAATTCTTGAACATGCAATTAATCGATATCAAGTTTTCTGAAAGCGCCTACAGTGCCATAAATATCGACATCATTGAGGGGTGTAGGTGCGATATTACATGCTTCGTTTAGTATGCGCAAATACGGGCTGATCTCGTCGACACGGCGTCGCCATTTTTTCCCGAGTAGCTCTATGGATTCTTCTTCGCCTCCCCATTCTCTTGGCAACACTCGGGCAGGAATATGATCCTTTAACTCATCCAATTTCGGGTGTAGGTAGTACTTTAAAGAAAAATAATAATGTGCATTAGTTAGCTTAAAATTTTTAAAGAAAGCTTTTTACAGATTTTTTATATTTTAATATAAAATGAAAAAGTTAAGTCATTCAATTTTCGTACTGTCAGTTTAAAAGGTATGCAAGAGACGATAAAAAAAAATTACCCGTCTTCTAATTTTCTCATTGACACAGTTACGCGTGAGAGCCAGAGATGAGGCCAGGAACGGCGGTGAACCGACCACGTGGATCCTCTTTAATCTCTGAGGGTAGGCCGCTTGCGCTAGATGGATAGCTCGACGAACCGTGTTGATTGCCGCTGCCACGTGAGCCACAATAGAACCACGCACTTGGGAGACCTATACGAAAGAGAAATACATTATGCAAAATATGCCATTTTATATAGGTACATATTTACTATTTTACTATGGTCCTGACGGACTTTGTCTCGTCAAAATTGTCGTACCTTTTTCTTTGTTCCGAATTACCATTTTTCTGGGAAACTTTAATACTTTTTTTTTCACATAAAAGCCTTATTCGTACTAGATAAGTATTATGTATGTTTATAATAAAATAATCATATCGTTGTAGACGACTTTGAGTTTTGTCCCTTGCAACGGAATTATTTAACCATTCATTTGATATATAGATCTTTAGACACGCACAAATAAATTTATTTCGTAATACGTGGGAGTGCCATGCTTCAGCATAAATGGGCCGGCTCGACCGGACTGATACTACGGCCTCACAGAAAACCGGTGTTGAGCAATTCTACTGTTGCTGTTGCCTCTGATTCTAGGGAAGGGGGCTCAAAGGGCGGCAACTCACTTATGACTACAATTTGGCTCTCTGTTGCACGGTTATTTTTTTAGGCTTTTACTAAACTGAACTAGAACTAACTACATTTTTTCTACTTCACCCTACGATTTTTTGTGTTTTATCGTATTGCAATTATAAATACGTAACCGTAACGTACTTAATAACTAACCTCATATACGAACACGTCTCCGGCTATGAGATGTTCATCGTGCATTCTGGCATCACTCAAGAGAAGCACGGCACGCGCTGTGTTGGCTATGTCAGTTGTCCCCTCCGGGTACTCTGCCTTTATTCTGAAGATTGTCACTCGGTAGCCTTCGTCTGTCAGCTTTGGCAGGACTACAATATCCCTGAGTTTAAAAAATATAAAGATAAACAGTGAATACTTAATATTACTTATGTATAGTAATCCTTTTATGATCGTAGTGTCATTGTCTAATAAATTGTTCTTTTGGTCGACGTGAGTTGAAAACGTAGCTGTTTTTCTTCAAAATGTTCATACCGATAAAACTCAAAAATGTGTTCAATCAATTTATTATTCGATAGAATTGAATTGAAACCGATATGATATATCAAAATATATCATATTGGTTTCAATTCAATTTGAAATAGATATTAGAACAGAGAACATTTTAAGAACCTTAATCATCAGAAAAAACACAATACTTATGTAGATACAAGACAAAATTTGGCATGTTATCCAAAGTGGGACTAGACACTAGAATAATTATTAGGGTAACACTAACCCGGGGTTCATCAGGGTACCAGGAGTTTTCCTTTCTAGGGTACACCTGGTTACTCGGTTACTTGTACCCGAGACGGTAAGCGGTTTTTAGTCAGACATAACCATAACAAAAAAAAAGAGTAATACTATAAATTCAATTTGTCTTCGTTCTTAATCTAATCTGTCCTCCTCTGGGACGCTCTATCTCTCGAAATCAGGATAGCACCCAGCCGCCTCTCATTTAAGACGCAAGTCCGAGCTCGAATTCTAGATAGGTACTCTAGCAGATTTATCCCATCCCCAAACTTTTATATATTGTATTATATGTGTATACCTAATGTATGTATGTATGTATACCTGAGACACTGTTTCTGCCCATCTCCTTAATTATTATTATCTGGTTAACACAAAAACTTAATTTCTAGTGCACCTCAGACATTTCCCACCACCCAAAGGTAGACTGGGAGAAAATGCAAGTGGAATTAAATGCACCATTGGACAATCAATTATTATTTGTGAAAAAAAAAGAAAGTATCTCTACAGTATTTTACTTACATGAACTTGCAGACATTGCTGAGAGGTGGTACACTGAGAGAAAGATGCTCGAAAAGGTCTCGGCAACGTGCACGGGCCAAACAGTAGGCTTCTAATTTGGTGCGAGCTCGGTCCAGGTCCATGCGACAACCGCGAACGAAGAGCTCAAGCACTCGGAGACCTGGGAACAATGAACAAAGGATTTAAATATTGCAGTCGGACAAATTTTGTCGGTATTCATAGCACGAAAAGTTGTATATGTGTGTATGTATAATATAAAGATGTAAATTATAGATCAAGGATATCGATTCGCAGTTTACTTACTTTGGAAAGGACCAAAAAGCCAGACTGTTTTAAGAGCTATGAAATATACTCGTCTTAATATAACACACTTTGAATACTTTCAAGGGCATAGCGTAGTTTCTGGAATAGTGCACTGTGCATTTTTAAAATTAAAAAGTTATGTCATTTTTCTTTGAATTGCAGCTTATGGATTGCGGAAATTGATGAAACGGCGGGAAAAGCTAAGTTGGAACAGAGTTTGTGTCAAATAGTAACTAAAACCATCTCTGGTTGTCATGGCTGCCTATGAGTCTAAAATTTAACAAAAAATGTAATTTTTGTGTTGTTTTCTTAGTATTCATCTCTCTCTGCAAAAGATTTTTCATCGATGATCACGTCCGATAATTAACATAACCTGTCTGGAGTAACAAAGTGATTCATACCAGGAATTAACAATTAGGAATTAATAATTAATTGAATGCTTTTGAATTCAATTACGTAATACAAACATTGTAACTCTTATTATATTACCATTATTATTGTTATTCCTACAACAATAATCACTGATAATAGAGAAGATTAGTACACACACACAGTATTGGCATGTCTTATTTATTATATTTTGGGTCGGTTTGGTTGACCTACTTCTTATATTAATCTCCTAAAAGCCTGCATACTTAAGAAGTCAAGGACAGCAATAGGGACTCCTCTAGGCTCCATCGAAGAAAAAGAAATATTACCTTTAAAAAACTGCTAACTTGACAAAGGGTTTTTTCGAAAGCGACAAGCAAGCCACAACAGAGAAGAGTCAAAATAGAATATACGAGTATTATTGAAAGTTGTATGTATAGGCAAGCTTTGCTTGAATACCTACACCGTAACTTATATTATGTTTGAAACAAAGGTAGGTGAAGGAAGAAAATTACATTTCACTAAACTAAGGACGAATTACGGACGTTCAGCTTTTTCGACGATCTGCGCAACTTGAGCGAAAGGCCATCGCCATTGTACATCGCTTAATTGATCATGGTATTAAAATAATTATCGTTCCTGTATTTGTATATTGTAATATTCAGGAGCTAGTTAAGTAAAAAAAAACGGGATGTATGACAGTTAAAACATTCATTATTGTTCACATCTAAGGCCTCTTATTGTTTCGCACACGTTCGTGACCTGACGATGCGTTAATAAAAAAAACTATTGCATAAGAATCTAAAAAGAACTGCACGGATGGCGTAGTGGTTTAAGCGTCACCTCACCGCTTCGTATTGCGCTGAGTGTTGTGGGTTCGATCACCATATGGCACACTGTTGTTCTGAGTCTGAGTGTTCTTTGTGCGTTTTATGTAAGTTTGTAAAGTCCCCCGCGACACAGGATATGTTCATAAGTAGTAAGTGCGGGAGTTATCTTTAAATAAAAAAAAAACAATGACACGTTTTGTGCCATTTTAGTCCCACTTACATAAAAGAAAGCAAGCCCATTGCAGTCAATGGAGCAATTTAGTAATTAGTCAGAAAAATTGAGATTATATTGAAGTAAAAGGAACCTCCTTTTACTTCAATATAATCAGAAAGAAGAAAAGAAGGGAAGACATTAGTAGTAATGGGATTTTGTTTATTCGGATCGATTGGGGAGTGGGAGTAATACTTCAGAGGGCCAAGTGCGAGTTTATTTCACTTGTACTCGATCGTCACGGTGACCGCGTTGGGCGCTACGATTGGCCCGCACTGAAAACTCCACCAATCGCAACGCCGAACGCGTGCGCTGTCGGGAGTGAGTTGATGTAAAATAAACTTGCACTAGGCCCTCTGGTAGAACAGGTTCGCATAGCTGTAACTCAAACAGGTTATTCTTGGAAAGTCCCTGCTGTGTAAACCTATAACTGGTATAGAGCGAAATAAGTGAAGTGGTATGTTTGTAGAAATAAGAACATTATATGCATAGGTACCTGCATAATATATAAAATATGTTGAGCTCTCCTTGTAACAACATGCTATTTATATTATATCTGGGTTTACATACAAAAAAGCCTGGTTTTTAAATTTTCCATCATATTTGTACTAAAAACACTATAAATAAACTAGTGGACCCTACAGACGTTGTCCTGTACACAGTGTTGTGGATTCGCCACATGGGACACCTCTTTGTGTGATCCACAACTTGTTGTTCTGAGTCTGGGTGTTCTTTGTGTCCATTTCATGTGTGTTTGCATGCATTCCAAATGCGGGAGTTGTCTTTTTAAATCTAAACCATTCTCGAATCCACTTGAAGGCACCCAAAAAAAACATCAAAATCGGTCCAGGCGTTTAGAAGGACTTCAGTCGCACAGAATAGTTATATATTAAAGATATGTGTTTATGAATATGATAAACAAACCGTAAATTAAACTTTTTGAAATATCCTACGACATTCTTTGTGCGTCATCGACCTTTATATTTCCATCTGATATAAATAATTACTCATTAAGGAAACTTACTACAGAAAAAAATAAGTGTTTCATTTACATCAGCGTAAACTGTCATAGTTCTCAAGGCTATTTATTAGTACAAAAGTCTTTGTTCGGTTTATGATTAAAAAACTACAAAGTTATTTTCCTCAACTCTGGAGGTTGTTTTGATATCACCATTGTTGAATGGCTACCAGATTAACCGGAATTTATAGTTCTTCTAGAAAAAAGGAGCAAGTTTTATTTTAAGCTTTATAAAGAATTAACTGCTCTTAAGTTATATTAAGAAATTTTTAAGGCGCCCATGCACGATTTCTACATTTATAATTGCTGTCTATAATAATTACGTCTAATGGAGTAATTTGCTTATTTTCTACAAATAATATTACAGTTAAAACGAAACATACCTAAAGCTAAAGATTTTTATTGAGAATATTTATAATAGCATCATTAAAAAACTCCCGACACAAAAAAACTTTGAAAAACAACAACTGCTCATTAAAACTGTTCTAATAAGAACAAATAACAGCTCCTTTTAATAAAACATCTCACTTTATGTGTTTGAATCCCCTTTATTTAAACACAATAATGGTCGATAGAATTACGTAATTTGTCCATCTATTTATTACTAAATTGGCCATCTAAATATTACAAAATTGGCCGAAACTTTCGGCCACAGTGAAACTCAGTATTTGTGCGACGTTCGGTTAACTTCGCTAATAACTAGTGGATCTTTTTTTATGGTCGGCTCGGCATCGGCTCTGGCTCAGTTCGCCGCCGTCCAGTGCGATCTTTTTTTATGGTGTTTGGGGGCGACCAGACAGGTCGAATAATGGTAAGTGACTACCATCGCCCATGGACACCTGTAACTTAAGAGTCACCAGTGACTTGCCGCCCTTTCGATCCCTCCCCCCAGAATCAGGAGAAAGGGGAGGGTTTGGGTTCTGGTAGCCTCTCTCACTTGCATTGAATTGAATTGCTTAATACAGGCTTTCTTTGAAGCCATCGAATCATCCCGTTCGAGCCTGGTCTATACGTGCTCTCCTGCGACTAACTCATCTTGTTAGCTGTGTTTTACCCATAAATAATTTTGTATTTATTTTCTTTTTACTTGTAATTAACATTGTTTTATCTCTAAGGCGATTATTAGGTACAGATCTTCGTTTTGTTGAAATTTAAAAGAGATTATGTTCTGTTCAGATATTACTTAGGCCGTATTAAAGAACGTTTCTTAAAACTCAAGGAACGCTCCCACCGCTGTCAAATATCTTTTTGTCACTTTTTACTTTTAAATTTTATTTCTTATTTTTCTTTATATAAATTGCAAGGAAACTACGCGTTTTTGTATCATACTAACCTCGTGCGTTTCAGGAGTTCTAAGTATTATTTTGTAATACCACCCTTAGATTTATTTATTTGTAGACAGTTAATTATTGTTCAATTACATTCTGTACCGTTATTTTACATTTTTTGGCAATCTAGTGCATTTAATTTGTTCATTATTCCAAGTAGAAACTCATATTTTAACATTTTGATGTTATTTATTTAATTACAGAACTATACATAAAAGCTACTTATTGGTTTAGAAATTATTAATATCGATTTGTAAATATGCTGTGGAAACATTTCTAATCATCATTAATACAATAGAATTTAACTCTTTCTATTGCAGAAAAAAAGGCATTTGTTTGTAAAAAAATTACTTACTGTATCATAATGTCTACGAATGTCATTAAATGATAAGCAGATAACTATCATCATCAACAGTCTTTACTAGTCCATTGCTGGACATAGACCCCTTATTAGAAAAGACGTTTTGGCCTACTATATATAGAGGTAAGTATAGTCGAATGAAAATAGATAACTCACAGGCCTTTTAGGCAAAGTTACATTTTATATTAAACTTCAAAAAGAAAAGGAAGGCTTGCTATAGAAAAGGCTATCGCACTGTCAGACAATTACACTATTTGACTATTTTTTTTTCTCTAAGTCGGTTCTAAATATTTTATCATATTTATTTTATAGTTTTATTTCGTAGTCTTGGAAGTATATAAAATTGTGCCTTTAAATGTCATACAATAATGCTAGGGTAAATTAACACATTTAAGTATAACACTCTCATATAATTATCTAAGTGTCAGTGATAATAGTTTTGCAATTACACTTTTTACTAACTTGGTCAAGGAGCGCCTACCTCTCACGTAATTTTGCGTAGAACGACCCGTGCAGTCGCAATTATTATGCACCTGACGTTCATTGAGTGAAGAAACGTTCTCACGAGGGACCCCATTGTCCAAATACAATGGTACGAGTAAAAAATAACTATTTAATGCGTTCCTTAATAATCGTGTGTGGTTTGATTTATCGATTTAATTGATGTATTCGTAAGTAATAATCGACCAGGCGAATGACAATCTAAATTAGTGTACCTACATAAGTTTATATCTATTCAGTTTTATGTATTATCAGTTGGTTTGCATAGATTATGCACATTAATAGTTAGTAATTTTTCCATCTTAATTGATTTGTTATAATTGTGTCACTTTTTGAATATTGAGGGTCTATGAACTATGTAACCGATATTTAATGAGATTTATGTTAAATTCGCTACATGACGCGAGAAGGAATGTAATCTGTGTAATGTTGTCGGGGTTTCTTTATTCGTAGTACTTATTGTCGTCTTTAGTCGTATTAAATACTACTTTATATTGTATAGTAGCATATGAATGTCTCGTAAAGCAAGTGCACTGAAGGAGACAAGATCCCACGACACAGAGAATTCTAGTGTGGGATCTAGAGATCAAATCCTGGTCCTACCTGTATATATTTTGAGACAGTAAAATAAACATATTACTAATGTTTTTGGCTTTTTTTAACATGATAGACCCTACATACCGCTGTCTGATCCCAAACGAGATAGAACATGTGTTGTGGTAACCAGACTACTGCTAAACATACTTATACATTAATAAATATGTATTAATTATTGATAAACATGTAAATACGTCGCAAACGCTTGCTGATCTGTTTTAACCCGATGCTAGTTGACTAGTCCCGATCGACGACAAGGTCGCGCAAGCCAAGCCAAAAACCCCGTCTACACGCTTGTTTGTGGATAGGTACTCATCGAATGTACGCCCCATTAATGAAATGAATTTCCATAAAAAAGTATTTGAAGTATTTGAGTAAAAAAATGTTGTTATTCTTAAATTCGTTATTATTAATATTTCTTTTTTAACAAGTTAGTAGTACTTTTATTTGTGATGAGTTATTTATTACATAAGAAGTGATCAGCCGATATTAAATTACCATGTGATTTCCTAACTTTTAATTAAAGGAAGGATCTAAACTTCTAAGTAAACATTCAATGTATAATAGGTCTTTAAAAGACCTATTATATCAACACAAACAGTTACTAGTTTTTTTAACATAGGGTTATTTACATAGAGATATAAGCATAGAGTGAACAAGAGGCCCAAACTTGCAATATAGGCAACGAAAGGAATGGATAATAGACAGTTCCCTCTATCTCTTTCTAGTGAACCTCTGTGGTTGCTGGGGAAATTCCAAATTTCCCGCCTGTTCTACGATCAAAAAAATACTCACTTCAGGACAGCCAATCACAGCTTAGCTAAACAGAGACAGAGGGAACTATCGGGCATCCCTCTCTCTCGTCGCCTATGTCGCTTCCATTTTAAGGCAGTGTACCAAGTTTATATCTTTATGGTTATTTAGGTACCTATTGTTTACATTACCTCCTGCATTGCAGCTTCCTTCAAAATCATCTTACGAAATGCAACACATATGCAATAAAAGGCTCGTAATATGGCGTAGAATATTTTGATAGATATAAGTAGTAGATTTTAGGTTGATAAACACAAACAGATTTTACATCTCATTTACCAACACACTTCCTTTTGGAATAAAACTAAATTATTCTTCCATATATGTTTACGCGCAAGTATATTATTCCACACGTTTAAATACCTGTTGTAAATATTAATTGTCTATTAACTTTGACGTCAATATTATTAAATACAAAGTATGTGAGTATTTAGAAGCTACATAATAAAAACAATACTTTTCTGTCTTCTGTCCGTGAATATTTCAATACCTGTTTATGCAGCACAGTTACTTCCTCAAGTAAGAACTGACACTGTTAAAACTGACTCTTACTGTTTTTATTCTAAAATCTATTGGGTAAGGATATTATGATTCCCTTTAATAAATTAGCCGCTATAAAAATAAATTATACCGCTTACCCCATTACTTAACCTTAACTAGGAACTTATGTTTTTTCCCGGCTCACTTGCTTTAAATTACGTTGATATCCATCGGGAATAGTATCGACGTTTTTATTAAATAAAGATACGTTCTTACCTTTGAAAACGTTTATGTGAAATGTAATCGGTTATGTAGTTAACACATAAAAGCGTTAAACACCTACATTCACATTTATAATATCTTTTATTTTGTTAAATTAGAAAGATGTTGATAAATTGTTTAATTTATACAGTATTCACTTGGTATTCTCTTGAAATGAGTTAACGGAATTTTAATGTTCCTTTTAACATTGGCTGATATACCTAGTTAAACCTAGTTTAATTAATTATGTTTAGGAAATAAGCCCTATAAGGCAAGACTTGCGGTTACTTTAGTTCGTGTAAATGAACACCTGGTTGAGCTTGCGTTGCGTTTACACCGGTTTAATTTGTTATGGTGAGTAGTTTTACTAGCAGTTGCAACATCTGAATAACTCCGTATGCAACTGGTATAATACCAACAATTTGCCCTTATTTATGTTGCAAGTACACACTAAGAAAGATTTTTCGTAATTTCACCCCTAAGGGCGTGAAATAAGGGATAAAGGGTTGTATGGAAGTTCGTCATTTTCAAAGTTGGAAACACGAGATAATAAATAATCACGCGAGCGTAACCGATGGCAATAGCTTTTTTTTTATCTTTTCAACAAAAGAGACTTTTTTTATATGTGTGGCAATTCCCTCGGGCCGTCACCTCACCACTGTTTGCAGTTTGCAGAAGGGTGGTGCTTGGGGCAGAATCGAACCGACTTAAGCCACTGCGGTTCCTGGCTTTACAAGCGGGCGTTTTGAAAAGATAAAGTTCTGAAATTTGTGTGTATTCTTTCACCGTCAGACACCGTTATGCAGGCAGAAGATTAATAGATACCTACTTGCAAATGGCAAGCAGGTTCTATTGTTTTATTAACTATTCCATGTTGATGATAAAATACACATTTTTTCGTCAACAAGAAGTAATTTAATTTAAAATAAATAAAGTTTTAATTCTATTAAAGTGCTGACTACTGGGTATTTCATCCTATAAGCAATCCAGTTCATATCTGTTGATGTTGTTATGACTGCGTAAGCGACGAACAAAGCTAGAGACAAACCACTTTCGCATTGTTAATATCAGTAGGAAGTAAGATTGTATAAGACAAAGATATGTTATGAATAAAACAAATAACTATACTTATTGAAAGTTATGTTGTTGTATGTAGCACTATGACAAGTATTTTATGTTACACAGCTCAATTGCATTAGCCCTGTTATTAGCTCCTTATATAATAAATAGTGCTAAGTAAATATTATTAAAATAAATGATAATTTCTATGAGATATGTATTTATCGTACTTATCTTCCTCATAGTACGTGTGGTAATAGGGTGCTGGGGTAGCAAACTTCTGCGATTCATCACATCACATCACATCAACAGCCTTTAATAGTCCACTGCTGGACATAGACCTCTCCTTAGAAAGGAGGAAACTTCTGCGATTACCGTAAAGAAATAACATCGAAGCATAAATTGCATCGTTGCCAATGTTTTATCTATGGAGAAAACGTTATTGCTCCAGGCTACTCCTGGCAGAAAAGCCTTACTTCTTAAGATGTTCCATGTTTTTCACATGTCCTTATAATTACTCAATTTACTTATTTTGTATACTTAAATGGGACACAAAAAGAGAAGGATTTCAGTGTCCTAAAAATAACACTATTCTCTGTGTTCAAATTCTGCTTAAAAAGGGGATTGGGACTAATCCCACCCACACGCCCACCACTGTAACTCCTGTACACCAGGATCCACAGCAGTGACCCACGAACACACCGAGTTATGACACTCGGGAAGTCCCAGGAAGAAATTAAACTGTCTTGGAACCCGCAACGAAATTAATCAGAAGAAAATTGGAGGAGTTGGAAATACAGTAAATCCACTTCCCTCCTTAGCAAAGCGGGAGACAAAATGAAATAAAAATAGGCATACACCCTTTTAAACAGGGAAGCACCACGGCCACAAAAATATTACGGGTCCTACATGAGCTATATTTGATTTCTATAATATGTATGGCAGAATCGCCTAAACGCACGGAAATTCACCCTAGTTGACACAAGATCCCCATAGTATACCGCCTGTTGGTCTAGTGGTTAGTGAACCTGACTGCTAAGCCGGAGGTCGTGGCTTTGGTTCCCACCCAGGACAAATAATTGTGTGATGAGCACGGTCATTTGTTCTGTGTCTGGGTGTAATTTATCTATAATAAGTATGTATTTAGAAATATACAAGTATGTTTATCAGCAGTCTGGCTACCATAGCTGATGCTCTGCGTTGTTTGGAATCAGACTGTACTGACCGTATGTAGTGTGAAGTTATTTTTTTTTTGTTAATACATGAATTTATTTACAACACATATTGATTGGAAATTTTAGCTTTTATCAATAGATCAATGGCTTTTATTATGTTTTCAACATGTAAACTTTTTCATATTACACAAATTTGAAACGTAAGCGAATTTGGAAGGGGGAAAACAAAAATAGGTAGGTACTTACTGTTTACGTGCGTAAATACCCAAATCGATATCAAATCGATATTTAAACAAATTTGTTAGTGATCGTTTTATTTGAACAGAAATTTGCGCAATTTATTAACTTTTCGTATTTTTGTTAGTCTAAAAGAAAATGATTGTGTAAAAATTAACAATTATTGAAAAAATGCAATTGTGCTCTACTGATGTTCTAAACATCATTTTCATTTAGAAGTAAAGAAAGGAATGCCTTTACCTTACTAGGTTTATTTATTTTTTACGTTTTTATTAGATGGTCAGGCAGTATGAAAGTTTAAATAAAAATGTAATAATCTTAGAAGACACACCTATGTACCTCAATAGATACGCGTCTATATACTTATTCTTTCGTTTTTTGCGATTGCGCACTACAAGAAAGGTATTCAAGGACCATTGTATTCCTCTTTACGTATTTGTATATTCATTTAAAAAAAACTTGGTGAAAAGCCTGAATATTTTCACCTCACCATTGCAACGTTGTAATTACACAGAAAGGCCTTATTAGTAAAATTCCGTTGTTTAAAATTATCCGTTATCAGCTATTCATTTAATTGTTGTTGAATTTTACGTACTTATGTTCTCAGGTTGTGGCAAGCACGGTGAGGCTGCAAGCATGCTGCGCAGGTCCCGCACTCCTCGATCTATGTCTCCTGGAGACTCCCCTAATTCTTGTTTAATTATCTCTGCCTGTTTCAGGGAAGGTCCTTGGAGAAACGCCATTGCACTTCACTACACACGAACAGTTACTTGAACACTATTTACTCAGTTCAGTTATAATTCCACTCGACAAGATTGCGCACTCCGACTGGGTAGGAAGAAAACTGTGACCGCATAGCGCTTGCCACCTCTTATAAAACGCAATGATTGGCGCTGTAAGGACCTTTGTTGTCCTCACACAAAACGACGCTAATATTTCGTCATAGGAGAAATGAATATTTTGAATCTCATCTAAACTTATCACACTCACTGATTAATAAGTAAATATAGAAGAATATGAATAGAATAACATATTAAACAAGAAAATAATTAGTTAACCTATGACATTCTTATCCTACTTCACGAAGAAATTATAATAAAATAAACAGTGTGAATAATATAAACCATAAGGTAAAGGAATGCGTGCATCGCGCGTGATATTTTCAAGAATTTAAATGAATTAATATTGTCAATAATCGCACATTTAATGTCAAGGTTACAGATTATGCAGCCGCTGCAAGCGATTGTTCTTTTCAAGAATTCACATAAGTTACACGTACCTATTAGAACGATTCGGACGCAAATTCAAATATGCATAACAAAGAAAATATAGAAATTTATTTTAATTTATAACTTAAAAATTTTTTTTTCTTTCCATTACAAATCGGTGTTTAGCTAGTTCAGTTCGATGCGTAGTAAAGTAGGAAAATGCAATTACTATTTTTTCCTAAAACAATTAAATTCGAAGAATTTAATAGAAATTTATTTACAGTGAATATTAAGGTTCATCACTCATAAATACGTTTATCATCATCATCATCATCATCAGCTTATCGCAGTCCACTGCTGGACATAGGCCTCTCCCATGGCACGCCACTTAGATCGATTTTGGGCTTCTCGCATCCAGCTCCTGCCAGCCATCTTGCGCAAATCATCACTCTACCTGGCCTGTGGGCGTCCTACACTACGTTTGCCGAGATGAATCCGAGACGAATCCAATCAAGAACTCGTTTTCCCCAACGGTTGTCGGTTCTGCGGCTAATATGGCCAGCCCACTGCCACTTCAGCTTGCTGATCCGGTTGATGCGATCCCTTAGAGAAACGCCAAACATAGCTCTTTCCATAGCACGTTGAGCGACTTTGAACTTGTGGACCAGCCGTACAGTAAATGTCCACGTTTCAGCTCCGTATGTCATGACGGGTAGGACGCACTCATTAAAGACTTTCGTCTTAAGGCACTGTGGGATCGACGATGAGAAGACTCGACGTAGCTTCCCAAACGCTGCCCAACTCAACCGAATTCTTCTGTTCACCTCGTCCTCGAAGTTGTTACTACCTAACTGCAATGTCTGCCCGAGGTACACATAATTTTGAACAACTTCGATCGTGTACCGCAATCGGTTCCGGTAGTACATGTTCATTGAACATAACCTTGGTTTTATCCAAGTTCATCCGTAGGCCGATGCGTACAGAAGTGTCAGCTAGGTCATTCAGCATTTGCTGTAGGTCCTGCAGCGTCTCTGCCATGATGACGATGTCGTCTGCAAATCGCAAGTGAGAGATGTATTCGCCATTGATATTGATGCCACGCCCTTTCCAGTGCAGCGTCTTGAACATGACCTCCATTGCATTTGTAAACAATTTCGGGGAAATAACGTCCCCTTGTCTCACTTCTCGATGCAATGGTACGGGCTTTGTTTGCTGATTCTGTACTTGGACGGACATGGTGACGGCTTTGTAGAGACATCTCATCACTTGGATGTATCGCAAATCTACTTGGCAACGCTGCAGGGACTCCAGAACAGACTAGATCTCGATCGAGTCAAAGGCTTTCTCATAGTCCACGAATGGTAGACTCAGGGGCTGATTATATTCTTCGGTCTTCTGTATAACCTGCAGCACTGTGTGGGTGTGGTCTTTGGTGCCATATCCACTCCGAAACCCAGCTTGCTACGGTGGTTGGAATTCGTCGAGTCTTTGCGCAAGACGGTTCGTGATGACTCTCGAAAACAGCTTGTAGACGTGGCTTAGAAGGGATATGGGTCGACAGTTCTTCAACCTGGTCTTGTCACCCTTTTTGAAGAACAAGACGACTTCACTCCTACTCCACGCTTCCGGAGTTCTCCCTTCAAACAGGACAGCGTTGAAGAGCTTTTGGAGCTCCCTTAGTACGGCTTTACCCCCGGCCTTTAGCAGCTCTGTTGTAACGCCATCCTTATACGTTACATCTGTTTGTTATTTCTATAAAAATTAAATGTGAGATCAGAAAGATCGAAAAAGACGGAGAAGTTGGCAAGAAATCACTCTGGGTTCGGCCACTTACAATAAAAGAATGATAAAACAATTAAGTATGGAATTCGAATATGGCACTCATGGAACTCATTTACTTTTTCATTGTGACGTGATTTCGAAAATTGTGTGTCGCTATCAAAATGAATTTAACTCGTGAATATTTTCGTTCGATGATTTTCGTTGTAGCTTAAGTCAACAAGAGACTGCCAGAGACTTCAATTAGCATTTATTGATGAAGCACATATTGCCGCTCTGTGTATTCGAGGTTTAGAGAATTTAGACGTGGACGTGATCATTTCCATGATCAGGTAGGTACTATAAGGCCGGCCGGCGACTGTGGTTACAGACACTAATATTGATACCGTACGACAACTTACTGAAAACTGACAAAAAAATTACTTGCCAGCAAATTGGAATTCATTTGCCTGGTTAAACGGAGAACCAGAAACGACTGCGCGTCCAATGGTGCCGTAAAATGATAAAAAGTTTAACGGAGGACAGTCATTGGCTGTCTATAATATCGTGACAGATAACGAAATCAAGATGTACTGCTTTGAAGCCGAAAGAAAAAGCCACTCGGCAGAGTATAGAGGTAGTTTTGAAGATTTGCCGAAGAAGGTTAAGAAAAGTAGAAGCATTGGTAAAAAAATTGTTGCTTCTTTTTTCAGTAAATCAAGACATTACACTATAGTATCGCTCGAAGATCAAAGGACAGTAACTGCAGATTGGTACGTCAAAACTTGCTTGCCCAGAGTCTTAGAAAAAGTTCGCGAAAAGCGTCCTCGAAGCAATGTCCTCCTTCATCACGATAACGCATCCTCACATTCTGCTAAGGTAACAGAAGCCTATTTGAAGGCTTCAAATGTGTAACTGATGACGCATCTGCCTTACAGCCCGTACCTCGCACCCTGCGACTTCGACTTCGACAAACTTAGAGGCACACGTTTTACGAGCCCTGAATCGGCGGTTAATGCGTTCCATGAAGCCATTGAAGACTGGTCCAACTGCTTTTTACAGTGGTTTAAGGGAATTCAAAAATGCATTAGTCTAGCCTTATTTATCAGAATCCAGAAACTTTCAGTATGCCCTAAGTATCAGCATGTTTAAATTTTTTATCCCTCTGTTACAGGCACGGTATAACGAATTTTCTAGAACGTGAATACATAGTAAGTGTAGCTTTCGTTATACGACCTAATATGCGATAATTTAAAAAAATCATCAGATCGTAAATATAATATAATATATATATATATCTCACACATCTCACACACGGCCGTCTGATCCCAAACTAGGCAGAGCCTGTACTATGGTAACCAGACCGCTGATAAACATACTTATATATTTTTAAATACATACATACGAGTATTACAGATAAATTACACCCAGACACAGAACAAATGACCGTGCTCATCACACAATATTTGTCCTGGGTGGGAATCGAACCCACGACCTCCGGCTTAGCAGTCAGGGTCACTAACCACTAGACCAACAGGCCCGTCAAATGCTTTTCACGGTTCACCGAACAACCGATGCAATGTAAACGAAAAGATTAACTGATTTACCATCGTTAGTTAAAATCTGTCGAGGTGACCACTCAATCAAGTTTATATTGCCTATCGTGTTGATGTCTGATGTTTAAGTTCAAAGGCCGAAAACACTCATATCAACACGAAAAACAGCTCCCATTGCATTTTCGTCTACTAGACATAAGTCATCCAAATTTTAACCAGTGGTAACAAGTGATGACCGTGTAGGTTGGCACATTGCAAAGTTAAGTAATCCTAGCCTGGTTAGTCTATGGATGGGTGATCATTCTCAACACATTGAGACTCCTTCGTCATTCGAAAGACTTATGCTGATTCATAGAAAGTTTAAAGAAGAGATTTTAATGATAATAAATAAATCAAAAATAAATAATAAATTGAAAATATCGTTAAAAATCTATTGTCATTGTACAAAGAAAGTTTTGCGGTAAATGGCTGATTTCGAAAAATTCCTGTCTCTTTTGAAATATCTCATATAACCCAGGGCTACCTACAGCCAGGTATACATATACGAGGATGCAGCCTATCGATTAGTAAAAGAAAAACGTTGATATAATAAGTTTCCACATCTGTATGTACCTTAAAATTTAGGTCCTAGTACGGTAAAATAGAGGTCGTAACGCATAGCAGGCCATAATAGGATAGGATACGGGGAGTAGGTATTTGTCTCGTACCGTACGCGCAACAGAACAGTGAATTTTGTGATTGTGACAGTGATTGAAATTATAAAATAATAATATAAAATAATAAATAATTTCTTAACTGCACAAAAATAGTAAAAAAAGGATAAAATAAAGGATATAAATTCTCAAAAAATTGTATATGCAAAATGCCGGCGTTTTTTATACAAATCTTAAAAGTCCAATATTTTGCTAATGGTTAGGTTTGGGATATGGTATTTTATAGTGAAATCTATCAGAAATCATAGCAACTACAACCCCTTAAAGTATCTAGATCGTCTTACCCAGTATATATATAAAATCGTTTGTTTGGCGTTTGTTTGCTAGGGGTTGGCCTTACTATGCTACGCTGGCCAGACGAGTTGGTATAGGGTTTGTTTCAATTTATCCTTCTCTTTACAGTGCTGTTGTCCTGCATAGTTTGCTTCCTTAGTCGACTCTTATGACACCCACGGGATGAATAGGAACACTCCGTATTCTTAATCCGTCTCCACCACGTTACTAACGT